TATACAGTGATGCTGCTGTAGTGCCACTAGCTCATTCTGAACGTACGATTTATATCTTTAGATCCTAGTCCTTTATTTTCTAAGTGAAAGTTTGGGTCCGCCAAATCAGTGTAACCTTACGATTAATTTCGTTTGATTTTATTTTTTTAAAGCAAAAGTTTTGTTGCCATAGAAAGTTAAAATTGAATCAAATAAAGATGTTAAATTTAAATTTATTAGATTTTTTAATTTAAATTAAAAATACTTTTTTATCCTATTTTAAATTTTAAAAAATATCTATATGATTCAGTTTTGACGAAATATCGATACCTTCATCCAAACTTTTTTTCAAAAAAATACGGATGGATAAGATCTTCGGAAATTAATCCTGAGATTACAATGGAACCTTATTCTTAACAGGGCTATATATATATATATATATAATATTATCATATAAAATTTATTTGACAAATAAAAAATTTGATACGTAAGATAAGTTCTATTTTTATATTATTTATCATTTAAATAAATATATTTAAAATAATTATTAGTTATCTAAATATCTATTATATTTTAAATCAGGTATTGATCTAATTTGATATTTCATAAATTAAAAATCTAAAAAAATAAATATGTTTAAATAAATCACATCAATTTGTAATCTTGATTTGATTTAATAGAAATTATTTTACTGTAAAAAAAATACTTTGTTACTATCCATCCTAAATAAAACTTTACGACCATCTTTTATGCATTTGTTTATATCGTATAATTATGAAGTTATTTTGAAAAATATATTAATTAAAATTGCGAAAACATAGAAAATGTTTTTAATACATTATGTCCAAATTTATATTATAAGAAATGTGATTTGTAAATATTTTAAAATTTTTCAAAATTTTTATATATATGATTTTGTACAAACGGAACATCCTGCTCTCCCTTTTTGTATCGTAGTCACAAGGCTGAATCTGTTGTCTTCTTTCTCAAAATTCCAAGCAGTTAAGGTCTGCGATTTTTTTCTTTTTTATTTTTGGCAGAAACGAGAGAATCAACATTTTTTATTCAATGTCTATGCTCATGGTCTATCCTTGCTAGAATTCGAGTTTCATGTTTTTTTTTTTTTTTTTATGAGGAACTGTTCATTCTTGGAGGTAATCTCTTAATTTAGTGTCTTGAGTTGAGTCTCGACCGGTTTAAGCTTTAGTTTAGGTTGGTAGGTTGTACCTTGCGCCTTGCGGGTTCGGCAAAAGAACCTTTGCCCCATTTGCAGATCCTTCCTTAGCTATTATCCCACAACACTATCCAGACTGGGAACGTGATGACACTGAACATCACCAATCGCACTCCCGTTGTTTTCTTTATTTGTGCACTCCAAAGAATTAGCGCCTTTAGTTTTTTCTAATTTTTAGTATGGTTTATTTAATAGCCTTAATTTGTTCCCTAACTTGAAATCCCTTGGTGGTTTCAAAAGTGCTTTGGTCACCATTGCCAGACTTGTTATACAATGTTTCTTGGACAACTATAGTGAAAATAGTACTAGTTAAGTGAATCGCTACTGCTGCTTTGAAAACGTGTATTTCTGATTGAATATCATCAATTTTATAAGGTTTTTCTTTTTGCTTTTACTTTTTTTGAGGAACTTAGGGCTTAAGTTGAACATTATATGTAAGGAAGATGAAATCATAGTTGAATTGAACTCTTTCCTATACGAATGGGGAGGAGTCCAACAGCCTGAATGTTATTCTAAGTGAAACTTCAAACTTGTCAGTGTGGAAAGTATGGTGGAAAAGCACTCTTAATCTGAAGTAAAGGGACAACTATATATGAGCAGCGAATGAATGGTAACTCAAGGGAGTGAACAACACCCAATAGATTCAGATATGCTAAGCAAAGCAACTTCACTGCTAATGCATGTTGAAATTCATGAACAAAGATTCAGATCAAAACAAGGAACACATGCAATGCCAACTTCACTGAGGGCTATACATGATGCATGAGACAGGGATAAGTTAATTCACTCACCAAACAGCAGCATTCATTCTCCTAATTTCAGAACAAGAACTTTCATGGTTGATTAATCCTTAACCCGCCGCCATTTTCAATACCCAAATTTCATACTTGACCAGATGAAATTGCAACCCATCAATTTGGTTATAGTGAAAGAATGGTGATTAAAGCCTTCCAGCTAGCAGTAATGGTTCTGTCTGCACCCATATCAGGATGATGACAAAGTCTACATTCTCATAAGATCATCAATTTAATAATGATGAAGCCATCCTTAGGTGCTCTAATGGACAATGCAGAAAAACTTTGCACAGTACAAGGGTCAAAGGAAGCATACTTTTCCTTCGAAAAGGAAATGGGATAAGAAAGTATCATACAAAATGAATAAAACTAAGGCCAAACACTAGAGCAGCAAGCTGAGAACCTAAACCAGGAATTGAAGGAATCTGTACCCTCAAAACATGCTTAACACTGTGATGAAAAATTAAGAATCCTAAAACTACTGATACTATGCTAACAACAATCATAATTCTCCCACAAAATCCACAAACCATAGCCCCCGTCCAAGCAAATCAAATCCCTAATTGAAAAAAAGAAGAGTTCTAGCCGTCACGATTATCAACTGATTCCCTTCCGCATAATATGAAAGCAGATAACCAGAAAAGCCTTCATCATCCTGCACATGCAAAGTCCTATACTTCATATTATCCCCTCAAAAGCTTCACGGAAATCTGGAAATTTGCTCCTATCTTCTTCTTTCAAGCTCTCCAAATTGTCTTCAAGCTCTAAATTTTCTTCCACAAATTCTAAAGATGTCATTTGCACATTTGCAGTTCTTGGAAGGAGTCAGGTACTTGCCAAAGGTCCGGCTTAACCATGTTCAGAAAACTATCCAACTTTTCAAATCCTCTTTTTGCATTTTGTGGATCCAGGGCTCTTCCTTTAAAGTCGTCTCCATGGAACCCAAAAAAATTGAGGTAACCATGGACCATGATATGGAAATGGTCCCACTGCCTTCGTATCTTGGTGTTCTTGCGGAGTATGGTCTTCAAGTCAGCTTTAGAGGAAAGACTCTGAAATGGATACGGAAGAGGAGCTGATATGGGTTGCATTGGTTGTTTCAAAAAACTTGAATATGTTTTCTCCCAATAATCAGCTTGTTCAAAACGAGGGCTGTTTCTGATCTTCTCCTCGAATTCTGTTGGGTCAAATTTCAAGAAACTCAAGTACTCGCATATGAGCTTATCTAAGCTTGTAAATTCCCTGTAAAATCAAGTTTTCATTTTCTTAATAATACTGAAAGAAAAAAGAACTTAAAACTTGCCCTTTAAATCAAACACTAACCCCAAATGATGTTCAGTATCAAGTGAAATAAGCCAGGTAAAGATTTCAGCACTTGGATTTAAAGCTCTTGTATTAAAATCTCCAACATGGAATCCCAGATGATTCAGGTAGTGACACACCATTGATTTAAATGATTGCCACCTAAAAAGAAACAAATCAAACCAATAAAAAGAACGGCAGATTTCTTTTTTTTGACAAATCAAGGAATCAAAAGTAAGAATACTTAGAATAAGAATACAGAAACCACTTAAACATCTCAAAGTTCTCACCCAGTTTATTATAAAAAAATACTAGTAATATCAACCTAGTTAATAACAAGTACGTGAATTGCTGACCTTGAGTTTTGGAGTGGCAGTGCTGGTTCAACATCCTCCTTGTGGGCACCTCGCAAGTTGCTGGAAAACAGTGGCTTTCCCTCCACCACACCCACTTCAATTGAAGTAAGTCTTAGTACAGGTGTATGTGGTAATGTTGGTATTTTCTCCCATGCTTGTAATGGCTCAAAGATATTGTTTTCTTCTAATACTTTTTGTTTAAACGCCATAGCATCTAAACCTAGTTCCAGTAGGTATCCATAAATCTTCTGATGTATATGACTCCACAAGTTTCTATCCAAACAAACAAGTTTAAAATACAAGACAAAAGGAAAGATAGGTATAATTCAATTGAAAAATAATTTTTTCATAAAAAATGCAACAAGAATCTTGGAAAGAAAAGAAAATAAAAAGAAAACATACAATGAACAATGTCAAAGAAAATTATATAATGAACAAGAAAAGAAAAGAAGTAGTTACTCTTGAGTCTTGGTAGATTCCGCCATATGAGAGTGAGGATAAATGCAAAGGTAATGGTAAGCGCAACAGATTAAGAGGAGAGGATAGAGTGCAAAGGGAATGGGCATGGGTTAAGACTAAAGCAGAGTAAGGAAGGAGAATATGAACACAGAAGGGGAATGAATAAAAAAGGAGGAGAGGATCGGAGGAGCGGGAAATTTTGTTAAGTATTAGAAGTCTGAAATGACCTTTTTACCCAGACAATATATAATTTCTCTAGATTCTTTAGAATAATAAAAATATAAAACCTTTTTTCTTCTTTTTTCACACACGTTTTTGCTGCAATTTGTTTGGGTTAATTCCATTCCTAGTCCCAATCATTTATTTTGGTTTCACTTTAACCCTCATCTTTCAATTGTTCTATAATGATTTTGAATCCTTTAAAATGGTTCTATTTTAATCTTTTCTTAAAAGAATTTTGTTAAAATCTACGTAATGAACATATTCTAGCTTACATTAGCTGGAATTTATTACTATTATTGTTACTAGTTGAATTTTGCTCTTGGAATGTTGTTAATCAATAATATGCTTATATATTTTGGTTTATTGTTTTTAGGAATTTGGTATTTTACTTTTTTGGCCTCCAGTCAACTTTATTTAGAATTTTCCAACTTATTAGTTTTTTTTTTATTAAGAATATTAATTTGAGACAAAAGATTGTTAAAGGATGTCACAATTATAGTTATTGTTGATGTTACTGTTTTTATTTTGTTTTTAGCCTATGTTACTGTTTTGTATAATTATGGAACACCTACAATTGTTCCTAAGCCCAACCCATAAAATCAATATTGAAGAATTGTTAGCCCATAATGTCCATTCTCCGATTTGAATCAGTTTATCTTATTTAGCGGTGTTTATCGAAACTCTTCCAATCACAAATGACAAATGAAAAAACATTATTCCCAAAAAAACAGATATATAAAACTCATTTATCCGAAACCGTTCTCTTTTCCCTTTTAGATTTTCTCGATAGCCAAGCAAACCTATCCAGGGAAATTTCCTATTTTATTTTGTAAAACAAAATGGCATTTCATACCCTTTCTAGTTCTGATTAACGTTCTCTGCTGCAAATTTCCTCTAGAATCCTACTTCTAGATGGCAGTTCTCATAGCTTCACCTGAAATTTCCACCGCCTCAGCGAATATTTTCTATAACCCTAACCATACCCCTAAATTCCTCAAGAGCCTTATTATTTCGAAGAATGGTGATGGTAAAATTTGGTCAAGGGCTAAGGTTAGGGTTGGTCTTAAAAATATTGGTGCTAGAGTTTCAGGTTTGAATCAAAGCTCGACGTTGTACGGACAATTTTCATCTCCAGTGAAGCGAGGATCGAAGCCGAGCAAAGAGGCAGAGGAGAAGCAGAATTATTACGTGAATATGGGTTACGCAATTCGGACTTTGAGAGAGGAGTTCCCAGACCTCTTTTGCAGGGAGCTTAGTTTTGATATTTACAGGTTCGAATTTAATTCTTTTTCTCGTAATTTTTTATTCCCATTTTTAGTTTGATTTCTTTGAAATAGAGGAAAGAATAAAGAATTGTGCAGAATAATTCAAATTTTATTAAAGTTATCTTGGCTTCAAATGTTGAAGATTCTGCATCAATCGAGTGAATAGTTGCCCAAGATATGATCTTTTACTTCTGTTAGTTTTCGCTTAGCTACTAAAGTTATTGATTACTGTTGGTTTTTTTATTTCTGATTAATGCCATCAGTTTGAATAGCGCATATGCATGCCTTCGAGGCTTATGTTTTTGATGTAAATGGATTTTCTGTTTTGGTCTTAATGTTCATTGTTTATTGTTGATCATGTATTTGCAATTGAGAAAGTTTTGTCTCTCAGCTAGAAGTCTGCAAGCTCTGTGCTTTATGTTCATGTTTGATCGATTTTACAATTTGATGGTCGGCAAAGTTATGTTGTGTATGCAGAATAACATATACTTCAGGGACGTTGCACTGATCTACCTTCACTATTGCGAAATAGCTTCCTTGAAACTATATGTATTTGTACGTGACACCTTTGTAAGGGTAGCATAGAAAGTTTGCTTATTAGGTTATTTCATATATTAGATTCTTTGCCTTAAGCTTTTGTGTTCTTAGCATCTTCATCATCAGTAATTTTCATATGAACTGTTTGGACCTTTTGCTTTCGTCCATATTTAATACATATTCTGACAAGTTACTTCTCCTCTGTTTAGGGATGATATCGTATTTAAAGATCCTCTCAATACTTTTGTTGGAATTGACAATTATAAGTCGATCTTTTGGGCACTGCGATTCCATGGTAGGATATTTTTCAAGGCTCTCTGGCTTGACATTGTTGGTGTATGGCAGCCAGTGGAGAATGTCATAATGGTTCGCTGGACCGTCCGTGGCATTCCACGAGTCCCATGGGAGAGCCATGGTCGATTCGATGGCACTTCAGAATACAAACTTGACAAGAACGGTAAAATCTTTGAGCACCGAGTTGACAATATTGCACTGAATTCACCCCCAAAATTTCATGTGCTAGCTGTGGAGGATATAATTCGATCCATTGGTTGCCCCTCGACCCCAAGGCCAACTTACTTTGAGATTTCATCATCTTTATCTTCAGAGAGAACGTAGCACCACTTAGGCTCATTCCAAATTTTGGCATATAGTGTGAGTCATAGTTGGGTAGATACTAAACTTTAGCTTGAAATCATTCTCAATGCCTAAAACTTGGTTTGGATCACAAGGCAAGCACTTGGTAATACTTGGCTTGTATCAACATTGGGAAATGATGGGGTGTATTCTCTTATTATTGTAAAAGAATTGTATAATCTTGTACAGTATAAGTTTAGTGTAAGTAGCTATAATTGGCTATCTTCTTCCTGGTAAAGATACAGTGAAAGCAACGTTATATGCTAGTGACATGGTAAATACTAAAGATCTGAATGTTGTTCAATTGAGTTTACTCTTAAGTTTTCATAATTTGCAATCCAATTTTCTTTAAGTGCATTATCTAGTTGATTTCTGTAATTATGTCATTCAAAAAAGAAAAAAAAAAAGTGGAGGGGCATACCCCATATGATAATTCCACTCTAAGACATTGAAAAAAAAAAAAGAAAATATCAAGATAGAGATTTTTTTTTTCAGAAAATAAGTAAAATTACTACTACTGTGTTCCAGCTGGAGTTTGACAGTGACGGAAAGGAAAATCTATTAATGTTTGATGCCAGATCCCATCAGAAGCAGCCACCTACCACAATCATTTCTCTATGATGGTAAATTCACAAACCATTGCTCCATTATTCACCTCAACACAAAAAATTAAATACTAAAATTAATAAATTTCTTTTCATTTATTACTAATATTCGGAAAATATCTTTATTTAGCAGTTTTGACTTCTGAGTTGAGCAGAGCAGAGCAGCTCAGAGTCAGAGCTGAGGCCACCAGGGGGGCAAAATCGTCTTCTTAAATCGGTGTCTTTTTGTTGGTTATGGCAATAATTAAACCACCGATTGAATGAAGTCTTTCAGCGAACTACCACTCTAAACGCACGCACTTCGTAATTAAATACAACGGTAACACACTCTCTCTCCCCTTCCCAAAATAAAATAATCTTAAACAAATCTTCCATTCTCAGGAATTGCTTCCACTTCACTCTTCTTTTCTTTTTTCTACTTTCTCTCTCAAGTTTGTTTAGCTATCCCACCAAAAACCTAACCCCCAAAGCTCCCCAATTAATCTAATTCTGACTACATCATCCTTTAATAACTGCACTTCACTTTTCTTTTTTTTTTTTTGTTGGAATTCTTGAATTTTCTTTCCTTTTAACGGTTTTGAGATTTAGGGGGTTTGAGGCTTTGATTCTCCAAATTTATTAGAGAAGGTGCCACAATGGAAGTGGAGTTACTCAGGCCTGACAATCCCGCCTTGACGTTCGACGAGGTCTCCATGGAGCGTCGCAAGAACTTCGTCAAAGCCTTGCAGGTTTATTTCTTGATTACAAGTTTCTATCTTTTGGGACTAGATCTGGTTTATTTTTAAATTTGATTGTTTTATAAAAATTTTGTTTTTTGTTTGTTGACTTTTAAGTCGTTGCTAGATTGCTGACGTGAAATGTGGGGGAGAGAATGTGTACTGAAAAAGATTCCTTTTGATTGGCATATCAATTTTGTGTTTCGTCTTTTCCCTTTTATTTTTTGTTATTTTGGTAACTTGATAAGAAGCGTTAACGGTTTGGTATTGGTAGATCTTAGCATTTATGACTAAGTTAAGAGTTAGATATGTTACAAAAATAGAAAGTAGAGTTATAACAATGAATGAATCTATGGTAACTTAGATATAGGTTCAATAGGATAGAAAATAAGATTTTGTGGATAGGGTATGTATAACCTTATCTTGTTCATTGAAGAACAATTATTGCTTCATTTCCATTACTGAGTTTAGATTCATAAATCACTCAAGTAGAAATTGAATTGAATGAGGCAATGAAAAAGCTTTTTCTGAGACTTATGTTCTTTAATATATGAATATTATGATACTAGAAATTTGGAAAGTGCATGCATCTGAATATAATATCTGCAGAAGTTGATAGTTCTATTTGGTTTGATAACTTGTCCTCTATGTTGATTTCAAAGTTTGTCTTCGTAAATTTTTGAGCTTATGCTGTTCAAAGCTTTTGAGCATTTCATTTTTATACTACTTGTACTTGATAATTTGGATCCCTATGCCTTTTTGCAGGAGCTCAAGAACTTAAGGCCTCAGCTTTATTCAGCTGCAGAATATTGCGAAAAGTCATATCTCCATAGTGAGCAGAAGCAGATGTAGGGCTACATATTTTACTTTAAAAAATGTTGCTTAGTTCATTCATTGTTTTGTGACAGCCTTTTCTTTCTCGTGCAAGCCATACCATGAGTGACTTTACAACATGATTGACTTACACAAGAGCCAAGCAATGGCTTGCCTCCCCCCTGATGTTTCTTATATCAAGCTTGCATGCTTAAGCAGTGGATTGTGTTTGAAGTAGTTGCATCTGTTCTCTTCTCATAATGCAACTCTTTTCTTTGTGGGATACATTTCTTAGGGTACTGGACAACCTGAAAGATTATGCTGTACGCGCTCTTGTTAATGCTGTTGATCACCTTGGCACTGTGGCTTACAAGTTAACTGATCTTCTTGAGCAGCAAACATTGGAAGTGTCAACCATGGAGCTAAAAGCATCTTGTTTAAATCAGGTAATCTCTTTGTACTTCTCTGGTTTAATATGCTAGTACTTGAATGGATGGGCCTGAACTTATTTAGTTTGTTAATATTAGCAACTTCTTATGTGCCAAACATACACGGATAAAGAAGGTCTTAGGCAGCAACAATTGTTGGCATTTATCCCAAGACATCACAAGCACTACATTTTACCAAGTAAGAATAGTTGCTAGATGCCCTTTTTTCTGAAAGCTAATTAGTGGGTTGAAGTTTGGTATATTCTCATTGCCTTTTTCCTGTTTGTTGGTTCTCTTCCACTGTGTTTCCTCTGAGCCAGATTCTGTCAACAAGAAGGTACATTTTAGTCCACATGTACAGACAGATCCTAGGCAAAACTATTTCCAGGCTAAATCTCGTCTTCAGCCTTCAGGTATAATGTTTCTAAGCAGGCAGGAACTCTTCTAATTTTTGTTGTTTTCTGCATTGTTTGGAATATATTAATTTCTCATAGGAAGAAGGTGAATATCATGTTACTTATTAAATGTGGTATAGATTCTCCTGCATCAAAAACTCTTTCGTGGCACTTATCCTCTGAAACCAAGTCTACTTTGAAAGGGACTTCACAAACTTTGGCAAGGTTAGTTCGATGTAGCAATTCAATGTCGGATAGATAATTGTATGTTCCTTTTGTGTAGTTCTTTTAATGTTCTGCTGACAGCAGGAAGTTATTGACATTGCTTACCATGCAGCAGTGAAATCTCAAAACCTTCAGGCAATGCTTCTGAGGTTTTCCAGTTATTGGGTATGCTTATTACATCAGTAGCTCAGATTAGTGTTGTTATATAATAAAAGGCTATGGATGACAAGGCTTGTATTTTGACTGTAATTCTTGCAGAGAATGGAGACAATGCAAGGACAAAGTCTTCTGCAGCACCTTTTCCTGCATCTAATGCACTCGTGACAACACTGGGTATCACACATAGGGTAATGTTTAAACCAGCAATAACAGTTACATGGTTGACATCCTAGAAATTGATGCAAGAAACACAATTTGATGGATTTATCTTGAAGTGTTATCTTGATTTCTTTTAGTATAGCAGTTGATCTATAGTTATTCATTTGGTTAGTAAGGCTCTTCTTTTCTTTTTCTTTTGTGACTTATGGAACTATTTAAATATTAACTTGTATTAGATTCTTGTCAAAATTTGAAACTTTTATTATTTATTCAAGTGATTCTCCAGGAACCAACTTCTGATTCCATGTGGGTAACTTGTTTCAGGTCTTGAGTCTCCGTGTGTTTAATATAGCCTATAGGAATCTGTATTCGCGTGGATACTTTGAGTTCCTGCTTGTCTTTATCTCAATTGCTATTTCAGAGTTTTTATTAAGAGATTATATACCCTCCTTTACGTACAAAATCTGTTTGGTGGATATTCCTATATGTTTGGTTGTTGCATTGCATGTTTATGGAAAAGTCCTGTTTTTGCAGGAATTGGAGGGTTCCAAACCTTTGAGGGCATTCAGGTCGTTTGATAACCCAAAGCGTGAGGTTATACGTGCTCCTGTTAGGAGCAAAAGCGTGCTATCCGCTTTCTTTGTCAAACAGAAAGCAACCAAGCTAAAGGCTGGATATGTTGCATGAATCTCCATCAGAACAAGCCAATGACGACGATCTATGTAAATCTCTCCTTTATGCGGATGGAGTTGCCTGCAATTACCTCCCTTGGTTTTGTTTTTCACCAGTCGATTCCTTCATCAGTAGTTCTATCAATTGCTCGAGATGAATTTTTTTTCCCCAATTATCTTTTTTGGGTTTTTAATAATGAGCAATTTGTATAAAATATCTGATAATGAAGATGAGTAACATTTCCACTCTCTTTAATAATTCTTCAACCTTAATCAATAATCATACACTTTGATAATCTTCTTTCTTGCTCACTTTTACCTATGATATTTGGATAGAGATAACTTCAAGTTGATGCTTCCTAATTTACTACGAATCGACATAATTTTTCCCAATTTAATTTAATCCCAGGTTACATGTATGATTATTACCATAAAGCAGCTCAAACCAACATTAAAATGACAAATCACAAATTTTCACATAGAAAGGAAAAAGGGAGGATCAAGGAAAATTATTTAAAGGCCTTTGGGGAAAAGGTGGCCAAAGGCGGGCACGAACTGAAAAATTCGGACTCAACACCGACAATCCGACCCACAATTATTCCTCTGTTACTGTTTCTTTTTACCAAAACGATATCGTCATCATCATTCCTTACGGATCCGATCTCAAAACACTTTTTCCTTAAACCCCGACTCCTACTATCTCAGTCCTACACTATTTTTCTTCTTTCTCTGATCTTTGGTATTATCAGCAACAATGTCATCATTCTTGCACCAACGAACCATCCACAATCCATTCTCAAACGCCTACCCAATCTCCCCACTTTCTTCATCAACCTCTCAAAGACCCATTTCGATCTTCAGTCCAACAGGCCTAATTATTCTCCTCTCTCTCATGGTAATCCTCGGAGTATTCGTACCCTGGTCAGGCATGCCCCAATCCATGTTCTCTAACTCAAAAAAGGCGTCTTCTCTCTCCAGATGGCGAGACTACTCTTTGGCCGAAGCCGCATCGTTCGTCGCAAAAAATGGTACCGTAATTGTCTGCGCCGTCAGCCAACCTTACTGGCCTGTTCTCAATAATTGGTTGATTAGTATAACCAGACAAAAGCACCAAGAGAAAGTCCTTGTGATTGCTGAGGATTATGCTACTCTTTATAAGATTAATGAAAAATGGCCTGGCCATGCCGTGCTAGTTCCACCCGCTCCTGATTCACAAACTGCCCATAAATTTGGCTCTCAGGTTCAATTCCTGTTTTCATATCTGGTTTTGTTTATTTATTTATTTTATTTGTTAACTTTGTCATTTGATGCTGATTGGGTACTTGATCTAGGGATTCTTCAATTTTACTTCCAGGAGGCCTCGGCATTTGTTGCAAATTTTGGAGCTTGGGTATAATGTTATGTATAATGATGTTGATATGGTGTGGTTGGGAGATCCATTTCGTTATTTGGAAGGAAATCATGATGTTTACTTCACTGATGACATGGCTGCGGTATGAATGCTAACTTTGCTTTATAGTTTTTAATCTGCTTTGCATCAGAATGGTGGAACAGAAGAATTGGATATACAGTGCTCCATGTGTTCTGTAATGTGCTATGCAAAGAATAATCAAAATATTCATTAAGATTAAGCTATTCTACTAGATTATTAGAAAGTAACAAACTTTGGCGTATCAGAAGCAATTCTATGATGCTGGTTAAATTTGATTGGATCCAAATGCAAGGCTATCTTTATTTCTTTTTTCTGTTTTGTTTTGTTTTTATTTTGCTGCTACTGCTTCTTTTCTCGTAAAATTGCTTCATGCTTTTTTTCTTGTGTTGATCAGGTGAAGCCTTCTAATCATTCCCACGATTTGCCACCTCCAGGGAAAAAGGGTCGTACTTATATATGTAGTTGCATGGTTTTTCTGCGTCCCACAGATGGAGCAAAACTAGTTATGAGGAAATGGATTGAGGAGCTTCAAGTTCAACCATGGTCCAAAGCAAAGAAAGCAAATGATCAGCCTGCTTTTAACTGGGCACTGAACAAAACTGCTGGATTGGTATGTTCATGCATCTTCTTGTCATTACCATTTATATTGTAGTGTATGCCTAATAGTTCTGATTTGATGTACTTCTTTGTTATGCATTTGTTAATTGGCAATTTTGTGCCATATTTGCTTGTTTTCCAGAATTGCCTTGACACTTACCTTTAAGTCTTGTGGCTAATTCTTCAAGCCTCAGACAGTATGCCATACCAGTTCTTCATGCCATATTTTGAAAAGCATTGCTAATTGATGTTTGTCCTTTAATTAGCGCTGGACTTGGTGCTTTTATATTCAAATGAATTCTCAGTCATGTGATTTAAATTGCTTCTTTTGGTAATCCGTAACATAGAAAATTGGTTCAACATAATGCCAAGGAAACTGTCATCGGGGGTTACTTGCATGTCTTTAGAAATTCCACTGGTGGTTCTTAAGAAATTTCTTTTGCCTCTATGTCTTACCTTCCATGTCACAAAAACTGTCAGGCGGCCCATTCATCACAAGACCTTCATTTCTGGTCCATTGCAAATTGTTGTTTCTCATTTTGGGTATGTAAAGACTCTGGGGTGTGAGATCTGTGCTTCTATGAGCCTTCTCTCTCTCTCTCTGATATTTATAATCGATTGTGTTGTCAAGTGTTATATATTTCTGGTAGTGAAACTTCGTTTTCTGATAATCATACATTGATGAAATGTTCTGCAGGTGGATCTCTACCTGCTTCCCCAGACAGCATTCCCGACAGGAGGATTATACTTCAAGAACCAAACATGGGTGCAGCAAACCAAGGGAATGCACGTCATAATTCATAATAATTATATCACAGGTTTTGAGAAGAAGATCAAGCGCTTCCGTGACTATGGCCTTTGGTTGGTTGATGATCATTCCCTTGAGTCCCCACTAGGCAGATTATGAAAAAGTTGGAAAACCTTATGATTGCTTTCTGCAGAACCAATTACAACCTCAGTGACCGTTGTAAGAGGTGGAGCATACCAGTTGTATCGTCTTCCTTCCATATCATCTGCTTGTATGCTCTCAGATGAACATGGATCATTAGCAGCTGACAGTGCAGATGAACGTGGATCATTAGCAGCTAACAATTCTCATTTATTCAGTAACTTGTTATATCAAAATGGGGTTCAAACAGAAAAAGTTCAAATATTCTGTTGGAAATTACTATTCTAACATTCTTTCCAGACCTGATGAACTAACAACTCTTTAACTTTACAAACAATTCTTTCATAGCTTTGCCAAAGTCACCGAGTGCCCAGAGCCCATCAAAGGGAATGGTGCAATGTTTTCTTGGTTAAAAACTGGCCAGGGTTTGGAATCTATGATACATGGACGGGGCATCAAAAATGGTGACAGGATATCGTGAGCTGTCCTGTCTTCGATTGCCTGAATAAAAAAATTGCCATTGATGTGATTTTTTCTGTTTCTTCTGACCAACACGGATCGGATCGCTAAATATAGTATGAATGCTCTCTTTCGAAGAGCTCAGAAAAGAAAATTGCAAAATTTCTCTCCAAGATGAAAATCGTTCTTGCGTGACTTGTATATGTGCTAAAGAAACTTATTTTTGCGTTTGCCGGGAGTCGAACCCGGGTCTATTGCTTGGAAGGCAATTATCCTAACCGTTGGACTACAAACGCGGTGTTGAAGGTACCATCAAGGATAAATTTTTTCAATAGCATTAAGATCGAACTGTCGGCCACCAATAAATAAATAGTAATGTTTTATTTGAAAAAAAAAGAAAAAAAAGGTGGATGCATCTAATTGAGAGATACATTCATCAGTAAGCTACAAAATTTCCCAGTGAATTTAAATTCTTTGGTTCATTCAAAATCATGGACATTTTAGTGATTAGCAAGTTTAAGAAATTAAAATTCTGTTGGGTCAAATCATAATTTAAAAGTAAAAAATTGTAAGTATCAAAATTTTAATTTTATATTTATTAAATGTTATTTTTTAAAATTAATTGAATTAAATACTAGAACCTTTTATTATTTTATTTTCCTTTGCACAACTGTCGTTCTGCATTTTTTTTTTTCCTAATTAATATTTTCATGCCAAAGGAGCCAGATTTAGCTCCAATCCTTTGACTTTTTTCGCAATTCTTATGAGTATTCTTTGTGTACCATTAATAAACAAATTGTTCTTAGGTTATATATTTTATTAAAGTCAATAATCAATTTCCTTGTTGGCAAAATAAAAAAAATTCAATTTCCTTTTCAGTGGTTAAGATTTTTATTTTGTAAACAAAATAATTGAATCGTCATCCCTCATTAAATGCTTTATTTTTTATTTTTATTGGTCAGCAGCAAAAATAATAAATTTATATAAAAGATTAAAAAATAACGTGGTAGGAAAACCTGAATTAATTAAGGCTAAGAAAAAAAAAAAAAAGGCAATTAAAGACAGAGCACGCTAAAATGAAGGTAATAATAGATTCTCAGCCCAAATTACAGCTCGCAACGCAACCAAACTCCTACTTCTCTTCTGTCTTTACGCTTTACCCTTTCTCTACAGTGTTTCACCCATTCCTTCTCACGTCAACGCTTTTTTTTCATCCTAATCTGTTGGCTGCTTGCTTTGTTCTTTAGTAAAAATCTGTAAAAAAAAAAAAAAAAAAAAAAAACCAACAAAAGAAAAACCCCTTTATTATGTGTATGTCGCATCCATCTAGACGACATTGTAGCCATAACCCTTTACTCTCTAATCACAAGAGTCTCAAGCTTTCGTCTTTCTGTAATAAATAAACACTAAAGCACCCATTTCCAGTCTTTTCTTTGCTTTGCTTGATGGGTGTGTTTCTTTTTGCTTTTTTAAATTGAGCTTTTTTTTTTTTGGATGAGAATGTAAATGGGTTCCTTGGAAAGTGGGATTTCATTGAAGAGAGCTGGTAGTAGGACCGAAAGGAACCCTTTTTTAAGCCGACCGAGATCGAGATTTTCTCGTTTTTGGCTTTTCAAGAAACTAGATTATATCCAATGGATTTGCACAGTTGTTGTTTTCCTCTTCTTTGTTGTGTTTTTTCAGATGTTTTTACCTGGTTCAGTAATGGACAAATCTCAAGATTCCTATTTGGATAATAACGATTTGGTTTTTGGAGAATTGAGGTACTTGAAAGAGATTGGTGGGTTAGATTTTGGTGAAGATATCAGATTAGAACCATGTAAACTCTTAGAGAAATTTCAGAGAGAAAATAAAGAAGTCAATTTGAAATCTCCATCTGGTTTCAACCGGAGTCAACATCGTTTCCAATATAGAAAGCCTCAGCTTGCATTGGTTAGTGAAAATTTTCTTTTATTTTTGTTTATTCAATGGATAATTTGTAAGGGGTCAGATTTTGTTATTGGATCTTTTTTTTTCATGCTGTTAATTATAGTTTTTTTTTTTCAAAATTTGTACTTGAAGGTGTTTGCTGATCTACTGGTTGATCCACAACAATTGTTAATGGTGACCGTTGCAACTGCATTGAGAGAGATTGGTTATGAAATTCAGGTAAATGACACTGAGTTCTGGACACTTCATCATTTGTGAGTTTGATGTTTTTTTTGTCCTAAATGTTGAATTCTGGTTGTTGAGTCAAGAACAATCTACATGTCTTTCAGTTGATAGCTTAGTGCTTATATTGCTGGGCATGTTCGGAGTGATAGCAGTGACTATGACTAACAAAATCTTAGAAAATGAAGGTACAGTGTCATCTTAGCTTCATCTGTTTTAATTCTTTCTTGGAAGGTCTACTCCCTTGAAGATGGTCCTGTGCACAATGTTTGGCAAAGCATAGGAGTTCCAGTCACCATTCTTAAAGTCAACCCCAATGAGATTGGTGTTGATTGGCTGAAGTACGTATTTTTGTTTGTAATCTCTAATAATTCCACTTTAGGATTGATATTTTATATGACCATGTTTAATTGAAGGTCTCCCATTTTATATATGCATTTAGTGAACTGTTTATATATGTATCAATTATGCCCATTAATGCTTATATTAAGAAATTTGATTAAAGCTTTGCTTGGTAGAGAGGATGGAAAGGGCTAAGGATGGAAATCTTGTTAATTTAATGGTTAAGCTACAAAATAGGAAAGTGGTTATGAATTTTAATCATCGGATTAACATCCTTCCCACTAAGCAAAGCCTAACTGATTGTGGTGTTATTTTGCTTTCATTCAGGATAAGCGATCATTTTCTTTTCAAAATGATTGAGTTTTTCCTGTAATTTGTTTTGGGTATCTAATTATGATATACCGTTTCTGCAGCTATGATGGCATACTTATCAGCTCTCTTGAGGCCAAGAGTGTCTTTTCTAGGTAGGATATGTCATTCTATTTCCTCTGCAAGATAACTTCCAAATTCTTCGCTCATTTTTCCCTATTCCCTATTCCCTATTCCATTCTCTTCGCTTTAGACTCTTAGTGGTTTTTCGGGTGAAGAAGACAGTTTTATTACAACTAAGACAAGCCGGGATTCTGTTATGCAGAAGTGAATTTTGGCTGTTCAGCTAAAATAATTTACTTTTAATTCTTTATCTGGCAACACTTTGTACCTATTGCTTTCAGAAGTTTAAGATTACTTTAGCATACATTCTGAAGACATTATTTGTTTTACTTGATCTTTTTACTGTGTATGTTTAAAGATTTCCCTGGAAGTTTTACATGTCTGAGTCAATTAACATGGAGTTTACTTGTCATAGTTTTATGCAGGATCCTTTCAAATCTATTCCACTTATATGGACCATCCATGAAAGAGCTCTTGCTTTTCGTTCTAGAAAATACACTTCAAGTGGGCAGATTGAGCTTGTGAATGATTGGAAAAAAGTTTTCAACCGTGCTACTGTTGTTGTCTTCCCAAACTATTTACTTCCGGTAATAATTATTAGATAGTCATTTCGTCATCAGTTCATTGTTAACATATCATTAACAAAAGAGGGACAAGTGCGTGCAACTAAGTGATAATGCTCCTATTTATTAGAAAAGATTCCAGTAACTAGTTTATATTTTGAGCCAATTTCTACTTCAACACATAGTTCATGTGACTTTAGTTTCCCCTAATGCTTTTGCTTCTAAGAATTGTTTTTACTTGGGATTTATTTCTAGTGATTTGATATCTTCCTCTACCTTCTGCAGATGATTTACTCTGCTTTTGATGCTGGAAACTATTATGTAATTCCTGGTTCTCCTGTGGAAGTATGGAAAGGAGAGAATGTAATGAATTTGTTCAAAGATAATCAGCGTATGAAGATGGGTTATGGACCGAAAGAAGTGCTCATTGCAATTGTTGGAAGTCAATTTATGTACAGGGGCTTGTGGTTGGAGCATGCCCTTATTTTACAGGCTTTATTACCACTCTTTGCTGACTTTTCATCTGATAATAGTTCTAATTCCCACCCCAAAATAATTGTTTTAAGCAGTGATTCAATAAGCAACTACAGCATGGCTGTTGAGGTATGGTCATAATCACTTTATAGAGTGCTGTGGTTAAATTTATATGTGGACATAGTTTTCAAGCTTTTCATTATTTTACTCTATTTAACATACTCTTTTTTCCCCAGAGAATTGCTCTTAACTTAAGATACCCAAGTGGTGTAGTGAAGCATGTAGCTGTTGATGCCGATGTTGATAGTGTTCTGAGCATGACTGACCTTGTGATATATGGCTCATTCCTTGAGGAGCCATCATTTCCAGAACTTTTGATAAAAGCCATGAGCCTTGGGAAACCAATCATAGCACCAGATCTCTCCCACATTAGGAAATATGTAAGCTTCTATCAGTCTTTCCTTTTCATGCATGTTATCGTTAATTAGGCAAACTACTGACTTTGTATTGGCAATAACAATTAGGTTGATGACAGGGTAAATGGCTATCTTTTTCCTAAGGAGAATATTAGAGTTTTGACACAGATCATATTGCAAGTGATACCAAAAGGAAAATTGTCAGCATTGGCACTCAATATTGCTTCAATTGGGAGAGGAACTGTTAAAAACTTGATGGTCCAGGAAACTGTTGAAGGCTATGCCTTGCTACTGGAAAATGTTCTCAAGCTTCCATCAGAAGTTGCACCTCCTAAGGCTGTTATAGAACTTCCTTCAAAGTTGAAAGAAGAATGGCAGTGGAATCTATTTGAGGATTTTCTAAATTCTACATTTGAAGATAGGAGTTCCAAATTTTTAAACAAGTTAGAGGAGCAGTGGAACCATTCTCCAAGAGAGAAGTTTGGTTCATTAATTGCTATGAATGATTCATTTTCATATGAGATTTGGGAGGAAGAAAAAAAGATGCATAATATCAATATTAAAAGGAGACGAGAGGAGCAAGAGGTAAGAATTGGTAATAGTGTGTTATCCACAAATTTAGTTGGAACAATTTCAGCAATCTTTGTTTAAGTTGTTATTTAATGACATTTCATGCACTTTCAATTTGTTGTAGTTGAAAGATAGAACTGATCAACCTCGTGGTACCTGGGAGGACATATATCGAAATGCCAAGAGGGCAGACCGTGCAAGGAATGACTTGCATGAAAGGGATGAAAGGGAGCTTGAAAGGACTGGTCAACCATTGTGTATTTATGAACCCTACTTTGGTGAAGGAACATGGCCTTTCCTGCACCGAAACTCTCTTTATCGTGGAATTGGATTGGTGAGTAAGTGAAAGCATTATATTGGGCTTGGGCTGGGGCTTGTATTTTTGTTTTATTGCACTTATTGATTAACTTTTAATGAAATTAAGAATTTCTATAGAACCTTATTTTTAAACAATTGGATACCTATTCCTCCTTTTATGAAAGAAATAAAAGATGTAAAAGAAGAGCATGCATCTATTGCAATCCTTAATTTTGATGAATCTGTATAAAGCAGTGGCACTTGTATTCTGTAGTCTGATTTAAATATGTCCAATGGGTGTTGCAGTCCACCAAAGGTCGAAGACCTAGGATGGATGATGTTGATGGACCTTCTCGTCTGCAACTTCTTAACAACCCCTACTACCGAGACACTCTTGGCGAATATGGGGCCATCTTTGCCATTGCTAACCGGATTGACCATCTACACAGGAATGCCTGGATAGGGTTTCAGTCGTGGAGAGCAACAGCTAGGAAGGTATGGTAATGGTCTCCATGTCCCACCTTCCCTTGGTCTTTTTTTTTTATACTTGTTTCTTTATTTTTCCTTCAGAAAGCTCTTTTACCTCTGCCCAGTAAATACATGTTTTACTTTTCTTCTTGTGGATTTGTTGGTGAGAATGATGCCATTTGGCTTAGCAACACCTTAAATGAAATATATTTTGTTCTTTTATTCGTGCACTCGACTCTTTCATATCTAATTGTGGGGCGAAAACAGGCATCCTTGTCTGAAATTGCTGAAACATCATTGTTAGATGCCATAGAAAAGCGCAAACATGGTGATGCACTATACTTTTGGGCAAGAATGGACATGGATCCAAGAAACAGCTTGCAACAGGACTTCTGGTCATTTTGTGATGCTATAAATGCTGGAAATTGCAAGTAATAACTTCTAAGTTTTATCAATTATTTCGAATGCAAAAGCCTGGAATTGTAAAAAAATGCTTAAATATATTTACTGGACTAGCATATTAACTAACCTCATTGCAGGTTTGCATTCTCTGAGACTCTTAAAAGGATGTATGGCTTAAAGCATGATTTGAATTCTTTGCCACCCATGCCTGAAGATGGAGGCACATGGTCTGTCATGCAGAGTTGGGCTTTGCCAACAAAGTCCTTCCTAGAGTTTGTTATGTTTTCAAGGTGAGAGTTCTTACGCATAATGGCTTCTCATGCAGTTTAAACTATGTCAATTTGTAAACTTGACATGTCTCTTTTGCAGGATGTTTGTGGATGCAATAGATGCACAAATTTATGATGAGCACCATCAAAGTGGTCACTGTTATCTGAGTTTCTCAAAGGTAACTTGCTTATTTGGATTGATCTTCTCTTTCAGACAAGATATACATTCAAGTGCATCATTATTTTTAAAATTAATCTGAAATAACTGGGGAATAGCTGTTCATTGAACTATCTGAAGTCATTCCTAGCCCTATATATAGTCAATTGGATAAACGAAATCTACAATTATTAAATGGCATTCAGCATTTGAGTTCTGAATCCCATCAGGATCCTGCAGAATTTCATCTTTTACAGAACATAGATCTCACCCCTTCCCACTCCTTAAAGAGAGTAGATTTGTTTATACTTTTTTCCCAAGTCAACCAATTCTGCAGTATTTAAAGTAGTAATTGTGTTCTACAGGACAAACATTGCTACTCACGGGTGCTTGAGCTACTTATAAATGTTTGGGCATATCATGGTGCACGCCGGATGGTATATGTGAATCCTGAGACTGGTGCGATGCAAGAATACCACAAGTTCAAGGGTCGGAGGGGTCAAATGTGGGTCAAATGGTTTTCATTCAATACTTTAAAGGCCATGGATGAGGATTTGGCCGAGGAGGCGGATTCTGACCACCCAAAAAGACGATGGTTATGGCCATTAACGGGTGAGGTTGTCTGGCAAGGTGTACTTGAGAAAGAGAGAAATCTCCGGAACCGACAGAAAGAGACAAGGAAGCAAAAAAGTAAGGATAAACTAGTGAGGATGAGGCATAAACACCATCAAAAAGCATTAGGGAAGTATGTGAAATCCCTGCCGGAAGATATGGAAAATACGAATTCAACTATAGTAACGTCAAATTAGTTTCATATGCGTTTTGCATCCTTGGTAGTAGAATCAATTTGATTATTCTTTAATTTCTTTTTTTTTCCTTCCAGGGTTTATTTGTCAGAGAGGATACATTATTTGTGTACAGGTGATTATTTTTGTATGTAGCTATCGGCGTCCATCTTGTCATTGATGTTCATGAATGGCTCAATTGTATACTAGTTTTCCTTTCCCAATTTCTGTGCTCAATTTCAAATTATATTCCAGAACTTCTCTTTCTACCATGGAACTAATCTGTGTGAGCTTAAACCATTAGTGCGGGGATGGTGTCTATGCATGGGAAATACACGCCCACTTTGAGTCCGATCATTAGAGAAACACTCGAGAAAAAGAGCAATATCCTAGTTAAATGCCTCACTCCGACCATGGCAGAAACCTCGATACATTTCTACTAGAAAAGGTACATTCAGGATGACCATTCCTGCTTATCAAGCACAGCATATAATACTTTTAAAATGGTGGAACAACTCAGGTATTGACAAGTCTAAAAGAATCAAAACTTCGGCCAAATGGGCCTCGCATTGTCACCCATTAGGATCAAGACACGCACTGCAAGTGTTAAACCGCAAAGGAGTAATAAAACAACACTATAAGTAGGTATTACATTGGTTGGGCAGGTGAATTCCTAGCTATATCACCGATCTACACTCTCAAGCTACGTTCTCAAGGGGCTTGCCTCCTCTTATCAAAATAGAATCCAAAGATCACTGCTGTTTAAACATCGTACTTGCATATCAGAATCTAGGAGCTGCAAATCAAAACATATCACACGTCAAAAAAAATCTCCACGGATGAAAAACGGATAAGACAGCAAAAAAATTAGTAGTATCATTATGTAGCCTACCTCCACCAATGGTTGCTTCAGGAAGTCGCTCAATTGAATACTTATGCTGAGTGATATACATGATTGGCACACCAGGAACCTGTCAATAAACAAGTTTTATCCACCACAGTTTGGTTTCAAATGCAGTGTCAACTCCAGTAATTAATCATACCTTGCGAATCCTTCGCTTCAGATCTCGATCACATGTAGCAACAATAAAGCATTTGTGCTGTTTCCAAAAATAGAATTCATATAAGTAAACAAGAATATAACAAAAATTATAATAACATTTTGCAAACTTCAAAACTGGAGAAAATATACAAGAGAGAGAAAAAGAGAGAGAGAAAAAAGTTATAAATTCAAAATAACAACATGCATGTCTTGTTTAGATGATTCCTCATCCAAACATTTATGGACAAAAATGTGAAATGAAGCAAGAAAGAAACCTATAACTAGCCCTAAAAGGTCTAATAACGCAAGTATAAAGCAGCAAGGATGCAGCAGGGTTGAACCATTTGAAGTTATTGAACAGATAACAGAGGTCCCAAGATGTTAAGGCAGCAGGCTATCCTTAATAGTCAATGTCATTGCTGAAGTTCTGTTCAAAATTGGAACATTGACCGTACAAGCTACATAGTATTGACAGAATCTTTGAGAATGAAAGTCCAAAAATTTGATATCCTAAGAAGTCCATGGCTATAAAGTGAGATACTTCAAATCATATTTCTCTAATGGGAAAACAAATGCGAACAGCAAATATTAAAGCTTGATGGTTGTTCTCTTGATTTGCTGTTACTAACCATAATGCAAGACTATTTTCCATGCATTACACAGTGTGTCATAGGCCAAAACATCATGAAAATATTTCATGAAAACAGGAAAAATAAATCCTACAAGATTTTTTTTTTTTTTTAATAATGGTGCAAAAGGAGTGAAGCTAGTATACAATTGCACAACAGATACTCAGTTCATGCCTGTGTAACTCTTTCAACAATACAGTCATCAGCATAGGTTCCTTTATGAACGCATGGCAGTCTTTCAAATCGAGGATCCTTAGCAATCCTGCCACAGAGAGAGAGAGAGAGAGAGAGAGAGAGAGATGTTAGAACACTTATTTGCCGTTCAATGAAAACTATGGGTGACAAATTACACAGAGCTAATCATAATCACCATCTAAATAAAATTAAGTATGCAATAACAGAAGTTCAGAAATAGTTGTAAATTAAAAAAATAAAGAATTTAGTATTTAGATGCCTTGAGGCCATGTATATAGTCAAATAAGACATTTCAAAGGGATATTGCAGATAAAAGGAATATGGGAATGTACCTCAGAGCAACACGGTATTTTTGGCCTAACTTTTCAAGCTCTGCCATAACACAATCCGTGATACAAGGAGTACCTTTAAATAAAAAATGCATTCAGCAAAAAAAGAGAAGCATTACTGTGACTAGAAAAACGCCTACGATAAAGATTATTGAAATTCAATTTTATACAATTTTCAAATCTAGCTTGATGCATGTCATGAACATTTACTCATGATACAATAAATTAAGAATAATGACAAGCATTAAAGATAACGCTAAACATTAAAGAATAAAGACAATCGTCAAGAGTAAAGCAAGACTCACTACATATTCAAAGAAATGGTCGAAAGAAAAACCAACTTCACAACTTACATTTTGCATATAAGCAGTCCATCATTCCCTTCTCCAGATCCAACTACCGAAGGAAAAACAGTTCAGAATTTTTAAAACAATTACTCAAAGAAAAAGAATCATAAGTAAATGGGCATGAGGATTGAACTAACATTACAATTTTTACTTTGCAAGGGTATTACAACCATTTTATTATTTATCTAATTTCACCATAATTTTTACATTAAATACTACACCAAACTCAAGAGGGCAACAAATAAGAGCACTGACTTTGTTTTGAATGGAGAAATTGATGAAGTTGGTATCAACCAAAACCCGATAAGGCGGTCCCAAGGAGGTGTTGTACGTGAAGAAAAGCGCTGAAGAAACATTTGGCCTGATTCAAATATCAATAAAAAAAATTAGAAAAGAAAAGAGAAGAATTAGTAATAGCATTCAACAATAGATATAAGCTTACACATTTCTGGGGAGTTTTTCCTTGCTCGGGTCTTTCTTTTTAGGATTCAAAACTTGTTCCTTGTAACTGAAATTTTACAAAACCAAGAGTTAATCCTGATGATTATAACAGTCGAGAGTAAAAGAAATAAGAGAGGGCTTAAAAAGAACTTGCTTTTTAATAGCTTTTTGAGTGACTATCTTCTTCATGCCAGCAAATTTTGGGGCCTTTTTTGCTTTTCCCATGGCTTCAGATTGAAGCTTATAAAATCGATAGCGCCGGAAACCCTGAAGCCGAACAGAACAGTAACCCTTTGGAACAGTTCAGAGATTTTCTGTAAAGAGGCGAGTTAGATGATGCCTGGGGCTAGGTCGGTTAGACTGAGACGGGAAGAATATGCTTAGGGTTTTGGGCATTTTAAGAAAAAGAAAGCACCCAAAAGGAGTCGAGGTAGGGGCTAGCTTTGAGTTGGGTGTGTGTGGAAATTCGTGAACCGACCTATAATTGGGTTACGCTTGGGCTCGACTGCCTTAAAAAAAGCCCAAAACCTTTGAACTTTGGACTTTGGAGTGCTTTCTTGGGAAATTTCACTACGGTCGTATCAGAATACTAACCGGCGCGTAGGACAATTTTTCTCCAAACCAAAATTTCTAGGCCAATTGATCATCTCTATTAGGCAATGGAACTCTAGAACAGAAAATAAATAATGTCCAACTAAATGACATCATATGTCCACGTGGCAAGAAACTCCAGACAGTTCGCTGGAACCTGGCAGGGAACACGCGAAGGATCTCGAACTGAGAAGAAGATTTTAAGTTGTTGCAATAATCTGGGTGTTGGCTTTGCAAAGCTACTATAAAATCCGAAATCTGATTGAGTCTGATTAAAGAGAATTCTAGTGCAAACAAATATCTCATCCCCTAAGAAAACAAAAACTTGGTACAAAGCTTTTTTTTTTTTTTTTTTGGGGTTGGAGGATAGATTCGAGTCGATAACTGAGTTAATTGGAGTTGTGGAACGGTTTGTATTGATTTTTGCTTTGGCCTTTCGTCTTTGTTTACTCGACCAAATAAACTGTAAGTAATCTTTTCTCGTCCCTTGTCTTTGTTTCTCTGTCTTCGTGTTATGCTTGCCTGGAAGAAATGCTCTATTTGCAAGTGAGTTTAAATGAGAATTATTTTTATTAAGAATATATGTTAGTATTGATTGCTATTCTTAAATTATAGTATTTTCCACTTTTTCATTTGAAGGATGTTAAAATGTCTTAATGAACTTGGCAGGATTCAGGAAATTGCTCATTAAAAGATGGGTTTTTTTTAGTTTTCCTTAATTTATGTTCTTTCACCTTTATGCTCATGTATATGTATTCTGCGAATATTTCCTGTTTCGTTATAGTTTTGAAATGTTGAGGATAGTTTATGGTTCGATGTAAATTTTATTGTTCATGTAATTGGTTTTTCGCTGACTGCTGATTTGCTCTTATGTACTGTTTGTGACATTGTTTTTATCCTTGCTTTTCTGTAATCAGGGTTATACGGTGATTTTAGTTTTTTATCACACCAGGTTTTAAAGAAATATCAGGCGTCAGTTGCTTAAATAAAGTCTGTTGAAAATGATACCAGTCTACAGATACATGGACTCAAATCCTCACCAGAGAAACCAATCCCCTTTCCCTCAACTTTATTTCCCTTGTTTCGAGGCTGTTCCGCCTCACTGGAAGGTGGATCCATCTAAATCTCCCATGATGTATGAATCCTGGCCTTGCAGCAGCGATCATGGGTACTCTGTTCCCTATCATGGTTACTGTAATCATGGCAACTTCCCTGGTTGCTATAGCTTCAGACCTCCTTGCCCGCTTTTTGCACCATCACCATCATTTCACCAGTATCCAACTTATCCCACATTTCCTGAAGCTTACCCTGTTTTTTATGTCCCTCATCCACATTATTCAAATGAACAGCCTAGGTATGAATATGACAAGGATGGGCAGACAAACTATCATTGCTATGAGTGTCCTAATCATTCTCACAATCAGAAAAATGATAGAAGTTTAAAGATTGAAGAGCAGGAGCCTGATGCTGAGAAGAAGGAAGGTGATTTGGTGGTTCCGATTCAACCAAGAAGTTGTCCACATCCAATTGTGTGGATTCCACCTGAGTATATGAAAAATGAGGAATACGGGAAACGTAATGATGAGTCAGAGGTGAGTAACTGGGATAAGGCAACCAAAAGTTTGAAGCCTACTGAACAGCAGCCAAGAGTTTGGAATGGCTGGTTTCCGCTTGACATGAATGGTTTGAAATCTTTGATGCAGGGTGAAGGGGATAAAAATTCACAAAACCAACAGAATAACGACAAAATGACACAATTTCCATTCCCAATCTTTTGGTTGCCTTCTAATGGGAAACAAAAAGAGGATGAAAATCAAGATAAGAGGACGATAACTGCTTCAGATCATTCTAAACAAGCCCCAGTCAGTTGTGAGTTTATTCCACTAGAGCCATCTGTCAATGATGTTAGAATGGACAAACCTCAATCAAACAAAGAGACTTCTCATAATGAGAATGCTTCTGAGACGATGGGGAAAACTTCTAATAAAAAATATGTTCCCGTAAAACAAATGGAGGTGCACAAGGAGGACAAGTCTGAAGGGACCGAAAAGAGAGGGAAGGATATAAATGTAAGGCCTATTGAAGACGAGGTGCTAAATAAACTTGATGGGACCACGGCAAAAAGAAAATCGCAGGCCCCTCCGAAAACATCCAAGTTACCTGCTGTTTGTCTAAGAGTTGATCCCTTGCCAAAGAAGAGGGATGGGAATGGCAGTTCAAGGTCTCCTAGCCCTCCTAACGGACAACCAGAAGAAACATTGACAAAGGCCTCCCCTGCACCAGGCTTGAAAAATGACTTTGCCGCAAATACAAAAAATTTGAATGGTAGCCTTGATAAAGTAGAACCTGGGGGAAAGGAGAGAAAAAATATTCAGGTGATGGAAAAAAGATCCTTGGAGAACAAGGCTGGAGAATGTACCGGTGCAAGTCAGGCTCAAGTTTTGGAAAACTTACCTATTGACTTCCAAGAAGTGTCAGGGAAACCAAACTATGGAAAGAACTGAAAATGATAGTCATTTTAGTAAAACAGAAGAGGGAATAGGTGCAATTTCTGAGGAAGTTATGGGAGCTGAGAAGGCAGCTGACACAAAGAAAGCTACTAATCGAGACGAATCAGCTCTTGGTCAACGCAAAGCAGAAATAGAAAGGATGTCAGATGCGGAAGCGGCCAAGCTCATCCAGTCTGCCTACAGAGGATTTGAGGTGAGAAAATGGGAACCGTTGAAAAAATTGAAGCAAATAGCTAAAGCCCGTGAGCAAGTGGATGAGGTTAGAAGTCGTATTCAAGCTTTCGAGTCTTCCTCTGATCTCAACAAAGACAATAGGCAGAGACTTTTGGTTGGAGAAATGATAATGAGTCTTCTCTTGAAACTGGATACTATTCAGGTATGTGTACGACAGGTTAACTTCATGTTGAAAATTAGTATCGGTCAGATGCGTTATTTGTTACTTCTATTTTTTTATAGAGGAGCAATGTGGCATGTTATATTTCTCTAGACATAGCAATTTATTTTATCTGCTTGCAGCTATTATGTATCTCATGTTACGTATCAATAATAAATTTCGATTTAATTATTAAAACTTACAAGTATTCAAAAATGGTAATCTATGTGAGCTACTGATAGAGATTGCTTCGCATTTTCAGATATGCTTATTCAATCTTGGTTTCTGTTTCTGATTTCCAGGGTTTGCACTCTAGTGTGAGAGATGCAAGGAAATCTTTGGTTAGGGAGCTTGTGACTCTGCAAGAAAAGCTCGATTCTCTAACAAGCAAGTGGACCGAAGAAAAAGCCAAGGACTTGGCTACCGCTGAATCTGTAGGTTGTCCTAGTATTGATGCTTGCAGAAATGATAGCACAGAAAAGGAAAGCAAAAAGGCATCAACTGTTTGCATTAGCTCTACTAATGAAAAAGGAAACGATATCAAGGAGCCAAATCAGGATACATGTATGGTGGGTGAAAAATCCAATGTCAAGGATGAGGAAACTACAGAACCTCTTATTGTTGACCATGCCTTAGATGGGAAAATGGAGAATGAAAGTACAGAAGTGGCTTGTGATATCGAGTATCGTACAGCACCAAGAATCCAAGACGGAGATGTGTCTCCCTACCTTGAGCATCTTACTGGCATGTCATCAGTTCCGGAACAGATGCTCAATGCTAACGAGTTCGTGGAAGCAAATGATCTAAGAAGAGAGGGAAAACCTGGGATGGTTGAAATGAATGATCCGAATCCTGTGAATAATTACTCAGAAGAGGATAAGCTGAGGTCATTGCCAAATGAAATGACTGATCACGTGGATGATGTTTGTGAACCGGAGAAAATGATTAGAAATAGCAATGGTGAAAAAGAATCGCAATTGCTAATCAATCCTGCATTGCCAGCTGAAGTAGAGAATTTAAGGCGCACTGAGAAAGACAAAGAGATTGATTTGTTGGAAGAGTTGCCAGTTGGAAAAATTGACGAGGAACCTCCCATTTTGGAATTTGAGAAGTGTGAAATGCATGAAACAGGAGAAAATAACATATTATCTTCAACTGAAGCTTGTCTTGCTGAACGTCAATCAGATGAGCAGTTATTAGAGGCAACATCAGGCAACTGTGTAAAGGGTCAGAAAGAATTTACCAAGAGCCCTAAACTTGAAGTGGAGGTGCAACAAACACAGGAAAAGGAGGTCAACCGTGACAACAATTTTGAATCAGTCTTCGTACCGGAGGAAGTTCCATTGACAGTAAGTGAAGAAAACAATGGCAAAGTACATCAAGAAGAGGATGATTATGGAGCAATAACTGCAGTTCATATGGCTTCTTCGGAATCAGAAGTTGGAAGCGTTGCAACTGAGGAAAAATAAGTACTGTTTGAGGATAAGAAAGAAGTGCAGCAGCCACTTGGAGCTGAAGAGATGGAAGAAATAAAGCTGGATAAAATAGAATTCCAGGAACAAAGTCGCATGAATAGTGAGAATAAAACAACCAACATACCTCGTGAGACTATGGAGGAGGGGGTTCTCGTTGAGACGGATGCTCATTCAGAATCAAATAAAGAGCAAGAGTGGTTACACGCATCATCCGCTGTGAGCCAAACGTCTAACGATGAGCATGACTTGTCTAAGATTGAAGGAGATAACAAGCTAATTGACGAGAACAAGAAATTGAGGGAGATGATGGAGAAACTCATGGAAGCCGGAAAAGATCAACTTACTGTTATATCCAACCTGATTGGAAGAGTGAAAGCCTTGAGGAAAAGTTATCAAGGAACAAAAATATGAGCAAGCCACGGTATAGAAAAGTAAGATATGCACCTTCTCGTTCCAGGCTCGCGAAAGCGATAGGGTAGGCTGCTGAAGTTGTAAAACATCTGCAGGTATTTGTCCTGCGTGCTATATCGAGTAGGATTGAGTTGCATTGTATAGGCTTATTTGATGAAATCAATTTTACTTTCTAGTTAATTCATGTATTTGTTGATTTTGTTGAGATGTTAGTTTATGGCTTTTGCTTTTGGTATTTATGTCGTTCCGTCAGACATTGTACCAATAGCCAATAGTCCGAACAGTTCACAGCTCAAACAGTCCAATCGAGCTCTAGACACTCTGGCTCAGCCCAACGACCCAATATTCTCTCCTATTTTCCCTCCACTCCACTCAACGAACCAAAACCTAATTTTTGCACTTTACACTTACAAATAACCAACTTGAACGAACTTTCTTCGACGAACTTTCGCTCTCCCTCCTTCACCCTATTCTTTCTCTCTGCTCTCTCTATTTTTCTTTCCATTTGTCGGCGTTTTCTCGCCGGCAATACCCTTTACTTCAATGTACCTTGCTCGGAAGCATCCCATACTCTTTCCTTTCTTGACCAAATCTTAAACTCAAGAAATCAGAAGAAAACAAGAAAAGAAAGATCAGAGCGAGGGTGAGATGGAGAAAAATTACGTGTTGGAGATAACCTTAATCTCTGCTCAAGGACTTAAGGAACAATCTGGTAAACTCCGCCGCATGCAAACCTATGCCGTCGCTTGGATCGATGCCTCCGTCAAGCTCCGTACTTGCGTTGACCGCGACGGCGGCGAAAACCCTACCTGGAACGACAAATTCCTCTTCAAGGTTACATCGGATTTTCTTTCCAGCGAAACGTCCGGCGTTTCTGTTGAAATCTTTGCGGTCGGTGTCCTCCGAGATACTCTCCTTGGCACCGTCCGGTTGCTTGTTAGTCATTTTCTTCGGTCCGGTTCTTCCTTGAACGCTTTAAAGACTCCTTCTTTCAGTGCAGTTCAAGTCCGCCGACCTTCTGGTAGGTTCCACGGGGTTCTCAACGTTGCCGTTACAATTCTTGAAGCTGCTGATGTCCCAGCCATGACCGGTGTCTCCGCTATCGGTTTCCGTGATCTAATCGGCAAGAGCCTTCATCCAAAGACAGACCGGAGGATGAAGAAATCAAAGTCTACACTCCCTATATCTCGCGAGCATTTGTCCCGTGATTCTGATGATCAATCGGACGATTGCGATTCGACGACTTCGTCTTCATCCCCGGCATCAACGGTTTTGAGGGAGTGGAATGGGATAGTTCGGGAATTGGAGAGAACGAATCATGTAAGGTCTTCATCAGACGGTGGAAGATTGCTTTGCGGATTGGGGTTGTCGCCAAGGAAGTCTGCTTGTCTCGGCCCCGTCATGTTCAATCAAAGCTTTAATGAAGGGAAACTGATGAATGGACGGTCAAGATTCGCTTGATAAGATTGAGGAAAGAAGGATTTGTCAGTATGTTTTAGTACGTCTTTTCCCCCATTTGACATTCCAAGGATAAAACTACTGATTTGTGGTAAGGAGTGTCTCTTTGTTTGTTTCTTACGTTCTGTTTGCTGTATATTAATATCAAATTTGTAGGCCTTCAGTTTCTTCCGATTTTTCCCATGTAACCAGTTCTTGAATTGCAGATTTAGCTTTACTTGTGCAATCGCCAGAAATGAGGAATCTATTTGTATTTGTTATTCCTGACTTCCGAATTATGAGCTTTAACATCAATTTGGGCTAACATCATAGGAGGAGAGGGTAAGTAAATAAAAACAAGTCGAGCTGCCAAATTTAAGATGGGCTTGGCAAAATTTGATTCTCCTTAATAGTATGACTTGAAGCCCATAGCTGAGAATTGCAGTAGACTACTGCTAATGAGTCCAAATGAGTGAACAAACTAATTGGGATGACAGCGGAGAACTAGCCCATAATCAATATCTCATTCAACATGATATCATCGGACAAATTGACATTTATCTTGGGTTGAACGCCAGGACCACCTGCCCCAGCAGGCTAGCCTCTTGGCCCCATTCTGGTTAGAGATTTCCCACTAATCAGGTAGAATACAAGAGGCCCCAAAGTCCTTTCTTTTTCTTTATTTAGTTCTTATATCAAGTTAATTCTGCAACTGACTATTGCCAGGGGATAAGGGTCTGGGCCTCGGCACTCTGCAGCGCAAGTACATTGCAGTTTGCACCAATAACTAGAAGGGTAAAAAATAACGTGTCAATTTATGGGGGCTGGTAAATGAATAAATGACGTTTTATTTACTTTGGTGAAGCTGGGGATTAAATGGGGGGAGGGGGTGGTAAAGAGCACAAGTGACAAAGGAGGGAAGGACCTAAACCATGTAGCCAAACTAAACTAGCACGGAGCACGATGTTGGGTTCATCAATTTTTGATTGATTCGAGTCTGGTAAATAGTTGTAAACAGCACTAGTGCTAACCAGACCCGATTAACGAATGCTCTCACGGACCAAATCAGATATGGAAAAGGTGTTAATTTGATCTGACTGTGAGAGGCAGAGGCAGTCCTTGCAAATTAATTTCCCTTTTTCTTTTATCTTCTATTATCAGTTCTTATCGAAGCATCTGACGCTTCGGCTCTGCTTGTCTGTCCCTTACAAATCTCCGAATTTTGCGCCGATCCTCCTGTTTTCCCCTGTTTCATATCTTTTTTCGACGATGATTCTGAATTCTTGCTTATTCCTTAGTCATCGGCATTCAGCGTTATCTTTTTCTGAACGAATTCTCCAACATCTTTTCTTAATGATGCAACTTCTCTTTCAACCAGTTTGCCATTACTGTGTTCAATTAGGGTATTACACCTCGTTTATTCTTTTTTTTTTCTTTATTCTGGTTATCACCTCGTTTATTCATTTTGTTTATAAATACTACTACTGTAATACACGTGAGAACATTTACCGTATTACGTTTATAAATCCATTAACAAATAGCACGTATAAAAGCCAGTTCTATCAAACTACATAATTAAATTACAAAAAAACACCAGAAAGACCATAAATTTGTCTATTTATGACAACATTATTATCTTAATTAAAACAAAGAGTATGTTGAATTAATGGCCTGACGTAAAAGGTTACGATGTTGCGCGAAGACAAATGAATAGTAGTATAATTCTCAATTAGTCCAAATATACTTGATGGATTAAAAACTCAAATAAGATCTATGGAGTTGTTTTTATGGAAACGAATGATCCCACATGTAGTACATAAATAGTTTTAAAGTAGTGAAAGTTATGAAAAATATGTAAAGAAATGTAGGTGATGAAATGGGTGTGGAAAGTGCATCTCATCAAAATCAAAATGAAAATGATCTCCCAACAGCTCAATCAGCTTATTCTCATTGATACTGTATCTCACAAGAGTCAAGTCCTATCATGATTAAGCGTGGATCATCATTGTCGGCAAGGGAATGGAATTTATAATGCCATCGAGTCATGCGGTGGGTGGGCATATCTAACCATGACTTGTTGGTTAAATTGGATTGAGATATATGCATGTGGCTCATAGGCTTGGTTGCAATAAGAAATGAATTAAAAATTGGACAGCATGGAGACAAATATTGCAGATGATTGACTTTCAGTAATGTACTTAAACATTAATTTGTTAAAATCTTTCAAGTAAACAGTTGAAAGTTCTATTAACTAGTTAAGTACCAGCATCATACTAAAAAATGATTGATAATTATGTAGGATCTATCATCATAAATCTCATTTTCATAGATTTCATCCATCATTAGCTTTTACCTCAACCTTAGTAGGCAAGCTGTCAGTCCAAAAGCTTACCAAACTACGAACAAAATGAACAAATTCCACTAGTTTCCCCCGCTGCTTCTTTTAATCTATAAGACTATTAAAATAGTCAACTGCTTAACTTGTTAAATCGGTTAAATCTAAAAAAAAAAAAAAGTTCAATTTTTTCTTTCAATCCTAAAGAAAATTCTTTTAAGATTAAACTGGGTTAAAGTTAAACTTCATTAAACGTTCATTTTTCTAGACAATGATGAGACAGTGAAAGAGTAAATTTTCATTTTACAGGCAGGAGAATTGCTCTAGAAAACTGATAAATTCTTATTCTACTCGACCTTGGTCCTCCAAAAGAAACCCAATTTGCCCACCACACGTTCAATTATGAACTTGTATGCTTGGAACCGAAGGAAAATCAGTAATCATTATATACTAACATTTTCCCTCTGTTTTTTAACCTTATTCGAGAACAGACGACTTCACTCATTTTCTTCCTTTCCATGATCCTTCTCTTTGAAAATACTGTCCGATTGTGACCCAACAAATCACGTTACGTGATTACAACCAGACCCAACATAAAGCCTTTGAAAAGAAAAAGAAAAAAAAAAACTTATATTTAATATGTATATTCACTCATATGCCAATATCTTTATCAAAGATGTACATTTTTTCGAAAGACCCCACAAATTCCACCCACCGATGGGCAGTGGGCTTTGGGTCTGCCTGCACGCGGCACGCACATTTCCCACATTTTAGACCTTTCCCATATAGTTCCTTTCCCATTTCCATCCCTCTCCACAGTTTTTTATCAAATCAAAGACAATTATAAGCATTTAGAGCGGCACCCATTGCCCCGATTTGCATGAGAATGAGTTTGTAATAATAGTTCTCTTGGAGCTTAGACATGCTTGTGTTGTCCCTTTTCTCTGTTGCTGATGATCAGTCACTGCCTCCACTATCTTCATGATTGTACCTATTCCTATCATGTTTTAGGTCTCTGGTCGACAGGCCCAACTTAATTAAAAAGCTATCCTAACAGGGTCCACTCAACAGCTCAGCTTCAACCAATTCATTTCAATACAAATCTGACTCAAAACTTAGATTATATAACACTTATAGTATGAAAGCAATTCATTTCAAGAAGTGGCAAAACCTTTGGTTTCTGAACGAGAGAATAGGATGAAAAAGACATTAAAACATTTCCTTAGAAGAAATATGAAAGCAAATAGATCGTTTCAATCTTGAAACAAATCATCAAAAAAATCTGAACCCATAATCATTTATATCGAGAGGAACTATATATCTTACTAATTGGACCGAACGTGCCCGAGAGTACTAAAAACATCATTTTCAATGTTGGGTTTCTGTCTGTCCTGTCCTTGACTTTTGATGTTTTAAATATATTTGGTAGGTTTTCCATCACAAAATCTACGTATAAGAAGACAAGACGTAGCCAATTTATTTAGTATTTTCTTCATATTACAATAAAGTACTACTGGATGTGAGAAATGACTTAATGTGCACGAGATGGCTCAGCTGGAAAGAGGTGGAGTAGTGGTGTTGCCACTGTCAACGACCCTTTTCAGTTTGCCTTTATTACATTTTTTAACTCTTGTTACTAAATGTTGTTAAAGGTCAATGCCCATGTGCTTTCACTTTCCGTCGTCTATTCAACCACATTCGCCGACGAGCTCTCCCGTTTCACTTTTTTTTTATCTTTTCCCCTTTCATTTCTTCTCTCTTCGCTCCACATACTAGAGCATTAGTGAAACGATTGTCTTTCGTAATCTACTTTGTCGGTATCATTATGGGCATTAGTAACTTTTAATGTTTCATTAATATTTCAGCTTGTGTTGTGCCTAATAATTTTAATGGCAAATGACGTTGTGCTCCTATTTTTTATGAGCATAGTCAATAAAGACACTCGGGAAAATCTTACAAGTACTATTTGATTTGCAATAAAGATCAATTGGCATAAGATTAGTAAATTTTTCTTGTACTAATTCATAGTAAATTTATTAAATGAAAATTGATTAATCATTATCATCAATTTTCATCCAATCGGACATTCAATTTCATAAAAATATAAATTTAATAAAATAAATATTCAATTTAATCTCACTTCAAATAATTTTAAGAACACAACTTTTTTGTATCCTCCCTATATTTAAGATTTTAAACTAAAAAACGTTAACAATCAAAATCAATCAAGCTCTCGTTGATAAGCAAAAGAAACTATGTTCTTTACCAATGGATTAACCCTCATGAATTATTCTCATGGGTTTTCTCAAATATTATAAAGATGAGTAATTTTCTTTTTATTTATCAAATTTTATTTTTAGGTATATGAAGGAGGCGTGAGTGGGGTTGTACGTTTAAAGTCATAACTTCCTGTTCTTTTTTTGGTTGAACAAATACTAGCAGTGTATTACACCACTTATTAATGACACAACAACGTATTTAAAGTCATTAAAAAAAATCAAAGGGTGAACGCATGAGTGATGCGTTTTATTGATTTTTATATTCCTACACGTAATTGCTTTGTACTAAGTTGTCGAATATTTAATATTTTAGGTGGAATTTTAATAGTTTAGGTTTAATTTTTAAAAAATATCACTTATTTAATATATATGGAAGAGGAATTAATTTATATATTTTTTATTCATTTACTTTAATAAATTTAAAAGATAAAATTAAATTATTTTTTATTTATCTTTCATTTTTAGATTTATTAAAATTAATAATTAAAAAATATAAATTTTGTTCAGTCTACATGAATGTAAATGAATTTTTTCTAATACATATATATATATATATTAATTGCAAATGACGCACCAAATTGCCAGCTTATGTTCCATCAAATGGAAATAAATAAATAAATATACTGAGACTATAAATTTATAGCGTTAAAATCACCATCGGCCATTATGATTTACGACTATATTAATTAATTAAATGCCTCGTTCTATATTTTAAAACGTTACATCATCTAGTAAAAAATATTGTACTAACCTATTGCACTTGGACTTACTGACGTACGAGATTTCTGTTCTTTTCTTTTTTCCTTTTTGGGGTCATTGAGAATGGGATTTTTTTTATCTCACCATACAAATCATTATTGCATAATTTTGTCACATTGATTTAAAAATTCATTTTAAGCATATTGGAAATTTGACTTGGCCAAAAAAAAAATAGCATATTTGAAATTTGAAGCCCTATTATTGCTGGTCAAATTCTAAGTATATTAAAAAAAAAAAATAGCACATGCAAGTCAGTGGTCACAGTTTCTGATTTCTATAAACTTTGTGTGTTACTCGTGTCTCTTTCACTATCTTCATTTCATTAAGCTTTAGTAATTTTGTATTTCAAACGTTTTTCTTAATAAACTTAAGGTTAAAATATTTTATCGATTATCCTTGATATTAGTTGGTATGTTATTATTATATTTTAAATTATAAAAAATATTTTATTATTATATTCTAAATTATTCATATTAACCAATTAAATTATACTATATTTTTCATAATTTTAAATGACAATTGTGTTAGAATATACATAGTCTTTTAAAAACATTGCAGGAAAATGTATAGAAATCTTAGGCATTGTGGACGCTTATGTATTATGTTGATTATAACACTGAACTTTTAATTTAAAATAAAAAAAATTTAGGGGTTGGTTGTTTCAACTGTTAGCTTTCAATGGATAAACAACATGGTGATAAAGGCAAACGATTTTTCCTTAGAAATTTGCAAATCAACGAAGGATCTGGAATGATAGTGATCGTACTTGTTAGATGTTTTTAAAGAAAAGAAAGGAAATTTAAAGGTCTGACTGGCCATGGTGCCACGTCACCAATAAGCCAAAAGGAAAGCCAAGGCGATGGGCTTTTCTTTTCACTGTTAAAAGCAGGACAAGAGAGAAGAAAAAGGAAAAGTTACCCCATGCGGAAATTGGAATAGTATTTTTGGGCTAACTTATTTTGGTTGGATAAGTATATACCGAAATTGAATAAACTCAAATAAATTACTGATGAAGTAGTCAAGAAGAAGCTGAAAGAACGGGAATCTCAATGGGAATATTTTAAATAATGCCCATAAAAACAAAAATAACCAAGAAAAGAATTTCAAAATAAAAAAAAAAGGGGGTTGATGAGTAAGACAGCATTAAAATTTTATTTTTTTCGTCTGTTGGGAAAATTCCATTTAATATATATATTATTTTTTCTTGCATTAAAAAATTAAAATCAAACTCCTGCTTGAATAACACCTCAAACTTCCATTTCTATTTCTTTCCATCCCACACTCATTTCATGTCATTTTTTATACAAGAAAAAAAAAAAAAAACCCACGCGCCCATTCGCGCTCTCTGGCCACTTCCCGTTTCGTTCTTTACTTTCTTCGTTTATAGTCGTTAGAATACCATCTCCATTCACTCCCTGCCTGTCGTTTTTTTTTTTTAATATAAAAAAATGATAATAATAAAAAAAACCTTTGCTTTCTCTATTTCTCTCTCTAAAATGGGTTTTGCTTAGAAATTTGGTTTTGAGCCAAATCTGGAGTAACCCATTTCATTGTTCTCTGAAGGAAAAAAAAGAACAGAAGATTTTACATATTGCCCTCATTCCATCTTCTTCAAATGCTTCCTTTAAAAGGGGTTACTCTTATATTTCACTGCCAATAAGCTTTCTTACTGTCTGAACCTTTTTTTCTTTGCTCAGTTTCTTAGGTTTTTGTTAAATCTTGAAACTTTGTCCGAATCTACCAATACCCATTTGTTGAGTTTTCTGGAACCAGCTTTATTACAGGTTTGTGACCATTTTTTTAGGAGAAAATTGTCATTTTTTATTGATCCGTTTGCTTGTCTGTAATCTAATGATGTTTTGGTTTAGTTGGTGATGTTTATTGCTTTTTTAGTTATGTGGGGTTCTCGTTTTGATGTTTGATTGATAGGTAAGGATGGCCTAATCCTTCTCTTTTTTAACCTAACATTATTTTCTTTGTTCTAAGAACACTAGGGTTTTTATTCTTACTTTTTTGGGGTTGCTAAATTCATGGAAGTTTTTTTTTTTCTCTGAGGAAAAGAACGCAACTTGTTTTGGATTAAATACTCTTACATTTGTAAGAAATCTGGATAAAAAATGTTTCCTTTTTATATCATTTTGATGTTGCTCTTTATAAATGCTTTTCTCCTTTTTAAGTAACAAATCAGTGATTCACATTTTTCTGTTTTTGCTTCAGTATATATTCAATGATAAGATATTAATTTTGTAAATGTATTTTTTATTGACTTTCCTGTGTTTGATATTATCTCCCTCTTGGAAATCAGTGTTCTAGCATTATCTGCTTATGGGCAACATTTGATTTAATATGTTGGCTGATTTGTTTCCTTGATCTTATTGCATCTCCGCCTATGTGTTTTATCTTACATACTGATGATTATATGTCCTCATTTGATGTTTTTTCCCCTCATCTAAGGTTGATTGGTTGTGTGAACTTGATACCAAATCCTTAATAGTTAATATGCATGCGTCTAATCGCTGAGATCTGAAAATATGTGTTCTTTATTGAATTGTTGTTTTCTCCTCTGTCAAGCTTCAAGTTATGGGTATTATTTTTTTCTTTCGTTTTTTGATACTTGACAACATCCTTTTGCAAAGGAAAACAAGTTATGCAGGCTTTGCATTCATTATAAAAGGGCATGCTTTATCTAATTATTGAAAGTTAGTTTACTGCTGTTGTTTTGAGGGAATTTGGTGGGAGATCAAATTATTTTTTTAATGATTTTGTCACATTTTAATCTACCTTTTTTTCACCCTTTCCTCTTAAAATTTTTTTTCCTAATAATCGGAGGGGTTGATCGTAATCATATCAGAGACATATTCATTACACAATGTGATTTAAATGCTTTTGATTTTTCTTCTCAATTTTGTACTACTCTTCATGCTATCGCATAGATAAATTATTTGCCATGCCTTTCCCATGTCAATTTGTAAATTGTAATATGTGTTCAGGTCATTTGACTTGGATTCGGACAATGCTTATTTTTTTTCATATTTCTTCATGGTTTATTGCGTTCTGAGGTCATTGACACCCATCTCATCACTTTTCTTTTCCACTTGATTTTGTGAAGAAATTCATTCGTGTTTTTGTTAAATTCTCAGGAAGTTTCTTTTTCTTCTCTTAATCATGGAGGGAGAGCCTTCATGGATCAGCCATTGCGATGATGACATGTCGAAAGACACTGGTGACTTTGATTCATTCTCAGAGCTTAGTGATGAAGGTAATAAAGAAACAACTGCAGTTTCATTGGACTTAATCCTACCTGATGACTTGTTGGAACGAATCTTGGCTTATCTCCCCATTGCTAGCATTTTCAGAGCTGGTTCTGTGTGTAGAAGATGGCATGAGATTGTCAGTTCCAAAAGGTTCCTATGGAACTCTTCGCATGACCTATCACAAAAGCCTTGGTATTTTATGTTTACAAGTTCTGATGAACCAGTTGGGTATGCCTTTGACCCGATCCTTCGAAAGTGGTATGGCATTGAACTGCCCTGCATTCAGACTCCCAACTGGTTCATTGCTTCTTCGTGTGGCTTGGTTTGTTTCATGGACAATGACAGTAGAAGCGAGTTGCATATCTGTAATCCAATCACCAAACATTGCAAGAAGCTTGAGGAGTCCCCTGGTCTGAAATTCTCTGATTATAGTGCACTGTCAATCTCAGTGAACAGGACATCACACAATTATACTATATCCATTGTGAAGTCTAAACAAGTTCCTGGAAATTTTTTCCAATGGGACCTTTCAATTCATATTTATGACTCAGAAACAATGATGTGGGCAACCTCCTTGACTGAGGTTTTGACAGGATGGAGGGGTGGAGATGAAAGTGTGATCTGTGATGGGGTTTTATACTTTCTGATTTACTCAACTGGTGGTGGCACACCAGAAAATCGGCATGGCCTAGTTACATATAATCTCTCTAGCCGATCATCCCCATTGATAAGGAGTTTTATTCCAGTACCAGGCCCCCTTACCTGTGGCCGTCTGATGAACCTAAAGGAAAAGCTAGTAATGGTGGGAGGAATTGGGAGGCAAGATCGGCCTGATATAATTAAGGGTATTGGTATCTGGGTTCTTGATGGGAGGGCTTGGGTAGAGGTTGCTCGCATGCCCCATAAGTTTTTCCAAGGATTCGGTGAGTTGGATGATGTTTTTGCTAGTAGTGGTACTGATAATCTCGTATATATTCAGAGCTATGGTGCTCCGGCTCTTCTTGTTTTTGACATGAACCAGAAACTATGGAAGTGGTCGCAGAAGTCTCCGGTATCAAAGAAATTTCCGCTTCAGCTCTTCACTGGATTTTGCTTTGAACCAAGACTTGAAATTGCACCTTAATTTATTTCTGATTGGATTTGAGGGTGTCATTGGTCAATTCATACCAAATTTCCACAATTCCTTTTTTCTTTTTTTTGGCTTTTATTTTCAGTTAATATGATATTTCTATTCCACAAGAAAAAAAAAAAAAGACTTACACAGAATGTACCAGCAGGTAAAAGCTGCTTATTTATGAAAATGGAAAATATTAGTAATTCTTTTGCATTGGCATTTACTGCATACAATAAATACAAGTTTAAACTTTCTTAATTGCGGAGTATTTATAAGCTTTCCGCTTGCCTTGGCACCAATGTTAACTGTTCAAACTTCTATGCTTTTGAGTTTAGTAGCTGAATCTTTTGTTATGCAGGGGTGCTTTCAGCACTAGAGATTAAAAGCCACACTGAATTATTTAGGTAGCGTCTTTCCAGATTCCAAGCTTATCTGGCAGTGTCCAGCATGTCTTGTTGGGCACTTTGATTATCAATGGGCAAGAAATCTCTCATCCTCCGAGGAAAATTTGGGGATGGTTGGTCTCTTGTTCCTTTCCTTGGTTTGGTATATTTGCCATCACCAAGTCTATATCTGGAGATTGATAACTTTCTCTGTCTCAGACAAGGACTTTCCTTTCACCTTAGGAGTCAGAACTCAGAGTGGGTTCCCATGCCAGTGAGTTCATAAATTTTCTCCTTCCTGCTGCTGCTTCTGTATTCCCCCCCCCCCCCCCCCCCACCCCTCTCAAGTTAGGTTGTCCATGATGGGATTGGTTAGGTCTAGGATTCTAGACATTGGACCGCACTTTTTGCAAGCTGGGAAGGCCACAGAAAGTAAACTCTCTGCCTCTTGGCCTATGTCATTGTTTGAGAAACCATTGGCAAAATGCTAGTGTTCTACTGTCAGAAGTACTGATTGTTTGTAGATACAATTGGATAAAGTTGGAGCCTTGTAGGAAAAAGAAATTTGAACCTGGAACCTTAATTTAATTTCCATAAAAGTAGCAATCCTTTAACCTTGGATCCCAGCCTCAAGTCATGTGGACAAAGAGATGAAATCTAATGACACATCGAGGCCTTTGTCTGTGGAACCCACTGCCTCTCGAGAGATTATGGATTTTGCCTGAAGCAAAGCCGGGTATTGCACATTCTGTCGTGGATTATTCCAACCAATGACTTTGTAGTCGCCTTGAACATTTAAAACGGAAATTTCTGCTTATTTTGTTGTCTAGCATTTTGAATGATACCCATCAAAACTCTTTAAAAAATGGTCTTAGCAAAAAAGAAATGTTAAACTAGTCTTGAAATTCGAACAACATCTCTAATTTAGTGATCCAGAAAATACGCAGGGTTTGCTTCGGGAGAGTAAATCAAGCAAACATGCTTTTGCTTAGGCTGTAAGATAAAATAATGAATGGTTTAACAACGGTGTTTAACGTGCCCCAGACTTACATTTTGGGTCTTGGAGAACGAAACCCTGAATAATAGTACTACCCAACACTCCAACCGTAAAACATCCATGATCCAACACACCAACACCCTGCCAGTTGTACTTATCAATTATTCTCAGCTGACCGCTTTTTCTTTCCCTAGAGTTAGTGGTAATATTGTCCCAACTTCCCAATCCAAATCTGACACTTACAAGGCTCAAAAACACTGTTATCTCCTCCTACCGAACGAATTAAATATTAGTAGTTAAGTGTATTATACAAATTTGATAATTTTAAATATGATATATTAATATATTATAAAAAATTATATTTTATATATATTTAATATAATGTAAATATATAAATTATCGAATTTAAGATTGCGATTAAATGCTAAACCTCCAAAAAAAAATGTGCTTTATTTTAATTGTAAAGAGAAACACCGGGGACCATTTGTGGTGGGCCAAGGGAAAAATGGAAAAACAAATTGGATTAAGTGATGGTTACACATATATATTTGTGAAACAAGTGATGGTTACTTGTTTCTCTAAAACCAAACCGACAACTATACTAACTGAGTCCAACTGAACCAACCGGACACGAAATTTTCCTAAAATTGGGTCTTAGGGGTACCCATGCACTCCCCACTTTCAAAATCTCATAACTGAATCTGGCGCGAAAAACTGGATTGCCTTTTACTCTCCACCAGCCAATCACCCCCTCACCCTTCAATTTTTACAACAAATTAGAAACCTATAAAAATAAATTTTAAAATTAAAAAGCAAAAATAACAAAAAAAAACCTCTCTTTTTCTTTTTTTTTTTTGTTTTATTCAATCAAAAGGAATTCGAGATTCTTGCAATTCTCTGTAGAATTGGTCCTGGAAAGGTATAATCAAATTCATCTATTCCACGAAAATTGGTTTTATGTATGGTATTTTGATTTACTTTTTCTTTATTTTAATGCTCTTTTTTCCGTTTTATTATTTTCTTAACATGGCCATTGTTTGATAGATGTTTCAATTATCTAATATCACCTTTGGTTACATTCATGATTGCTTCGAAAAGTTTCAGATATATATATATATATATATATGAATTCAATCATTTCATTAGGATCATAAAAAATGCTTGGAGCTCGAATAAATTTGAATAAGATATATAATCATTACATGAAAAATTAGGTATTGCAGAGATGAATCACACTTTAGAGAATGAAAAAAATAGGAGATGTTGAGGGAGAAATGCTTGATTTTCTTTGGAGAATTTGATTGCATATTTGAGATAGGATTCATTCGTGATATCCACTTTTGAAAGATATTACCATGTTTATATGGGGAAATAATATTGTGACAAAACATGAATTTGAACCATTTGAAACATTTATTTGTTTTCTATGATGCAAAAATGGGTGCTTATTTAGTTGGAATACATGTTAAAAAAAAAAAAAAAAACAGAAATAAGCATTTTGGAGGGTGGGGAGTACATGGCACTTTCAGACAGGGAGCTTTCAGCATCAGACTTAACAGCTACACAAAGCAATTGGATTCAATATTCTAAACAGCACTGTAATAATCTCCCTCCAGGATCAATTACTGGCTTTGAATGGAAAGATTACTGTTCTAAAGCTTTCAGGTTTTTTTTTTTTTTTTAGTTCAAATTGTTTTCATTCATGTTTAATCATGAAATTCTTACTTCATCTCTCTATTTTTATTGTTTCAATCAACTGTTGATATCTGGATATGTGGGGCGTTCTTCCAGACTTATACAAGAGCTGGAAAATATTGACAATGATGACTACATGGTGCTAGTTTGTAGTGACGAAACTATAAGGAAGGTCACTTCAACATTGAGACCTGGAAACATGTTCCTTCTGTCCAAGGACAGCCGATTTGCAATAAAAACACTACGGAAATCTGAAGTCAAGGTAACGAAATCTGCCTTCGTCACGATCTAACAATAACTAATGAAAATTTACAAGTAGATATATAATCATATGTATTGCTCCCAAGTATCTAAATATAGTTAGTTTTTGATGTAGGTCCTCCTAGAAATGCTTCCAGGCTACTATAACCATCTCAAAAAGTTCCGCAACACATTATTGAACAAGCTTTATGGAGTTCATGTCGTGAAGCCAGTTGGAGGTGTCAAGGTAAAAGGAACATATATATATATATATATATATATATATCGCAGTAAAGCTATGTTCCCCCAAACAATATTGGGAATCATATCTGCAGCATAAACCGACAACAAGAAAACATAGGATATGGTATCTTATTTCATATGAAAATTTTATTGGTCAGCATTTCGTATGTTATTGTTTGACTTGTCTAATGATCTGTATTTATTCTGAATATATATCAGATCAGAACTGTCCTTATCTAATAAATTGAATAGATAGTTTTAAATTGTTGCTTGACTGTGAGGCCAACTATGAATATCAAAATTGAGGTGTTGAAGTTGCATCCGTGTATTACAATTAATCATTGCAAGGGATGCAAATTAAAAATGCAGGTCGGGCCGAAGCTAAACAATGTGTCTCCTTCCATGAAGTGATTCTATATATGGATTCTAAGTTGAAATTTGATAGTAATCATGATTGAAAACTTGCCCTTAGTTTTGGCATGAGTTAAATAACATATTGAGTTGGGGAACAGGTTTACTTTGTGGTTGTAGCAAACATATTCAAGTCAGATTTGTTGATGCATCGGTGTTATGACCTCAAAGGCTCATTACAAGGTCGAAAATTGGAAAAAATGAGATTCCGAGAGAAAACTCTTCATAAGGAGTCGGATTTTGATTTTCTGTTTTACCTTGAACCACTCGTCCGACATCGACTTTTGACGTAAGTTCATCAATTTATATCTTCTCTAATAACTTGTCCGTTAAATATTTTAATTTAATTTTAATTTAAAAATGTATTTAAAATATCAAAATATTGATATTTTAATATCTTTTTTTAAAATTTTGTACTTTTTAACCGCGGGTTTAGAAGACTGACCATGAACACCTTTAAATTCCAAACCTACTCCCAATGCGTGCATGTCAGTTTGTTCCCTCACATGTTAATTCCTTTATTGATTAACGATGGCAATTTTATTTGATAGGCAAATCAAGCATGATTGTGCTTTTCTCGAGGCTGCAGGCGTCATGGATTACAGTCTGATGCTTGGCTTACATGTAAAGGGATCATCTCAAGGTGAAATTTCCCATGAACTTTCGTTGCTTTAGCTTTTGTGAATCCCTAAAAAGATTATCGAAACACAAAATCTATTGCAGATTCTAATGTGATGTATATTTGTTGAGTTTAAAACTAACTCTGTTTACAAGGTAGATTAAACTCTTGAACCCTTAGGATCCTACTAATGTTGAATCACTGTTTTGATATTGGATGCATGAAAAACTTTTATCTTGTTTTGATGTTGAATCCATGAAAAACTTGTCTTGTTATTATTATTCTAGGAACAGAGTAAAATTTCTGATAAGCTTTAAGTCTCTCACAGGTTTCTCGGATAGTGGAAGTAAATTTTCTCCGGAATCACGACGAGGTAATTACTTGCATCAAAGGATCTCAATCACTTTATTACATGTTAATTCTTGTGAGGAGGCATATAACTACCCGGGTTCTTGGTAATGTAAAGCACAGGGAAAGAGATTTGTGTTATGAAAAACAACAAGATGACTTTATTTGAAATTGGCAAATTGCGAAATGACTAAATCTTCCAAATATAAGTGCCCATCTTAAAAGAAATTGTAAATTCCTTTATTGTCTTTCTGCAGGTTCTGTTGACAGCAGATGTTCCAACAGTGGCATGAGATTTTCCAATGAATCTTTGCTTCAAAGTGATTTGTCCTTACAAAGATCCTCTATCTCTTCATTTCGAGGTAACTTACAGTCACTTGGTGAGCAAAAAAATATAGCATGTACCTGGTAAAGATTCCGCATATAAAAACTATAAGTTCAGGAAGAAAAAAATATGTACTGATAATTGGTTCTCTGAATTTTGAAAAGTAGTATATTATTAAGGAGTTGATGGGTCAATCCTATTTGGAAAGGAATGTTATAGTTTTTCAGTGTTTTGCCTTCAGTATTATGTAACTCACTATCATTCAATGTTGCTTAAAAGGCAAAGCGAAAAGAAAAAAAGTGACGGAGAACCTAAAAGTTAAGAATTGTAAGAAACTGAATGCTTAACTGTTCCAATGTTGTCATATTCATTGAATAAATATATGCTTAGGAAAGTTCTCTCTTCTGCCAATCATCCTCTCCCACATGTTCCCATGGCCATGAGGAGGTTGTAAGATTATTAGCAATAAGCTGTACAAGGCATATTCTGTTTTCCTGCCTTGCAGATTCAATTGACAGCAGGACTACAGACTGCATCACGAACATAGTCTCCACTGACTCTTTTCAAGAGAATGTAGCAACGGAATTGAGTTTTGGTGATCAGTGGCTACGAAATAACAGGTAAATTTTGCCTGCTAAATGTATACTCGGCATGATATATGTCAAAAACTAGAATGCCTTGTTCTTTGAAGTTTGGATATGCTTATGAAGTTTCTGATAGAAACCTGAAAACATAGGAGAAGTGTCACATTTGATATGGCATATGGCTACTCTTTAATGGTATTTTTGCTACATAATTTCGAGTACAGTGTGGAACAAATTCTGAGTCAATTTTTTCCAATATTATAGCCAACAAAAACGACATAAAATTGGAGCAATTAATCATTTAGAATAGAAGGCACTGATTTATACGATTCTCGTTTTAGCAATTTCAACACACTGTTATTTTCATATTGCTGTCAATCGTGTATGAATCCGAGGTTCAGAGATGATATGGAATGTTAGATATTGTAAGGAATTGATACAGTTTCTGTGCTTTGCACTATATATGGTTTTCTTGCAGTCATACTTCTAACTTCGGCGAAGAACTGTCTGCACGTGGAGTTCGCATATCAAGGAATGGAACAGGAAATGTATTACCACGTCAAAATTCCAGGTCGCGAGAGTGCCATGATGTTCTTTTGTATTTTGGAATAGTAGATTTTTTTCAAAATTACAATATGATCAAGCGACTTGAGCATGCTTACAAGTCACTACAGTTCGATCGCAAGATGATTGCAGCCGTAAATCCCAGAGCATATTCTTCTCGCTTTCAGGATTTTATCGGTGACATATTTAAAGCTGATGATTCTCTCCTCTGAGCTCACAAATGGTAAGTTCTACACAAGCAGAAATAAATTTTCTATTAACATCTTGAATATAAATAAATATTTTCCTGAGGGATAACTATAAACACAAGAGAACGACTATCAACTGCTACACATATATAGTGCACTGCGGCTGCAAGGCCATGGATTTTCCTGTCAAATTATTCTATATTTAAATCAAATCCACTTTAAAAGCTTTTAGGTTATACTGGTTGATTTTTACTAGAATAATTTCACATGTTCTGTGCCGAAATTAAAAATATAAAAGACCTTGTGAAAATGGTTGAATCCCTCTGCTCAAGGTCCAGTCAAAGCATAAGCATTCTGTCCTAACCCTGTGGATTGCTTGGGTCCCAGTGGCACTACGGCAAGTTTGAGGTTGGGGGGCTCATCTCAAGTCTCATGGACCATAGTCTTATTAAATATTAATGTCATCTCAACCAAAAACCATGCTTAGCATGTGCAAAACCTAACTGAATGTACAAATTTTTGTTTTGCAGGATGCAGATAAAGATCATGCATGAATGAGTAGATATTGAGTATGTCTAGTGCTCAATCGTGGCACGTAAAGGATAAATGAAATGGTATTTTATGGAAGACATCAAATGACTAACCATGGAGACAAATCTTATGAGAGACTGAGAGTTATCCCTTAATTTCTTAAAAATAGATAAAGTTAGAACTTGGAATGTGTTGCTTCTGCACCACTAAGGTATCTAATATGAGAAGGGATCATTGCTATTACCTAGGAATTAGCTTCTGATAAATGAAGTTTTCAAATGTGAAATGTATGGTATTCTAAAATATTCCAATTTCTGATCTAAATTAGTTTGGCAAGCATTTGCTGTATGTAATAACGGAAAATGTCTGTACATGACTTTTCCATGGTGTAACCTTAGAGAGCACATAAATTCTGTTCTTGACTTCTGATGGCTTCCGTTTGAAAATGATTCCTCGTTTCACTCTCCTAGCGAGAATTAATGCGCACAAGCACTTGTCACGGTGATGAAAACTCATGAAGCCCAGTCCCTGCCCCTGACACAACAACGTACAGATTTGAGTTAAGAACAATTTTTGACTCTTGGACTCTTTCAGGCCTCAAAGATTCATCCAAGCATAAAGGCCAATGAACTATCACCTTGGCTCTTTCGATTGAAAAACAATTTGTTAAACCCTAGACTTAGTTTATCTATCCAAAATGGATGGTGGATTTTTAGTAGGGTTAGAAATCAAGTCACAATCCTTACAGCCCTTGCCTTAATCTTCAACAAAAGAAAAACAATTTGTTAAGTATTTATCATGTACTGAGAAACACATGCTTAGATGAACTATGTGCCAATAAAACACAAACCAACTAAACTTAGATGAACATTCATTCGTTCATGTGCCTATATATGAGAAAAATCATGCCATCAACATAGTTGGTGAGTGGTGAGGATGTTGCGTCATCTTATATGTCGGCCATTATATGTGGAATGTGGTTAATTTATAGACTAAATTGCATGAGCTTTTGGACCACATTCGATTAAGATAGAACTACTTTTAAGTGCTCCATTTCTCCTCTTATCATTCTTGTGGTCCTCTTGTTTCCCCAAATTTAACCATGCTCTTGCCTTGTGCACTGCCTTCTAATTGTTATTGAATGGTAAAAAAGACTTTTTACCATGTAAATTTCTAAAGATCTTGAACACGAAGAACTAGCATCAAGTACAAATATGGTCGTTGTCTAATTTATTATAGATGTGGCCACTAGATTGATCTATTAAGAATATTGACTTAAATCTCATAAGAGATTTATTTGAGATTTATTAAATATTACTTGATGGACAAGAAGACTTATAAAAAAAATTCTAAGAGAAAGAAAATTTTTAATAGGTAAGTTTGATTTGTAAGAGAAAAATTCTAAAAGGAAATGGATTCTTAATAGGCAAGTTTGACTTACAAGAAAAAATTCTAAGAAGAGAGAGATTCTTAATAAGCAAGTTTGTATGGTTATAAATAGGTGAAGTCTCTACAAATTAGGTATAAGAAAAAGATGTAAGATAGTTGTAAGATTTTATGAGATAGACACCCCATAGGAGTATTGTGGCTTTACGTTTTATGGGTGTGTATGTTTGTTTGTGAGTGGACTAGAGGAGATTGAGAGGGTCTATATAGGTATGATATATGGAAGTATATGAGAATGTGTTTGCTTATGTTAAAATGATACACAAGAGTTTGGGTCTGTATTTGTTTGGGTTGAGAATACTCCATAGAAGTAGAGGAGATTGAGAGTGTCTTATGAGTATTGATTGTTAAATGAGGTTGTTGATTTGATGTATGTTTGTAATTCTCTACAACTAGTGGATCTTATTTTTCATCTGTGAACGTAGTTGATTGGACCGAATCACGTTAAATTATTGTCTCTTGTGTGTTTGATTTATTATTTGATTTTGCTTCCGCTGGTGTGATTGGATTGGAGGCTTTTAGCCCAACAAATGATATCGGATCTGTGGTGTTCTCCAACAAATGGTATCAGAGCTGTGGTGTTCTCCAACAAGTGGTATCAGGCTGAAGGTTCAAAACGTGAGAAGAGTTGAAGATTTAAGATGTGTAAAGAACCGAAGATTCGAGACATGGAAGAGCTGAAAGTTTGAGATGTAGGAAGAGCTAAAGGTTTAAGATGTGGGAAGTGCATGGTTTGAGACATGAGAAAAAGTAAGTCCAAAAGAGCTCGATTCAAGAGAAGAGTTCGAATTTAAGTTTTGAAGATTGAGGATCAATTTGCATGAAGCGTAAAGGCACACAAGAGAAGATGATTGTGAGACTTCAATTACAGGTGGAGCTAAGCATGTCTCGCATGAAGACAGATGATTGATGAAATTTGAGTATAGGTAAAGATTGTTGGAAATATTGACTCAAATCCCATAAAGATTTGTTTGAGATTTGTTTGATATTACTTGATGGACAAGAAGACTTGAAAAAGAAGAATTCTAAGAGAAAGATGATTCTTAATAGGTAAGTTTGACTTACAAGAGAAGAATTTTAAAAGAAAAGGGATTCTTAATAGGTAAGTTTGACTTACAAGAGAAGCATTCTAAGAGGAGAGAGATTCTTAATGGGCAAGTTTGTATGGTTATAAATAGGTGAAGTCTCTACAGAGTTAGGTATAAAAAAAAGATGTAAGAGAGTTGTAAGATTTTGTGGGATAAACACCCTATAAGAGTATTGGGGCTCTACGTCTTATGGATGTGTATGTTTTTTTATGAGTGGACTAGAGGAGACTGAGAGGGTCTACATAGGTATGATATATGGAAGCATATGAGAATGTGTTTGTTTATGTTGAAAGGATACACAAGGGTTTGGGTTTGTATTTGTTTGGGTTGAGAATATTCTATAAGAGTAGAGGAGATTGAGAATATCTTATGAGTATTGATTGTTGAGTGAGATTGATGATTTGATGTATGTTTGTAATTTTTTACAACTAGTAGATCTTATTTTTCATCCGTAGACGTAGGTTAATTGAACCGAACCACGTTAAATTATTATCTCTTAATTTATTATTTGATTTTATTTCTGTTGATATGATTGGATTGAAAGCTTTTAACCCAATATGATCATCATCATCTTGGTTCCAATACTTTCATTCTTTTTCCAGGCTTTTGTTACCATGTCAGGTTTATTTCGATCTTTTTCTCAGTTTACTTTACTGGCTTCCAATTAAATTTTCTTTTTTGTTCAATTATAGACAAAGGGTTGGACGTATGAAACCTTTGATGCGGTTTTATGGGGCAAAATCAAACGGAATGAAGGAGTTTGAGTGTTGGATTGTAATAAGAAGTGGCTGCAATTAACAAAAACTATGGTCCTAAATGCAAAATTAGGTATTTTCTCAAGTCTTAACTAATGGAATTAAGACTGTTCAGGAACAAATTTGAGTGGGAAAAGAAACAAATAAGTTTATTAAAAAGCACAAACGAATACTTGGAACAGAAAATAGCTGTTGTTACACGAGCAGGTAGGATATGGACCACAAATTTCGTCGCTTTGGAAGAGATATCCTGCTAGGTAGTTTCGTACACAAAGATTTGGCTGGTACACAAAGAGGAAGCAGGTTTCCTTGGACCCTACCCATAAAACTGCTTCGCCGTGGCTTAGGTAGAGACTGATGTCACGCATTCCAGTAGCCGCAGCCCGCATGGCTAATAAAAAGCTTAATCACGATCTTTTATTCTTCCCCATGAATATTATATCCATTATTGCACTTTGCAAATTTTTAGTTAATTTTTGCTCATAATTTTCGGTTTTTATTAACATTCAATTCTCTCAAATGGGATGGTTACTTTGTACCTTTGCTCAAGATACATTTAGTTTTGATAATTTTTTATTTTTATTTAAAATTAAATTAAATTTTAATCATTAAATTTAAAATTTTAACACTATTAATAAATTTTTATTTTCAGCATATCATTGTTAAAGTGATGAAAATAGATCAACTTCCTAACTTCATCTGATCTATAGTTTGTATGTTAACAAGAATATATAGACTCATTAATTATTATTATAATCCTAGTTAATTTTATGTTAGCATTAATCTAAACTGGCGGTGCCCCGGAAAACCCATAGATTGTTTACAGTGTTAGTCCCAAATTAAGGAAAAAAAAAAGAAAAGAGGTGCACATGTCCACGTAGCAATGAAAATTCGAGTCTTGTCTCGAGAGACTGACCAGAACTGGGAGAAGAGACAAAGCAGAGAAGAGCATGAAATGAGACAAAGCCGTGAGAACTTCACTCCAATTAAAGAGTGAAAAAAAAAATAAAGTAGAAGTAGAATGAGTGCAGAAAGAAAGAGAGAGAAGCACAAGCAACCCACAGTTTGAAAATTTGAAGAGAGAGAGAGAGGAAAATCAAAGACGGAAAGAAAAGAAAAAGTTGTGGAGAGGGAAGGAGAAAAGGAAGAATTCATGGTGAAAAAGTTGAAACGCGGGATCCTGGTAGGGAAAAGAGCTGGCCTCTCCACTCCATCACCTACTTGGAGACTTGAGTTCTCTTCTCAAAATGCCACTTCTACTCGAGACTTCCTCCAACTTCCTACTGGACCTTCTATATCTGCTAGAAAACTCTGTGCCAACCTTTGGGAAGTTGAACCTCACTACCCACTTCTCAATACGCGCAAAGGAGCTCCCAAGCTTCGCCTACACCATTTTAAATACAAGGGTTTTGATGCTGATGTTGATCCTCCTGGTACTCCCTTTTATCAGGTACCGGCATTCTATCTTAGAAGTAAACTCCAAAAAAGAAGGAAATGTTTGTTGTTTTAAAGTTTTAAGCTTTTGTTTAAATTTTAGTATAATGCTTTGGTGGTTCTCTGGGTTGCTTTTTAATTTTATTTTTGAGGTTAAGTGGGGGTCCATTTTTTTTTTATTTGTTTAGCTATCTTTCTTTTGTTAAAAAAAAAAAAGGGCTTTTGCCTTTTTTAGATTCTAATTGTTTGGTGGCTTTAGTGTTCCTTGTGTTTCTTGTTGTTCTCCGTCCTTAATTCTTTCTTTTTCTTTCCTCTGCATATTCTTTGCTGTGAATGCTGAACATTTTGCCTTTTTTTTTACACTAATTGTTCAGATGCTTAGTTGTCTCATGTCTGGTTTTCCAGTTGCTTCCGTGGGGCGCACACATTTGGTCTAGTGGAAAACATGCCGGCTTTTTCTTTTCTTTTCCTTTAAGTTTCACTTTCTGTTGCTTTAGTCACCATTTCTGGTGCTGCTTATCTATGGCCAGTTTGAATTGAAAAGCCATGTCTTTGGATTAATGTGGTCTACGTGTTTTTGGTTGCATAATAGTTGATGTTTGTATGGTTTGTTTAGTGTAGCTTTAATCATCAATAAACTGGTATGTTGTTTCAGTGAGAGTTGCTTTCTTTGCTGCTTGATTGGTTAGTTCATTTGCTCATAATTTTTCTTGGAAATAGATTTTATATTTTAAATGGTTCTTTTTCTGATTATCTTGTTTCGAATATATGTTTGAGATGCATTGCCATTTAGTTGCAACTTGTAAACTAGTAATCGATTTTTCTTCTCTATTTCTGGCTTGTTGATCTTGGTCCATTTAAGGGACGTCTGATCACATGTGTCTTTCAGTTCCCTCTTCTTTTATAATTAATCTTTACTTCATCTCATGTCAGCCAGCAAGTGCAAGTAGCTTGAGGAGGCATATTGCAGCATCAACGATGCAACACCATCGAGCAGTTGAAAGAAATGGTCGTGCTCTACAACCTGTATCTCCAGCAAGTTGTGGAAGCTCAATGGAGGTCAACATCTATCCGCCATAATCTGTAGATCTGTTTCTATTCTTTGGTTAAACTGGTATTGTATTTAGATATTAAAACTAAAAAAGTTATATGCAATGTAGAGCATCCTTAGCCTCATGAAGGATATTTCTTTTCAATAGAAACAGATCATCTTCCATTGAGCTTCCAAGTACTTCATCAATTACATTTAAAAACCGCCATACATCCCCATGGGGTGTGAAAGACTGTTTATGTCTTAGTTGTGCACTATCAAGATTATCAACTAGACCAAATCTTCTGACAACTGATAATCTTTCTAATTTGAGATAAGGGAAACGGTAATTCTCTTAAATTGTAGATGAGACATAAAACAGGTTAAAGTTATGTAGATTATGCATAATTTTAGTGTATAATTTTGTGGCTAATTCTCCTGCTGGATGAAACCATATTATTTTCAGTGACCGCTGTAAAGATTAAGTTGATTTTTGTGATCAACTTTGCAATTCTTCTTTGTTTTGGTTATACTTCCTCATGTAACAGATTAGTATAAAGCTGATTTACTTCAAGTGTAACACTTTAATAGATCTGTAGTTGTGTTCTTTGCAGTTGGCACCTTGTCACCCTACAATCACGCCATCTAGTTCTTTGGACTTTAAGGGAAGGATTGGGGGATCAGGTTATAGCCTTAAGACATCAACGGAGTTGCTCAAGGTACTCGACCGAATCTGGGCTCTTGAAGAACAGCACGTATCAAACATGTTGTTAGTAAAATCTCTGAAAATGGAACTGGATCTTTCTTGGGGCCAGATCAAAGAGTTGCTGCAAGAGAAGCAAACAGAAAGACAAGAAATGGACAATTTGATGAAGAAAGTTACACAGGATAAAATTGTTAGGAAGAACAAGGAGCAAGATAGAATCAAAGCTACCATTCAGTCAGTGAGAGATGAGCTAGAAGATGAGAGGAAGTTAAGAAAGCGTTCTGAAAGTATGCACCGAAAGTTAGCTCGGGAACTCTCTGAGGTAAGATCGTCTTTTGCTAATACATTGAAAGAACTTGAGAGAGAGAGAAAAGCACGAATTCTACTGGAGAACTTGTGTAATGAATTTGCTAGGGGAATAAGAGAATACGAAGAGGAGGTGCGGTTCCTAAAGCACAAGCATCAGATTGATGAAGTTGATGGGGAAAACCCTGAGCGGCTAATTCTCCATATTTCAGAGGCATGGCTTGATGAGCGGATGCAAATGAAGCTTGCTGAAGGTCAAACCGAGCCTGCTGGAAAGAATACAATTGTTGACAAGTTAAGCCTTGTTATAGAAACATTTCTTGAAGCTAATCGCTCCACTGGATCAAGGAAAAGTGAGCTTAAACAGAATTGCTCACGCCAACATTCTTTAGAGTCCTATACATTAAATGAGGCTGTTAGTGCTCCTCAAGGTGCTGCTGATGAAGAAGATTCCAGTAATAGTGACTCTCAGCGCGATGAACTGAAAAAAACTGCAAACAGAGTCCAATGCAAGAGGAGCTGTAAACTTCATGGGAACAATGCTTTATTAAGTCATCCCGAAGAATTAGGAAACCCAAATTCGACAGGGAAAAAGGTGGTGTCTCGAGATGTCATTAAGGGCAGTAAATTGCATACTTCGCGAAAGCAGTTTGATGAACAAATGGCTACTGGGGAGCGTATATATGATAAAAAAGACAGACGGCATGGAACCCGTGGATCGAGTTCAAGGCATGTGGTTGATAGCTTAATCAGAAATCATTCCATGTCCTCAGAAGGTGGCAAGGTTCATCCTGAGAGTAGTTTGAGGGAAGATTCATGTGTTCAATCTGTATTTAAAGATTGTGCTAGTCCAGTTCGACAATGGGTATCGAAGTTGACATCTCCAGATTTTGAAAAATCTGATTCTTCTCTGAAATTGCCTCAGGGTTTTAAGGAGAATACCTTGAAGGCAAAACTACTAGAAGCAAGACTAGAAGGCTAGCAATCTTGCGCAGCTACCAAGGGCTCCATGTAGGTTGATGTTAGATGTTGCTGGTTGAAGCTCTACATGGTGTGCCAGATCTTGCCAAAGAGCAATGCTAGCTTATAAAGATTGTACATCAACTTTTTTGCCTGTAATCTTAGAATTAGAAATGTAATGAGAAATTAATGTTATCGCACCATATCGTGGACCAACTACAATCCAGCTCCCTAGTAACTGATTAACATTAACACCAAACTGTCTTTCTAGATTATAATATCTACAAAAAATATTCTTAACTGTTGTGGTCTAGCTAGCCGCACAAACAAAAAAAAAAAAAAAATTTGCCCGTTTGTTTGAAGGACGCTTGAAGTGGTAAGTACATCTTTTGGCAAGACGTTTTTCCAAATTCAAATGCAGGTAAATAATTTAGCTACCTAAAATAAATAGATGATTCTCATAATGGTCTCTCGTCCAGGAGCCATTTGTTTTTAGATTGCTACCATTTGTTTTTAGATTGCTGTCATTTGTTATTACCCAAGAGATGAAATAATTAGCCCGTGAATCTAATTTATTGTTTAATTATTTCCATCTTTCATTAATTGCTCTTTAAAAATCAGAAATTTGAATATATTCACTGCATCATCTATTAAACAAAAAAGTTTTGAAATTTGATACTATTTTGTTGCTTTTGACCATGGAAAAAAAAAAAACCACTGATGTAATGCAACGTAAGATTGTACTTTCATACGCATTAAACAAAGCAAAAGCGATTCGGAATCCAAAGTTATAATTGTGGTGGTATCTTTTTTTCGTATATTAAAAACACCCCAGAATCCAATTGAAAAGGAAGGATTTCCAGAAATGACCCAATATCCACCATCATCAAATAAGCATACAAGAAGTATCTGAACACACTCATATTTTTTTTTCTTTGATTAATAACATTGCTCCTGTTATCCATTATTGATATAGTGACATAGCACCTTCATCTACCACCTTATATATTTTTTTATATTAGTTTACAGATTTCTTTCTTGTCAAAATTTCCTTCTTAAATTGCTTGGACTTGGAAAGTTAATGCATTTTAACATTCTTGTTTATCTTTTTATGTAGTGGTCCTCTCTGGAAAGCAACCAGGTGCTAAAGAATATGCTACTACTTTCGGCATAGTGATGGATATTGGTTAGTTCCAAAGTTTAAACTGCAATTCAACTATCTGGTTCTATTTGAGTGATCAATAGTGCTTCGTAAGAACAACATTTTTTCATAAATTTGCTAGAATTAAAAGTATATATAATGTGAAACTTGTTAAAATTGCTATAGCTCTAATACTAGTTATTAGGTTAAAAAATTCTTAATTTAATTAAATAATCAAAGTCAATGAAAATAAAATCAAATAATCAATCAATCAATCAATATATAATAATTTAATATAGCTCGACCCAATAAACTTATATCAACGAATGAAAAAAAAATTATTTGTAAATAATTACAAACATATAAATCAAACACTCACAATTAATATATATAAATTCTCTTATTCTCCTTTTTTCTTATAAAATATTTTTAATCCAAACAAATACATATTTATGTATACTGATACTTATGTAAATTATTTTAATCTTCTGTAGTCTACCTAAATAAAATAATCATTATATCTACGTAAAACTTCTCAATTTTTTTTAATCACTTTACAAACATTTAAATATAGATACTTATAAAGATACTCTCAATCTTTTTTAATCTTATGGGATCTATACTTAATAAGACCTTATAACTTTTTTATATCTTTTTTTCATATTTAAAAAATTCATTTATTTATAAATATACAAATTTATTGATCAATAATCCAATTACTCTTAAAATTTTTTTCTTACAAATTTTCTAATTCATCAAAAAATATTTAATCAATCTCATCTTGAAAAAAGAAGAAGAAGGAAACGAAGAAAAGAAATAGATGAGTATAAATTTCATTTTCGGAAGATGGAAATTGCTACACTTGACACAAGGCAAACAGAGTTGCCTTGCTCATCATAGAAATTTGAAACTCAACAAGATTCTTGGAATAACTTTTGAAAAAGGCAAGCTAAAAGATATATCTTAAGTCTTGACCCACATTAAAGTGTAAATAGTTTTCAAATCTTAACATCACCTCGGATTAATGTAAATAACAGTTCTCAATCAGCAACAAATTGAGGTAACCACCAGTTAGAGAAACCACAACCTAATCAAGCTGCGTCAGTGCACAAACTCAGAGAAATATGTTGGCCAAAACAATTGTTTAAGTCATGAAAAGAAATCCCTCCTTTTAATTTGCTATTGCCTTGTAGTGGAGAATAATAACAAGATACCAATTCCCACTCTGCAGTTTAAAAATTCTATCACGTAGTATTCTTGCTTCAAGAAGAAAATTTCTCTCGTCATTGGGACCCGCTAATTCTTCAATTCATAATAAAATATTGATCAGAAACCAACTAATTATAAAATGAAATCATGTCACACACCAATAATAATAACCCATGATTGAAAAGATACCCCATTCCTTACCACTGATTTCGCCTTAATCAGTTTATAGACAAGAAAATCTTATTCCCTGATTCTCTGTAAATTGCTAATTCGACGGCCCAGATTGCTTCGCTTCCACATGTTTTGGCTTATAAAAGGCCCCTCCATTTTCCTTCAGTCTCACAAGTCTCAGCTTAATCACTTTGTACAGCATAATCATAGTGCTTACTATAAATAGTAGTACTATAGTATATAGTTTTAAACGATTAAAATGATTTTTTTTTTTCATATTTGGTGATTGTTTGTGTAGGGTTTGAATGGATGGGATCCAAATACGGGGCTCTCTTACTCCAAACCTGAAAGGAAGTGATGGTAGGCTACGGCTGCTAGTTCATGAATGCCCCTGGATGCGTAGAAGAGCCAGCAATATCGAGGCCCAACGGTGCGCAGTCTGAGGGTTTGCATGAACTGGGAGACGTGGTTACCTTGATCTTTTTGATATTGGAGTGAAGGGAGCTCCGTGTCTCTTTTTCCCCTGCTTTAATTCCTCACCTTTTTTTTTTTTTTGGCTTCTGCTTGAGTTGTACTTTCCGTTGCGGTAACATGGTGGAATTTATTTTGCTTTTTCTTGATATCTCATCATGACCCAAGTTCTAATGAAGACTGTTTGCATTGAACTAATGTTTTGGATCGGCTAATCAATGTTTTATTTTTCAGGCATAGATATTGATCGCCTGTCGCCAGGGAACTGCACTTTGCTGCCCACATAAAAAGTCCTCCCAAGTTGATTATAACTCATCGAAGGCATTGAAATATATATATATATATATATATATATGTATATCACTTGTTCATCTTTATTTATAGAGCTTTATATTTCAAATTCAAGAATCTTTTTGTCTTTTTTTTGCCTTTAGGACCACTGTTTTTCGTACCTGATCTCTTGATCAGGATTTTGAATTAAAGAGGGAAATCAATCATGAATCAACGACTATAATAATTTCAAATGGAGACATTTGCAATTATATATTATTATACTAGTAATTTTCACCTTCAAATGTGAATAGTTTTGGTATTAATTAATTTATATAAGATAACTATCTTTTTCTCCATTTGGAAGATAAATATTTTTGTACAGACGTGATACTCATTGTCACTATTAAAAGTATAATCGATCGAGTTTGAGTCAAGACAGTGCTAAGTTCAAGTTTGAACTTGACTCTAAATTTGATGCTCGAAATTTGACTTAAACTCGATTGAATTTTTTTTTTAGCTCGAACTTGACTCATGATAAAAATTGAGTTATTTGAACTCGTTTGATTAAGCTCGATTAATATATAAAAATAAAACTCAATTTTTATATTCGATAAAAATTTAATTATTTATGCTCGAATTCAAACTTAAGTTCGAAATATTTTATCAATTAAAATAATTAAAATATATTAAAATATAAAAATTCAATTAAGCTCACGAATAACTTGAATCGAGTATAAAAATATTCGAACTTGACTCAATCGATAAGTTAAACTATTTGAGTTCAAGCTCGACTCAATAATAACTGAGCTGAATTTGAGTTTTATTCGAATCAAACTTAAATAACTTACGAATACTAATATATTATTTATACTCTTAATTACGACACCTCTTAAGCGATAGCCATACAAAATAAATTTCTTTTTTACCTTACTTTCTTTTATTTTTTTGAAATATTTTTATTTTACTTTCTTAATGGTTTTGAGTTGAGACTACATAAATTAGCATTTACTATAATTATTTAAAGAGTTTGAATTAACTTATATAGTGTAAAATTAAATATATATTTTAATTATTAATTTTAATATATCTAATGAATTAAAAAATTAAATAAAAAAATAATTTAATCTCATTATTTAAATCTATTAAGATCAATGATTTGAAAAAGTGTAAATTTTTTGTGTATAAGTTAATTCCTCTCCATTATTTAATGTAAAAATGACATGACAGGATGGGCAAAATATGCATTCATAATCCATAATCACTGGAGTATCCAAAAATAATTATGATCTTTTTTTATACATTTTAGTTTTTAAATACATAAAATAAATTTGAAATTTAAATATCAATATTTAATAAATTTTTTATATTTTTAAATTACTATACATTTCGTTAATAAAAAAAATATGAAATTCTAATGTAAAAATCTTGGGTTTGAATAATGAAAAAAGTTGATTGAAAGTTCGATAAAATAAAAGGATCATTTTTGCTTTATAGTTCACGACTATTCCTATAAAATGAATATATGATAACCAATAATAGTTATTTCCCATATAGTAAATTTTTTAGTTTTATTTTTTGTCAAAAGGAAAAGGTGACCATCAGCTACTTTTTCTCAATTACATGCAACGTTTCACCAACACTGAGGCAGAAAATCCCACTCGGAGATTCTCTATATCCTTAAAATTTAATAGTCCAAATTATAGTATATATGTAGAGCAAGCCCAATTACATATATAAGGATTGAGGAACGAGAGTATCAATGAAATTGGGTTTGGTAGCGCCCAATGGAGCTCTTAACGCTGAAAGGAGGTGATGGCACAGTTGCTACAGCTGCTAGTTCATGGATACCCCTGCCTGCGCACCGTATACACCATGATGCGGGTGTGGGCCGTGCAGGCTAAGGGTTTGCATGAGCTGGGAGACGTGGTTTGTCTTCATCTTTTTGGTATTGGGGTGAAGGGAGCTCCTTTCGGCTACCTCTTTCTAAGTTTAAAGCCCCCTTTATTGTCAACAGAAATTCAATTCAACTAATAGTCTAATATGTTCTTTTTCTTCAAATCCTACTGCTCTTTTGTTTGCAAATAGATTTCGCAAACACTTTTTTTTTGGCCAAAAGAAAAAACAAGTGACACTGTATCGGCATAGACGCAAGAGAAATTAAACACCATAACAAAGACAAGATAGTCACGTTTTTTGTACGAAGCTGGTCATCATAATCCATACATTTCAACAGTTGCGTTTTTATACTCCTTACATTTCTTTTTCTTTTGTTAATTTTTTTAAAAGAAAATTATGTCTTTTTTAAACACTTAAATATCTTTTTATTCCAAAGTTATTTTTTATAATTTATTTATTTATCAACATAAAAAATTATGAAACATCAAATTTATAAAAAAATATACACCAAAATTGAAATTATTTTTTGAAACTTAGTAAAAAAAAAAAAAAAAAACTATAAATATGGGATTTTTTTTGCCAAAATAAATATGGGAATTTGGGACGAAGAGAATTTTTTTAGTAAAAAAATAGCAATTGCATGCGTGTGCCTTGCATTAGCGTTCTCTGTATCATAGAACAAAACTATCAACAATTTATTATTTTTTCCCTTTTTTGTCAGAGATTAAACCCACGCTCGCTCATCTCTGTTCCCTCGTTTCACTGGGCACAAAATCTAGCCTTGTGCACAAATTTTTCTCCTCAATTTGTCTACTAAGGTTTTGCTATCATGACGCTTCTCTCCCATCTCTATGTAAACCTCCTTAGGACCATACAACTCCGTCTCTCCTATTGGCCGGCTTGTCTTTGGCTCTTTGCTGATCAGATGACGTCTTTGGTGGGGCGTACTTAGTCAGGATCACCAATGTTAAAGATTAGACTAATTTTAGCTTTACCTAACCCTAACGGTGCCGCCCCGGGGTGCCTACTTCCACGAGTCTCGAACTTTTCTATCATGGGGTGCTTTATTTGGTGGTTTTTAATACTTGAGTTGGGAGTTTTAATTGTTTTGACTATTTTGTTTTTGGACTTAATTGGGAGGTTCGGAAAGAGCCCCCGTCGGTCCAAAACAAGGACATGAGAGGGTGTTACACGTCTGCTGGTTCAGGGACACCTCTGGGTTGCGCAAGTTAACAGTGCTGAATGCGCGGCGTATGGGTTTACATGATTCAGGAGACGCGTGCCTTCTCATTTTCTTTGCTTGGATTGAAGGGAGCTCCAAGCATTAAGTTGCTTCTCATATACTGATCTCCATCTGATATCTATCCATTTCACTTTGCTTTATATAAATGTTTACTTGCTTTTTGTTCTTTCAAAATCTGCCCGTTGTCACCACTTACCATTTTGCCAAAAAGAAAAAAACAAAGGTAATTGATACGATTGCAGAAAGTGCTTTTGCCTTGCAAAAACAGTGTTTGTGAAACGGTATTAATAACACTATTACTTTGTTTTTTATTGACCTGTTTTAGGCCTTTTTGTTAACTGGTCTGCTACCTATGCTTTTCAAGTTTTAATGGATGCAGGATCATTGATAAGGTTTTCAACGCAAGCCAACTAATCAGCTAGGCCTTCCTGCCTAATCAACGCTCAAAGCGCCAATAAATGCTTGTGCATGATCTAAAGAAACCGAGGCAACTTTCTTATGTGATATATTTTCGTAAAAATATAAAGTATTAATTTTATAGCATTTCATCAATCTTAATTTCTTTATTTTATGAAATCACTTTTTGAGTTCCCTTATTTGTCCATATATGTTTTAGTCAATAAAGATGCTGGAGCTTGATCTTATTAATTCAATTAATTTTCGCTTTCGCATCTCCATCACTTCTTTTCTTGATTGAGGGTTTATAGAGCCAATTTGTCAACCTGCAGTGTGAAGTACATATATGACTTTTGATTCTGTTAGGTGTTGAAAAAAAAAAAATTACAGAAATTTATGAAATTTTTTACTAAAAATAATTAAAAATAGAATAAATTTGAATCAAAAATAAAAAATTTTAAATGTCTTAATATATAAAATTTGAATTAATTTTAATATTTTTATCCATCGAATAGAAGATAGTAAATAAGATTGGCGTGGTTCAAACTCTCACTTTCTATGATTTTGTAAGACCTTTTAATCACCAAGCTGAAGATAGTTTTAATATTTTAATATATTTTTTAGGTAAATATTTTTATTAAAAACTTTACCATCATTGAATAAATAATAATTAAATTCAAATTATAAATGATGTTTTTAATTATTTCTTTCGTATAATTAATATTCTCATTTAAGTTTATTAATTTACTGATTTGATTTTTTAATTAAAATTTGAAAGATATACAAATATAATTTTCTTCGAAATATAGTTAAGACTCGGCTATTAGGGAGGGCGACCTTCTTTGAATTGTCAATTTGTTTGCTAATCGATTAGCAACTTGAGATGATTGGTTGACGAGAGAAAATTAAATATGCCTCTTGCTGCGTGTTCATTGGGATCGTGATATTTTAAATGGGTCAATTCATCAATTCTCGAGGCCAAAGCCAACGCAATTTTCGTTTGTCTTCTTCATTATCTTGAATATACCAAAATATGAAAAAAAAAAAGATTTTTAATATAAAAATTGTAATTATTCAAATTAATTAAAATGCTCTGTGACAAATGCTGCCGAACCGTGGTTCCAGGGACATGATTTAAAAATTGACAAAGAAATTGGAAGGTCTGGTACGTTTGGCAGGGCAGCTTTATTGAAAGAGAAAATGAATTGATCAATATGTTTACAATGAAAGAAGAGAAGGCGGGGCCAATAAAAGCTCTAGTTGAAGTAGAACGGCATTAATTTGGTCGGCCACTCAGTCAGTCAGCCAGTCATTCTAGAATGGCTATAGTGTTGCTTTTTTTTCTTATTTTTTATTCAACAAAGGATTTTAGAGCTTTCGTAGGTTTTTTTTTTTTGAGCTGATTCAAAAAGATTTTATTTACATTAAATTTAATAAATTTATAATTAATTTACATAATTAGAATTAATAATGTTAGTAAGCACTAATATTTTATTCAACTTTCTTACCTTCTGCCTACCCATGAATAAGAAAAATTATTGCAATTTGCATTGCGGCCTACTTGTCGTCTATTATTATATGTAACGATAAAATAATAATCAAAATCGTGAAAATTTAAAATTCATCATTCGAATTTTCGTTTTTGAGAATATTTCTTCCTTCAATCTAATCGACCATCTTTTTAATATTGATTTCCATTGGTCAGCATCAAATTTTGATTAAATTATGCCAATAATTTTTGTTTGTTTATAATATTTTAATAAAAATTGAGTTGTATTTCTTTTTAGAAAGATTAGTGGCATCCCTAAACTAAAAAAAAAAAAAACCTCCAATCCCAACAACTCTGTTAGTCCATATTCTAATTTTATCTCGATTTTTTCCTTCAATATGTAATATGCTATAGTATTAAACCTATTCTCATGCATATCTTTTCGTCATCATTTATATACTGCCCTTTATTATTATTATTATTTTGTTATCCATATGTTTAAAAAAAATCCTAAAACTATGTTTTATATTTTTAACATTTAAAATTTTTATTTAAATTTACCAAAAAGCACCGTTGACGAACTAATAACTGTGTAATCAACGAAACAAAAACAAAAAATACGAAGATAAAGATATTTAAAAGGGAAAGATTACCCATTACTAAAATTAAAAATAAAATTCCAATAACAATACCATTTATCCTAAAAAAATAAAAAACATCCGATGAGCTTAATTAACAATATCAGAGGCTCAGAGCTCACCGCAACCGGTTAGTTATAAAAGGAAACCGCTTCTTAAAAAACTGACGCGACAACCAAAAAATGAAATAAAAAGCTTTTTTTTTTCTAGGAAAAAAAAATTGTTACGAAAAGCCTGCACATGCTTTCTTCAGTTGTTGTGGGCATTTACAAATTTGGGGTCACCAGTAGCAGCACCTAAATCCTTATCCTCCCTCGTTTAGGGAAACGCCAGCTCATCGTTTCTAGGGTTTCTTAACTTCTTGTTTAGCTGCATTTTTGGCTATACCATATTATCTGGTTTTTTTAAGATAAAAGAGGGAAAAAGGGAAAAAAGAAAAGAAGGGAAGAAGAGAGGGTTTAGTGTGGATTGGAATGAGAGATCAATTTAATTCGGATCTGTTCGACCCGAGAACTGAGATGGATTCGGATTTTTCGCGTGCGGCATCTGGTTCCGATGGGGATTTTGGTTTCGCTTTCAACGATAGTAATTTCTCCGACAGACTTCTTCGAATCGAGATTATGGGTGGGCCCCAGGAGTGTCGCCCAGATGGAGAGGGTTGCACTAGTATCGCCGATTGGGCCCGCCACCGCAAAAGGCGTCGAGAGGATATCAAGAAGGAAAACGGTTTGCTGATGTTCCCCTTTGTTGCTTATTATTATTATTATTTCCTTTCATAGTTTTAAGGTTTTCTCTCTCTTTTTGTTTTTCATTTCTTTCTGTCAAAATGCCTCTTATTGCTTCTGTTTGGTTAGCTGAGAAAATGAAAGAAAATATAAATTTGAAAGCCTACTAATTTAGATTGTACAAACGATTCTTTGTGGTCGTGAGTTGGTGAGTTGGAAAAGAGAAAAAAAAATGAAAATTAAGGCTCTGCTTTTGGGAAATTTTTGGGAGAATGAAAGTTTTGAAGGAAAATATTATCAAAATGAAAGAAAAAAAAAACTTTATCCAATTTAGACACTTAAACCCCCCCCATCTTTCAAGTTCAAGAAATTTACTTGTTTGAAAATTCTGTAAATAAAAGATTGTGCTGAAGGTAGATTTTGTTGCGATGGTTCTCTTGTTTCTCTCTCTCCATTCACCAAGATATAGCCTTAAAGAGCATACAACTTGAAGGGGTAAAAAGAAGCCTGATATGATGTTGTTGGGACAGAGATTTTAAAGAGTTGAGATTTATTCACTTTGACATATAAACTTGTTCATAACCTTTTGTGTTTGACACACTTGTTTTTATGCTGTGCTGTCAGGGAATCTTTGCGACTATACGTGTCTTGTGTATGAACGTAGTCTGTTTTTTAACAGTTTTGGTTTTTAATTTTTTTTTCCAGTTTTGGATCTTAGTTTATGTCCTGAGGAGCAGATTTTAAATGACAACCAGCCTGATATGGACGATGGTGTGGGCTGTGAAAATCAAGATGAGGAGGCAGTGGCAATGGTTGAAGAAACACAATCAGGTTTTGATGTTGTTTAGACAACATACTATTTGGTTCATTTACTGCTTATATATGTTTTTATGATCAAAACTCTGGAAACTTTTATTTGAACAAGGTTGGCAAATGTCTTACCAATATTTGTGTTTTTAACTGAATAACAATCGTGCAAAAGACAAAACTATTAGAAACTTGTGGATATGCAGAATTTATCTTACTAAAGGAGATGGAAATTTCTCTATTTTGAAATAGTATCATTAACAAAGGATTTTAGTTGTTCACTTGCAATTCTCACTCCTTGCGCCACGACTGCATATTACTTGGCTCTTGTTTGTTGCAATTTGGCATAGTTCACATTTTGATCTTGCTTGGAACTTTTGTAGGTGATGAGGATGCAAATAGCAATGAATCGAGCTGGAGCATGAATTGTTCTACATTTCTGAGAGTTAAAACATTGCATATCAGCTCTCCTATTTTAGCAGCAAAAAGTCCATTCTTCTACAAGGTAAGAGATTGTTTTTCTTTATCAAAAAATATTTAAAGAGAAAATAGAAAGAGATTGTGTTTCGAGAATGCAAATATAGCTTGCAAGATTATTCGTCACTCCTCTTTATTGGTAATTACTTATATGTTTACTTGTTTATTGACTAATTCTAGCTTTTCTCGAATGGGATGAGGGAGTCAGAGCAACGACATGTAACCTTAAGAATCAATGCCTCTGGTAGACATAAACTTCAATATATGGTTCTTGGTTATGTCACTTATTCAAACAGGCATGAGCAGGCAAAGTTAAATGACAATTTTTACGTTTCTTTTATGTACAGAGGAAGCTGCCCTCATGGAGCTCTTGAATTTTATGTATAGCAACAACTTATCTGTCACCACAGCTCCTGCCTTGCTTGATGTGCTAATGGCTGCTGACAAATTTGAGGTTGCCTCTTGCATGAGATATTGCAGCCAGTTATTGTGCGATTTGCCCATGACACCAGAGTCAGCCCTACTTTATTTGGATCTTCCCTCAAGTGTATTAATGGGTGAAGCTGTCCAACCATTGACTGATGCTGCAAAGCAGTATCTCGCTGCCCGTTACAAGGACATGACCAAGTAACTCCTGTTCTCCAAGCTTCATTTCTTGTTTGACATGAGATTGATAGTTTTATTACCCTCTTAATGTGGTTACATGCCTTACCTAGTTGCAACTGCCCGTAAGACAAAATCTTAGATGTTAGATAAGTTTCCAGTCTCCATCTTTATGTTGTCCTAGCAGTATTCTTTAAGCTCTTCTGGTCCTTATATTTTGAAAATGTTCATTATCAAACATGGAAAATAAGCTTTAATGTTCTTGTCAAAAAGAAAAAGTACAAGGGTTTAATGCTATAGTCTTTGGAAAACTTAAGGATAATTTGAAAGCAATGTTAATGACAACAGAACAGTCTGAGCAGTGAATTTACTTCTCTCTCTCTTTCTGTTCCTTTTTAGGCCGTAGGCAAAGTAGAAATTGTGCATATATAGAGGCTTATTTATGCTTTTGGGGCACATTTTACCAGGTTCCAGGAAGAGGTAATGGCTTTGCCACTGGCTGGGATTGAGGCAATATTGTCGAGTGATGATCTGCAAATTGCATCTGAAGATGCTGTGTATGACTTTGTGTTGAAGTGGGTGAGGGCTCAGTACCAAAAATTGGAAGACCGAAAGGAAGTGCTTGGTTCACGCCTTGCAAGGTTTATTCGCTTCCCTTATATGACCTGCCGGAAGCTTAAGAAGGTGTTGACATGTAATGATTTTGATCATGATGTTTCATCAAAGCTTGTGCTTGAGGCCCTCTTTTTCAAGGCAGAAGCCCCACACAGACAACGAAGCTTGGCTGCAGAGGAGTCAGCCACCTCAAACCGTCGCTTTGTTGAGCGAGCTTACAAGTATCGACCTGTTAAGGTGGTGGAATTTGAACTTCCGCGTCAGCAATGTGTTGTGTACCTGGACTTGAAGAGGGAGGAGTGTGCAAATTTGTTCCCATCTGGACGAGTTTATTCTCAGGCGTTTCACCTGGGTGGACAAGGTTTCTTCCTGTCAGCCCATTGCAACATGGACCAGCAGAGCTCTTTCCATTGCTTTGGGTTGTTTTTAGGAATGCAGGAAAAAGGTTCGGTTAGTTTTGCAGTGGACTATGAATTTGCGGCAAGGTCAAAGCCAACAGAGGAGTTCGCTAGCAAATACAAGGGCAACTACACATTCACCGGCGGCAAGGCAGTTGGGTACAGGAATTTATTTGCCATACCTTGGACATCTTTCATGGCTGAAGACTGTCTTTACTTCATAAATGGTATTCTCCATCTTAGGGCTGAGTTAACCATCAGGCTCAAACCAACTTCTGTTTGATGAAGTTTTTGAAGAGTCGAGTTGATGCCAGTGGTTGGTTCCAGTTTATAATGAAACTAGTGTTCCAATATTAATTTATTTTTCTTCTTAGTAACTAAAGTGACATAATATAATTGTCTGGACGGCCTTCTCAGTATTGGGGTGATGGGCTGACTGATCCTGTTCATTGTCTAAAGTTTTTGTTAGGTGAAGTGATGAACCTAAAGAAACATAATGATATTATATGACCTTTTTAAACACGCAGCTGCTTGGCCAAAAAAAAAATCCAACTAAATTGCATACCGATTTCATAAAAATAAAATAAAATATATCTAATTTATCGAAAAATTATAATTTCATTAATTTTTATAAAGAAAATTGATTCAAAATTCTCCATTTAATACGTGCTTAAATTGTAATTATATCAAATATATTTAAATTTTATACTCATATATAAATAAAAATAAAAATATTTTTGCTTGTAAATCACGCAAATCTTAAAGTATAAAAAAATAGAAAAGAAAGAAAGAGAAAAGGCATTCCAATTTTCTTTATCAAGAACAATATCAATTTCAAATTAAAAAAAAATAAAAGCCAGTTATTTTTAATCAGCAGAGAGAGCAAGCAACGGGAAGAACCAAAGATGCCGAAGAACAAAGGAAAGGGAGGAAAGAATAGAAAGAGGGGAAAGAACGAAGCCGATGACGAGAAACGAGAGCTAATCTTCAAAGAAGACGGGCAAGAATACGCTCAAGTCATCCGCATGTTGGGCAACGGCCGATGCGAAGCTACGTGCATTGACGGGACCAAGCGGCTCTGCCACATCCGCGGCAAGATGCACAAGAAGGTCTGGATCGCCACCGGCGACATCATCCTCGTCGGACTCAGGGATTATCAAGATGACAAGGCTGACGTCATCTTGAAATACATGCCCGATGAAGCTAGGCTTTTGAAGGCTTATGGAGAGCTTCCTGAGAATACGCGGTTGAATGAAGGGATTGCCGGTGGGATTGATGAGGAAGATGATGGCGTGGCCGATGATTATATTGAATTTGAGGATGAGGACATAGATAAGATCTAAAGTTGCTCTTTTTTTTTTTGTTACATTTTTAATGGTATTTTTAAATTTTATTTAAAGATATGGTGATGCTGTTTGTTACTATTTGAGATTTGGGATGCTTAATTGTTATAGTTTATTAAGTATTATGGATGCTCAATTTATCCTATAACAATACGTTTACCTTTAATTATGTTAATGGTATTGTTTTCCCTTAAAATTTGACATGGGTTTTTTTTCAGTTTTTATCTTGATTCTGATATTGGAATTGAGTATTTGTTGATTTATGAGTTAGTCTAGTTGATGCTGAAACCTTTTCTGGCTATATGGTTTCATGTTATCCTCTTCCGTTGAGAATTAGTTAAGATTGATGATGGTGTCATTCCCTGTGCTTTTCTTTTTTATATTTTTCGATTGGGGATTTAAGTTTGATTATAGGGTAGCTTTGATTGGTGGATTTTGTGGGAGTATTATGTTTTTTTTTCTTTTTTTTGCATAGTTTCAGTGTTTTTATGACTCTTGATTTTTCATCATAGCATTAAGCATATATTTATGATTCTTGATTTTGTATACATGTCCAGCTAGATGCTAGTGTTTCACCTCACTCTCTGAGAATGGCTTCATCATGTTAAATGGATGGTCTTATGAAAATGTTGGTTTCTGTTGCCATCGTTGATATGGCTGCAGACAGAACCATTACTGCTAGCTGGGAGGCCTTAATCACCTTTCTTTCACCATAACCAAATTCATGGCTAGCAATTTCATGTGTTCTAGAATTTAAACATGAAGCATTTTTCGTCTTGTGTGGTGGCAGGCGGTTAGCATTAACAAAACTATGAATAATGTTGTTATATAGTTTTAAGTGCTTGTCCAGCTTATACTCACAAGTTTCACATAGAATGACATTCAGGCTGTTAAAATCCTCCCCATACGTGTAGGAAAAGAGCCTGCAATTCAACAATGATTACGTCTTCCTTACAGACAGTGTTCAACTTAAGTTTAGCCAACCCATAGATTTATAGAGAAGCAGTATCAAGAAGCTTTTGTAGGCCTGAATTTGTTTCTTTTTTCTGCACCGAATGATTCCAATGCGATGAGAATAAATGTGAATTCTAGAGTCTTTAACGTGAAAAAGAACCGAAATTTGTATAATCTTTGCGACTCAAATTCGATTCTAACGCATTTTGCTAAGGGACTATGCAGATGTGCATTTGATGGAAGAAACGGGCTACTTTCTCCACATTAACATGGCATACATACATACATACATACATACATACACAGATGGAAATTATACCCATACACATAAATTGACAAGTATTATTCCACGAACAGAGCAAATAAAAAGGTCACAAGAATTCATACTAGGCATTCCTACGATTACAGGATACACACGTCTCTTTTACAAGATAAAAAGTGATCAGAAAGAAAATGATCGCAAGTAATTAAGCATGCCAATCTTGTGCATCTATTCTGTTCCAGCAATTTTCTTCTTCACTGCCTCAATATCTGTCGCTAGTTCTTTCCTGCTTGACTGAGGACATACGCGTGTTGTTAACACATGGTTTTTTGTGAGCATATATGTGTGTGTGTGTACGTGTGATTTCTAGTTCTAAATAGTCTGAAAAACCAATAAAATTTTAATTGTAAATTGAGCTATTACGTTAAGTTAAAAACCATCTCGAACAAAAGCCAATTTTAAGATTCAAAACGCTGTGTGTAACTCTTAAAACTTGGTTCAAATTCATCAAATACATCATCTCTTCATGCACTTGTAAATCTTTTTAGTTTTTTGCCATTTCAAATACGTTATCCAGCATTAACATTCATGGGACAACATAGTTTAACAGATCTTACCTTGAAGAGAAGGTATCTGTAGACAAACCATCCTGTATATCCAAGTCCAACTAACTCCATTATCTTAGGAAGCTGCTAAGCACAGAAAATCGTTTCAGATTGGATCAGCGATTTAGTCGAAAGGGAAAGGGAAGACACGTTTGTAGCAATTTTATTGCTGAGTATAGCCCCGTCGTAAGAATAATAAAGGGTAGTGTTAAGAGTTCACTTACCAAAGGGACTGAGTTAATAGCACCCACAAGAATAGAAGATAGCCAAACAGCAACTATTGCCCCACCACCATAAAGAACAACTGTGGACTTGTTCTCAACTTTATCCCACTAGTAAACATGGGAAAAAAGATAGATCAGTTCAGCCTAAGCAGCTTAAAGAGCAAGAAATTGATTATTTAGAAGATATAATGACTAGAATTGTTAATGGTACTGTAATAAGGCCATCTTCTCACCTTTTCCTTCAAGTCAGTGAAAAGCTCCCCAGCATCAACAGAGGTCTCCTCTGAAGCCTTTGTCTGGAGCAGAGAAAACCTCCGGGATTCTGTTTTTGAAACAAAAATTGGGCATGGAATAAATAATAAGCTAGCCATACATACATACATACATATATATATATATAAATATATATACTGGAGACTTCTAAGAAATGTACACAATCTCAGCAAATGAACATGCTGGGCTTATTAACTTGATGCATTAGAAAGGAAGAGCAGGATTATCAATTAGACCACTTACTAAAAGTTGTTTTTAAAAGCAATTTCTGAATATACATTTTACATGCGCATTTTCCAAAGTTTGCATTAAAAGAGGATTCTTCGAGACTTGGTACTCACATTCTATCCCCACCTTTGCTTTTATTATATTGAAAACTTAACCCCAATTTCCAGGCCACAGTCAAGATGTAAAAGGAAAAAGTAATTGAATTGGCCTCACCAACTTCATCCCCGTTTCCCTTATTACCATGTGTTGAAGGTAAAAACAAGATAGTTTTCTACTAAACCCTTGCCGGTTGCCCCATTCATCAGACAAAGCCCCCACAATTACTTTCCTCCAGCTACTGTAATACTTTGTCACTATCACCAACACAACATTTGTAAACCTACATCACCCACGGCCACCAAAGATTTCGTTTTAATAAGCTCAAAGGCATACCCAAAACAAACAAAGCAGATCTTCAGTTCCAAATATGGTGCTAGAACAACAAAAGGCAAAAGTCAACTCATAACTCTCCTGATCTTTAAGCTTTCATTTTCTTTCAAAAAATAAATAAAATAAAGTAAAGAAACGTGTTGAAATGCATGTACTTTTTGCAAGTGAATTGCAAGTTAAAATGGAATGTTAAAACAGCAGTACCTGGAATCAGCTTAACGGAAGTGGCAAAGGAAACGGTGGAAAAGCGACGCGGAAGGGGCGGCAAGGCAGAGCAGCTGCTTGTTCTAACGGCGGTGGGGACACGTGGAATCAAAACGGCGGTGGCCGTCAAGGAGGATGATGCTGCAGCCGCCATTTCTAAATAAATCTTCGCTGTTTCGGATATGTGGCCGCTCGAACTCTACAAATCCTATCCTTTGCTGCCCTCTTTTACAGTCTTTCTTCAGCTCTTCGAAGATATTTTTTTTCTTTGTTTTACAATTTATTTTGGTTGGAATTTTGAATTTGCCAAAAAATATTTCTGGTGCTGCATTTGGAGCAGTGAATGGGTGATTGACACGTGGATAACATTAGGATTTTGATTGGTTGATTCCCTATCTGCAATCCACGTTTGAGGGGTCTCTCCTCTCTCTCTTCACACATTGTATTTTTTTGGACAAAAAGGGTCCAAACTTTGGACCCAAACTAACTTCCATATGCTGTCTTGTTTCGTCTTTTTGCATTTTTCTGTTGGACTTGGTCTTCACTCTTTATTGCTTTCTTTTTCCATATTGTTAATAAATTGCATGACTAAATTTTAATATAATTTGAGTGATTTCATTAACAGTACTCCACACGCCATTGATTGCTTTATAGAGCTTTTCCTTCTCCGAGAAAGCTACTGAACTTCTATTTTATTCTTAATGTTTAATGAATATACCATGGGATCCATAACTGCTATTCAAAAATCGATTAAAATATTAATTCAAAGTTTTATTTGGATAATTCATTGTTCTTTTAAAAATGTAAAATTTTGTTAGATTAAAGTTCAATTCTTGATACTTATAAATTCTATTTCTTCTATTCTCCTATATTTAAAATGATAATTAAAAAAAATTACATTTAATACATTATTTTTATTAAATTTTAAAAATAATACCTTAATTACATTTTTTTTCTTAAGTATCACGTTGAACCAGTGGCTAACACTTCCCCATGAATATCAGCAAAATGGGCTCATTTTTTGGTCCACGTATAACAACATAGTGGTAAATGATTGGGCCTTGAAATAATGATAAATTGGGCTTATATGTTTTCTTTGGTGGCCCAAGATAATTTAAAATTTAAACATAAAGATCCTTTTTATACGTATTATAATAATATTAATTTTAAACTTTTCTAACAAATATATGCTTTCTAAATAATAATGCATCTAAAAAAAAATTTCTAATTTCTAATTATTTAAATAATTAATCCTACGATAATGAAAAATACCAAATAAATTTTTCATCACATAATTGGAAAAGGCCTTTTTTGAATTTTTTACATTAAAAACTCTCTTGCGTTCATTATCCGAAAAATATAATCTGATAATTAATTAGGATTAGGTTTTCTATAAATAAATACTAAAATCTAAATGCAATACCGGTGGACCGTTTTGATGACGTGTGTTAATGCCTGAACCCAAGTTGACTTGGGCCGGACAATCCTCCAATGATTCTAATCATCATTTTGAAAGGTTGACCCAGTCATGGGTTATGGCGGTTGGCACTCTTTTGATTACATTACCATCGCACAAAAATAATCTTCATCCCTATGTCCTGCTCTTGCCAAATCTTTAAACCCAAAGATTTTAGGTGGCAAATTTTTTTTATTAAAGAATATGCAAATTTGGGCTGATATTTAAATATTTTACGCTTAATTTTATTTATTATAATTTTATAATTATTCAATCATCATTTAAAATTATATAAAAATTTATCATTTATAAATGTGAATTTTATATAAATTTTTTATAAATCTCATATATTTTTAAATTATAATTAATCAGTGATAATATATTAATTGTAAGTGATATGCTCTTAATTCTAAACTTTTAAATAACAAAATGAGTGGATTTAATTTCCTTTGGTCAAGAAAAAAATGAATATATCTCCTTACAGTATGTGCTTATATTCTTTTTGTCTAAAAAAGATAGCATATTTATGATTTTTTTTTTTTTAGTCTAATGGTTAAAAGATTAATTGAAAGTTATATAAGATGTGAGTTCTATCTCGTCATCTTCTTCCTCTTGTGAGGGTACTAACCCTTATTTGCAAAAAAATATATATATTTATTATATTTTAATGTATGAATGACGATCCTCTAGCTACGTTGTAAAATTTAAAATTCATTAATAATATATGAGATGATTTTTCAAGCGAGTGCTATAAATTTGTTGACAATTTCGTTTCTTGTTGAATGCAAAAACCAGTCATATAGGCTTCGTCAGAGGGCTTTTTTAATGTAAAAATATTATAGTATCGTGTAAGAAATCGGTTAAACAGTCAATGACATCCTAAGACCAACTAACTCAATGTATAAATTTATAACAACTCTTGACACAAATATTGGGGTTTAATCTCAGCCTCCCCCCGTCCCTCTTTTATTGCAAGGCTCTACTCTCCTGAAAACCAAAAAAAAAAAAAATTTATAACACCTCTTATCATAGTTTTTTTCTTTTTGAAATAACCTCTTGTCTGGTTTAAAATCTCACTCATCATAAAATTTTTTTTCACTCACCATGTATAAAAATAATAATAATAAATAAATAAAACCAAACCCTTTGTACCAGAAAGGAAAAGGAGACGAGATTCTAAGTCCAATTGCCTAAAAATAACCAAACCTAAATTTGGAAATTGGAGGTCTGTTTGTGTACACATTTCCGTCTTCTCCTGTGGGACTCATCCGGCCTTGTTGGCACCGCTGTCAGTCACAACCAATTCTCTCCAACAAACCCACCACCTGACTAGGAATCAGAAACAACAACAGCAATGGAAACAAATTACAAATAGATTTCTTTCTTTTTCATCAGAATAGAAATAGAAATATAAGTATTTAATGAAATTGGAAACATTTCTTTTTTGGGTGCCAGTTTTAACAATCCATTCCATTTCCATTGCAGCAATTCTTTTTCTCCCTTTGCGCCTTTCTTTTCAAGCTTTCGTTTCTTTTCTGTTTTCTTACAATTCTCGAACTTGCATTGTTTGATGCAAAAGCTTGATCAAAGAAGGAAACCAGTTTCGGGTTATAACAAAAACAAGGCGTTCTTGATGGGGTAATCTTGATGGGGTCTGATAGAAGTTGGCTCATCATCTTTATGGTTTTCTCTTCATTGTTATCGTCCTTCGTTGGTGGCTCGGATAGCTATGATGCAGAGGCTTTGGACGCTTTGTTTCATTATTACGCAAATCAAACATTGGCAAAGCACCATACAGGTACTTTAAATAAAGTTTCCCTTCCTTTTAATTTCTCAGGCATGGAAGTTTCCGTCATTAGACTACGTAGCAGGAGTTTGTGGGGTAGAGGAACCAATTCCAGCTTTATTTTGATCCCACCTAGAGTTAGAACATTGCCTCACGTAAAAAGATTGGCTATAGTTTATGATAACCTGGGAGAATGGTCTTCAAAATACTATCAGGTTCCTGGTTATTCATTAGTCTCTCCGGTCGTCGGCTTCAACGTTTATGATTCATCAAATTTAACTGCGTTAAGCGATAAAAATGTTACATTGAGCACTACAAGTGAACCCATTTCAATCCATTTTCCTTACGTTAAGGCAGAAGATAAAAATGCGACAGAACTTAAATGCGTCAAATTTGGAGCTGGTGGGTCAGTTGAGTTTACGAACATAACAGAGAGGAATGTTTGTGTCGCGGGAAAAGCAGGACGTTTTTCTGTTGTGATATCGTCAATGCCAAAGGAAAAAGAAAGAATTTGGAAATGGTGGGTGATAGGATTTGTGGCTGGAGCTGTTGGGTTGGTCGTTCTGGTTTCAGTAGGAGTATTCATTTTTATATCATGGAGAAGGATGAAGATCAAAACTATGGAGAAAGAATCTGATACGGCTGTGGCTTTGGATACATTTTGGGTTATGGGAGATAAGATGCCTTCTGCTTCAATGATCAGAACACAGCCAGTCCTTGAGCATGATTATGTTCCTTGACCCACATTCTTAATTTGCTTTTATTTTATTTTTTCATTTTCTTCATACTTTTTCAGCTTGTTTGTAAATGGAATTACTTTTGTTTTTAGGTTCATCATAAGAAAAGATAATTTTATGCAGTTGTGATCCTGAATTCCTGATATCTTCTCACTGTTCTTGGAATTACATCAATTTATTTGATTTAATCTTTCCTCATTGTTTATGAGAATTTATGTAAGAATAGAATTGGGATGTTTAATTAGTCTAGCCACAGCACTCATTTGATTCATCCCCCTCCCAAAAAAGATCCGTAATGCTTTCTCTGTTTCCATATCTTTGCGTTAGGATAAGGAAGCTGCAAACTATACATCACCAGCCAGCCCGACGGCCAAGGTTTGGTAGGACGGCAAGTTTGGGTTTTTGGCCTGTAACTTTCATATAATAGAAAATGTAGAAGTGCTATATTATTCGAGTCAGTCTGATTTTTTGGCTCTACTCTTTAGTTTCTTAATACTAATCAGTAGGGGAAAAGGCAAGCATTTTAAATGTTTGGCTTATTTGTTCAGCATAAGCCTGCAAAGCCTGTAGGTGGAGAATAATATTTTTTTCTTAAGTTCTAATTGAGACCGGAATCAATAAATAATCATTAACTTTGGCTAATGTTATCCTCATTAATTATCCAGTCAATGGACCATCTTAATTATTTTATTCAGGGAAGAAAAAGGCTTCAAAGAGGAATGAAAGCTGCAATGTTTGACAAGGAAACTCAGCCCACTAGGCCTTCGTTTATTCACAGATTTTGTTCTTTTGGAGTAGCTCAACAGCTTTGATCATTTTCTAAAGGCATAAGAATCCAAAATTGGCCGTGATCAAGTAGTACCAATTCGCCTGCAAGGGCTGCAACAATAATGTTCCTGCCTACGCATTCCCAACCAAAAACGTTCATCACCAGTTTCATTATATGTGATAACTTTTTCCTTTAGTACATGCTGCAGGTTAGAACTCGTCGTTTTGAGAGAATAAATTTGTGATAATCCATCAAAGCAGACGAAGTTCATGATGATTATTGTTGAATTGAATGGATTATGTCAACCTATAGGGTGGAGATCACAGAGCTTGTGAAGTGGAAAAGGAGGGTCAAAATAAGAGCCATTGAGAATGGCCAATGTAGTGAGTTTGTTGGCTGCTTCAGTGGCATGAATCCCATCCCAGCTTACGTAGTTGTTTGGATCTTTACAAGCCGATGCTGTCACATTAATTCCATTGATCACCTTGGTGTTTCCGCAATAAACGTCTGGATGAAAATTATAGGTGCCACCACCATATCCACAACAAGCTCTGTTGCCATATCTAAGACCTGTTCCAAAACCAAAACAAAAAGAGACATCAGATTTAATGGTTTTATTTAACGTTAGTATTGTCCCAATTAATAGCAGTCAAATTTGCAGTATGGAAATCCACTTTATTCAAGTTCAAAGTTCCTAAAATTAGTCCAAGAAAAATAATTACCATGGGATGTGGGATGCTGGAAGAGTTCTAACAATACAGCATGAGTGTCCACATATATTACAGAAGCATTTGGAATAACTCGTCTAGTTTGGCTCAGTGCCACCTTTAACATGTTATTATAATCGACCACAGCCTTGTTGTAAGAGATCAGGCAACCAAATTTGTCCAAGTCCGTGGTTTTGTGAGGAAGCTGCACTAAAAATGCAGGATAACAGCCAACTGGTGCAAGGTTTAGTACAAAAAATGTACGCCCCCCTAGCAAATATAGCTCCTGGAAATTTAGCAGCGAGATATATTATTAAGTTAAACATGAAGTCCCAACCCAAAAAATTTAGGCTTGTAAAATTATCTTATGAAATGTTCACCATTCAGTCCCCCACCTTGATAGTGCCAGCAATTTGGGAAACCACCTGAGGAAGATATTGCTTCACTCCCTTAATACCAATTTCTTTTAAATTTGAAGTAAAATCATTCTGACCGATATAAAAGGTGTAGAGTGATTTTCCGAAGATATCTGGTGAAGGTAGCTTCGTTGATCCTAATAGTGTTGAACATTTAAGATCTTTAACGTTGCAAAATCAGAGAAAGAAATTGTTTTAATGTTTACCTTTGTAATTTCCAGAATGATATTCAACAACTTTGGATTTGAATTCCTTCATCTGATTGAGCTGAATGGCTAAAGAAAAAGGACTGATCCCAGTAACAAATAAAGAAGTGTTGGGCAAGAGCACTGTGGATGCCAGTGTTGCGTAGTTAGCTCCATGCCTAAAATCAGATCCAATTGATTGCAAGTATGGGCTGATAAATGGCAATCCAAGAGCTTGAGCTGCAAATCTTAAAAACAATTATTAAAATAAAGATAAAAATACTATGCAAATTTTGATGAGACACAGAATGAATGTTAAACTGTCATACAAATAGACCACTAGTTTTGCTAGAAGGGAAGGCTAAGTTCTCATGTAACACCTCTTAGGATTGGGGATTAATAACTAGTAACAACTACCAAGTATTCGAATCATTGGATTCCTGCTCTTTATTGCCAAGGTAGGCAATAAACAGATTCAAACAGCAGATACAGGATTGTCCAAATTTATTTAGGCCTCATTTAATGATCTACTATTACTCGTTAGAGGTTAAGGGAGTGATTTCACCATTGGGCCATTGCGGAAGATAAAATGTATAATCAAGGGTAATTCTGAGTCGTCAATTCAAGGCCGAAGTCCAACCTGGAAGAGTATACTGACAAAAAGCACCTTATGGACTGCGTCTTGGACACAAGTGGAACAGTTGGCTCGTAGATATTTTGCTGGATTTGTCAGTTAATATGGATGCAACTTTTTGATAAATTATTTGACAAAACCCAATTTCTTTCCGGCTCATTTCTTGTCTTGAGGTGGGAAATTGCCTGATAAAACCTAAAACTCTATTCAATGTAGGATCTGCCTTATCCTTCTGATCAGGAAATGTAACTGCTATGGCCCAGGAGTAGGAAGGAAGTGTGATATCTATACTAGGCAAACTAGGCAAAGTGTTTCTAGTATTTGATAATTACATTTTTTGTCAAACAAATTCAATGGTAGGCAGAGAGATGAATTTTCATATTGATATTATGGAAGACCGGAATGCAATGGTAAATGTACCCACCCACAGGAAAGTAAGCTGTACTTGACAATTTATATTCAATCTGGTTTCCTAAATCTTCAGTATCACAGGCCACGAGCATTAAATGCTGAAGTAATAAAATTTAGTAGTGATTAAAAGTTAAGGATGGAGAAGATGCTGCTGACACTTAAGAAATAATAGAAGATTTGATCAGAGTTTACCCAGGAAATCAACAATAACTCTTCCATCAGTAGCACGCCCAGATGGTTTCTCGAAGTATGTCATGCCAAAAGGCCCTGATTGTGCTGGGAATGCAGCCCAAAATCCGCCCGTATCAGAATTTGAGTCGCCAAAGTTGAAGATTGCTTTAAATTCACGTTTGGGGTCTTGAGTTAAACAACTTGACAACATTGCCATCGTCACCAACAATACTACCAAACCCGGCCTGAAATGAATAATGATTTTGGATGAAGAGAGTTTCATCTTTGATTGAAATGGATTGCTGTTTCTTTTTGTTTGGGAGAGGTTGAGCAGAGAAGGGAACTCAATTGCTGCTGGCTGAGCCTGACATTATATAGAAACGTAAAAGAGAAAATGATTGCAAAAGGTCTAATTTATCCACTTGAATTATTCCCACAAATGAAGCTTTTAAGTTTTAATCAATTACTGTACGCGGTCCTCTGGTTGACACGTGCAACGCAAAATAAAGATAACAAAGCAATTTTACTGGTAAATCTTTACAATTAACCTTTTTCACTTTTGACCGCAGAGTGAGAAAAAGCAGCCGCTATCAGAAACAAATGGTTGGTGTTAAAAAAATACTCTTCATTTATAGTTGATTCGGATATACGTGATAATTCATATATTTATTATGTTAAATATATATAAAATATAAAATTATTATATTATAATTTATGTTGATATGTTATTTTTTTATTAAATTTATATATAATTTTTAAACATTTTTTAAATTATATATTTTTTATTTTTTATATTATTTTCATATCATATTACATTTAAAATTATCAAATTTAAATAATTGCAAATTTATAATTTTACTCAAAAGTAATATTTCTTTTACGCAATATCTTCTTTCTTATTCTTTTTCCTTTTTTGTTAGGACATACACTCAATATTTCTTTAAATAGGGAAGAATATAACCAAAAAAACTACAACATAAGAGCCAAATAATCCTTCATCATTTAAGACTTCAAATTGCCTAGAACATAAGGGAATTCCCATTGAAGTTTTCCCAGCTGGTTCCTAGTTTTAATCGAAGCTTTAGAAAGAGGATTGTAAAACACACGCACACACACAAAATTGGGGGTTCAACAGTGTGGGCATAACTTGATTGCATAAGGCCATCAAATATGCAAAACGACAAGGATTTTGGGCTGGATACGTAGCGGAAATGGTTTTCTAGTAACAGGCTCGCTCGATCTTATGTTTTGTTTGGTCACTGAGCCGTGGACTATAACCTTTCCCATTGCAGACCCCAGAACCCAGTAGGCAGTGGACTACCGAAAATATTCTTTACCAAAATTTTCTAAGGGCTGGCCCTTGAGATGTTAAATTTCAGTCAATCGTACCTTAAGTAGAGTTTGTTCGTAACATTAATTTGGAAAATTATTTTGAGTATGCTTTTCATTTTGGTTGCATGTGAAATATCATACTAAATTTTAGATGTTAAGAAGTTAATCGGTAATAGAGAAGTTAGTTAATGTTCTATTTTAAAAATCAGATTTTCATTTGATGTACTTTTTCGTCAAAATTGTGATGTGTTAACTTTGGTCAAATTCAAAACATACCAAACTAAAGCTCAAAATTTACCCTAAATTATTTGACCAATAATAAAGTTATTTTAATGAAACTGAAATACCAAATTCTCACCAAATAAGCTCAAGGCCACAAATACTATTCCAGTCAATGTCAGCAGAAATATTTCACAAAAGGGTTATTTTCCATTTCCATAGCATGTCAAAGCAAACCCATACAATATCTTTTCTGTCAGGAAGGCCCAATATATTTCGACCACATCTTATTATTTTGGGTCGAGTTACATTGTGGATATGATTAGATCCCGGCTAGGGGAGGCGTGGACCAATCCTCTATTGACAACTTCACTTCACCCCATCTCATATCTTATGTCGCTAACCCAAAAATCTTCAATTAAAATATATACATTAATAACAAAATTATTTCTCATGTTACTGTCTTTTAACAAGTGCTAATAAACATTCTTTAACATTTTTTCTTGTTGGATTTAAAATTACGTAACATTGGTTTAAGAAATAAATATGGATATATTATCTGAATTAATTTCATACATAGGTACTAGGATATTGCGAGAACTTATCTTGATATTCACTATGCACAAAGTTGTGACTCTCCAGTCTCCTTTGTCCTTCTATCTGACTGGAAAATTATCAAAGAATAAACTTCAATCCACACAGCAGTGGTAAAGAAGGAAAATAAAATTTTGTGAAGTAGCTTACCATTATTTATCATGATGAAGTGACAGATTTAATGCCCAAAATTTGACTGCAACACATTTTTTTCAAATAATCAATGTTGACGTTAGGAAAACTAGTGTAGCTTACCATTTGGCATGTATTATATATACACATACGTAGAACAGAAACAAAGGAGCTAATGATTTTACTTGCGCAATTAAAAATGGGGTTCTTTAACCTTGGTGTGAACGCGGAAGGCCAACCAAGGCCATCGCTTTCGTGAAAGCGGCAGCCAGGGCTAATTTCGCCAATGCAAAGAAATGGAATGGGCATTTATGAAACAAAATATAAAATTTTAAATTGGTCAAATTTTTATCAAAGAATTTTAAAATTTAAATCTGATCCGATCTCAATATTAGCTGCTCGGCCACGTCAACTGGACCCACCTAGGTTGCTCAGTAAACCATGTGGATGGACGACACGTCACCTTGTCGGTAACAATGCCCCGTGCCCCCGTCTGAATTAAAACCCCTCGCGCAAACGTCAAAAATGCGCAAAAGGAAAAGGAGGTGTCACCGCACCACGTCAAGTCCCTCCAATTCTCATTCTGAGTCTCACCGCAAAATACGCATCATTGTCAATTTTGCCAACTAATCAACGGCCCACGTTTCTCTCTTACGTGGCTCCCCTGATGTTTGCGTCACATCCCACTAGGCCCAATCACATGCTTCCTTTTTATAATATCACCATAAATTCATAATAATAACAATAAAATAAAATTTGAAGAATCCAATTGCACGCCTTCCCTTATTGCATCCCATTTCAAATCTTCATTCTCATTTTGAGTTCGTTTGATTTAATAATTTAGTCGTAATATTAAATATACAGCAAAAAAAAAAAGTAAAATAATTTATTTTAATTTCATTTGCTGAGTTATACTTTTATGGTTCAGTTGAGACGAAAGGCGGGTCTAAGAGGGGAACCAATGCAGGAACGGCACGTGGAATCCTCCCACGTGGAGATTGGCAGTGACACATGGGCCATTGAAGATCTTCTGTCTCTAGAAAGTCTAAGCGGCATGAAATATGAGCTGGCTACGCAACCTCTGCGGCCTGCGGGGTCCACTTTTGCTTCTGAGTCCACCTACGTGGGACTCGTCACTGGCCGGACCATTCGCACGCACCGACATATCACAAAGCTGGTGGGAACCACCACGAGTACGTATTTAGATTTTTTTTTTTTGCCAAACAGCTTCGTTGGCATAGATACTCTCTCATTCCCAGGTGTCGTGGTTCATTGCTATCCCTTCGATTTACGAAATGTTGACCGTCAATTTCCCTTACGTCAGAGATGGGCCCGGAAGTTTAAATATAATAAAGTTTCTGTTTTTATTGGATGATCGGATAGGGAACTTTGAACGTACACGTGCCGCTTTCGTTAGAGTGACTTATAAAAGTGTATTTGATTCGGCATCGAGGATGGACGGCCAAGATTTAAGACAGCATATTATTCGAGTCACAAGAAGCTCCACCAGACAATTTGGGAAAACATAATGCATTTTCAATACTTTATCATAATGCATTTCAATTAAATTTATAATTAATTTTTAATAGTTTAAATTAAATATAAAAAAAACAAATAATTTAAATTAATATTAATCTTATATTTAATTAAAAATGCATTACTCGCTATTGGACAACGTAAAAAAAAATTACTGCATTTTAAATTGTGAAAATAAATTTAACTAAGTTACCCTACATATTTTTTTCATTTTCCTTTTTTTTTTAAATCACCTACAAGAGTTTTTAAATTGACCAATGTAGCAATGAAGCAGCATGCCAGAGAGCACCTATAAAAAAAATCTTTTTTTTATTCTATATTTAGCATGGAAAAAAGAAAATATATTTGCAGCTTACCTGATGCCATTTATCAACCAATTTAAGAAATAAATGTTAAAATAGAATTGGATTCTAAAGTTTGTTTAACTCTTTCAAAAATTAAATTTTCTGATAAAATGATTATGAATTATATTTAGTTATTTCTTTTTAGGAGCTTCGGATTATTATTTGTATGTATTAGTAGTATATATATATGTTTCTCATTTTTTATTTTAAAAAAATTATGATAAAGAAGAATTGCTTTTCCAATTATCATTCGTGAATTTAAATTTAAAATTAATTAATTAATTTAATTATTTAAAAAATATTTAAATTTATAATTTCAAAGCTGATATTTATAATTAAAAATAATAAATTTTGATCCATTCAATTTATTAAATCTCAAGTTTAATTAACTCGAATTAATTAAAAATATATATTTAAGTATCTAAATTTGTACGCATGTATTTCTTTTTTTTTCTATAAAATAAATTGGTGAAATAAAGACACAAAAACCGATCAAATATGGTGCGGAAGTAGGGGGAAAAAAAACAAACAAACAAACAAAGATTTTTCATTGGGTCGGTTACCCCCATGAGAAATGAGTGCTTCAAATCTCTGCTGGGTGCCTTTGTATGGAACGAGGACCATAAAACCTGCTAGTCCTTTTTATAGCAATTGAATCACCTAATTTGACTCATGTCATGGGGCGAAATTTTTTTAATTTTGTCTCGACTGAATAAAATTACCTATGAACTTTTAAAATGGAAACAGTAACTTGTATTGGACAAATGTGCATTTCTCTCTCAGTTTTATTTTCATACTCTAATTTAATCTTTTTATTCTTTCAAAGTAAACAAAATTTAAACATCTTATTTATTATTTTTTTTTTATGTACAATCACTAGTCCTCGGTCTTAAAAATTGAAAACTAACTGATAAATGATCGGTTAAACTTAAGCATTATATATGTGAGTGCATTTTGATTATAATTCTTTTTATTACAATTTTATAATTATTTAATTATAATAAAAAATATAAAATGGTCTGTCATTTGCATTTTGTATGTATTATCAATTTTATATCTATTTTGTAATTATCAAATTAATAACTTTTTTTTATGAAACCGATTACTCATTCTTGGCATTAATTGAGGATTAACAGTTAGAAGAGGAGAAGATATTATATACAATTAAAGAATTAGATATACAACTGATAATATATACAAATTGCAAAATAATAAAATTTTAAACAAAATTCATTGAGTTTTTATGCAAATGAAGTTAGTCTTAACAGCTTTTAAAAAAATAAAATAAAAATTATTTATATATTCTTAATTTTAAATATTTATTAAGATATGCAGGCCAAAAAGGATGTTAATGCGTCTTTCCTAGTAGGACCTGCCCAAGGGCCATGATCCTCTTTTTTAAAAATTGGCACGTTTGCTAGACCTAATTGGTTAAAATTTTAATTGATGGCAATTTTGGTTTGGCTGCATACGGCGACATGATATGTTTTTTTACACAAAATAATTCATTTTTTCATAGACATTTATATAAATTTTCTTTAAAAAAAATTTCTGCGACAATAAAATTTTTTAATTCTACAATTTAAATTAAAAGATAATACGAAAATATATCAATTATAATTTTTTTTTTACAAATATTACAATTAATCAATCAAAAAAATATAAAAATGCACCATTTAAAAATGAGAATTTCACATAATTTTTTTTTGAATTTTACATAATATTAAATTATAATTGATTAATTATACGATAATAATTATAAATAACATGCTTTTAAATAAACCATATTATTTAAGATATATTTAAAAATTAAAAATAAGATATATTAATTTTTTAATTTATTTATAAAATTAAAAATTAATTTAATAATTTACTAAATACTAACTCATAAAAAAAATTACATTGAGATTTTAACTTAGAAACAATTATCCAATGCCAAACATATATTTTTACATTCACAAAATGAATTTAAATATCTATTTCCTCGTATCTAAAAAAAATTATTCAATGATATGTATTTTTATTCATGGGTCTGGGACATTTTTCCGTGTTTTTTTTTTTTTTTTAAATAGCAGACAGAAACACAGGAAAAAGGCGGATTTAAAATATCAAGGAAATAATTCTTACGTGGCAAAAGTGTTGGTTAAGACTTCAGACCCTAATGAGATGGTCAACAAGCGGCCGGTGGTGGATTCCAAAAAACCTATTAATTATAGTTAAATCTCAGGCAATTAAATATTCAAAATATTAAAAAAAAAACCAATAAAAAATTTTAAATTAAAGAAACATGACCACGTAAGCCCACATGACGGGTGGAATGGATTGGACCCCTTACTGGACACGCGTAGATCAACTAGATAACCAACACGTGTTATGCATAAGTGACGTTGGAATAAATAAATGCCCAGCGCGAATATCGATGGCCCAACTCAACAACAAACTTTGCCCCCCGTATATACGGTGTATTTATACACTCGCTTTTTCTACGACGCGTGTTTGATGACGTGGATTTTGCCTTGGCGCTCTCTTTCTTCTTCATCTCCCACAGCCCCCTTCCCCCCTTCTCTCACATCTCTTCTTCTCTACGAATTTAAAATTAAAAAAAAATAAAAGGGCTTCAATCTTTTCTCTCTGTTTCTAAGTGAAGATAATGCAGTCTTTTTGACTATTTTGTTTAAGAATTTCTCGTATACTCCCTCCCCTTTTTTTTTTTTTCAATTGAAGATAGTCTAATTATTGCTGTGAATTATTGTTTGGCTGCTAAGGGAAGGAAGAATTTCGAATTTCAGATTTGTAAGGTATGTTGAAATTGAAGTTCCGGTAATATTTTTTATTTTTTAAAGTTTTTTTTTCGTTATTACTGGGTTGGTGGATTGATGCGTTCGGTTTTGTTTGGTTGTTTAGAAACTTGATGAAGGTGCAGGAAAGTATATTTTCTAGAGAAACTTAATTCAGTCGGTTTTTATTTGGTGAAGTAATGTAGGAAAGTGGATTCAATTTGAAGCTATGACTATCATGTTTTTAATTGTCCGGAAAATAAAATCTCTCGAGTTCCTTACTCAACTTTTTCAAAATATAACGGATTTTGTAGGATTTTTTTTTTTTTTAATTCTGTTCTACTTCTTCTTCTTCATCTCGTCCTTTTAGTAATTTCTAGCGTTTATTTTTATCCTGGATCTATGTAAATTTGTGATAATTTCTGATTAGAAACTTAGGATTTTCATGAATATTTTGGCTAATTTTATTTGGTTACTGAATTTCATGAACTCTTCTTTTGACGATAAGGAATATGGAGAGAGAGAAAGATTTAGAATAAGTTTTAAGGGAATAAGGAGGAGGGAAAATTATGGAGATAAGGAAATTAGACGATGAAATTCAAAATAGCACTAACCAAAGGATGCTTTAAAAAAAAAAACTTGTTGTTGATTCATCTAAAACGAAAACCTGTAGTACAAAAGTAGAAACTCAATTATGTAAGAGAGAAGCTGCAGAAATCTTCGACTGCAGTTTCAAGGGTATTTTTGTCCTTTAGTTAACAGATTAATCCGTTGAGATATATTTTTGTAATTTCTTATCGTTCTTTACTTACGGGTGTGGGTACTTGAAAGACGGTTATGCCCTCTTCTTTCATTTTTTTCCAGGCTATTCATCTTTTGCTTTCATTCTCTCTTCCTTGTTCAAGGACGGGCAAGAGTGTCAATTTAATGAAAACGGTTTTTCTTTGGTGAACATAATTCCAAAGATATGTCTTTTGTACTATTTGGTGCTTGTAAATTCCTCCCTTGCCGGGATTATTACGTTGATGAAAATTTTGTATTATTTGAAACTGGATTAAACCCTTTTTATGGCGAAAATTCCAGTATTTAGTTACAAATACTAATCTGCCTACTTGTAATTATACTTTGTCATATTACCCAAGTGTGCTAGCATACGATTTGACTCATAAGATGAGTCAAGTTTCAACTTTAGTTTTACTTCTAAAATTTAGCTCTTAAGAAGACTAGACATTATCTGTTGTATTTTGCACTCAAAATCCAATATCTAAAGTGATCAACAAGACTTAGTGAAATTTTATAAGAATATATAAAATGAAGCAACAAATATTTAGGTCAGATTACACTTGTTTTAATTTATATGGAGTTGTGTATGGTAAGCTGGTTCAATCAAACACTACGGCATACCTGCCTTTTTTTTTTGGGATGAAAAGTGAGGAAGTATAAATCTGAAAATCGTGTCTGTTTCTAGAGGAAGGTGATGAAATGCATCAAGCCGGTTAATTTTCATTAATTTGATGGTGTCCTTTTTGGGCGTTGAATAACACCGTATTCCTTGTGCCGGCACTTCAACTTGGGGTCTTTGGCCTTCACCAAGTCAAACGGTTACATAAAGAGTAATAGAGAAGTAGAGTGATGATATCTTCATAATTTATAGCATTGTATGACGATTCTAACATTAAATCAAAATGATTGGATCTAATTGCAATTCAGTATCAATTTGCTTGTATGATTTTTTCTGAACCATTCCTAGTGCTATCAAGAAATTTGCTGTCAAGCGCAACTTAATGTTTCTCTCTTTGATTTCAGTGACAGATAGAGGTGAACGAACTTCTAGAAATTAGGTTTCAACTTGGGTGCTTGACCATGGGAAACAATGATGAAGGAAAGTCCTCTAAGTCTGACAAATCATCTTCACTGGCTCCAACGGTAAGCTAAGAGATTATGCATGGTTAACTGTTGAAAATGGAAATAAGCTGGAGCTTTTATGCCAGAAAACAACAACTGCTATACTATTTATGATTATCCAATTTGTTTTAGGGAGAGTTCTTTAGGGTAGTCATAGTAGAATTTGCTTAATCTTTCTATGGAGATTATTTCGAAGCTCATATCTGAGTATTGCTTGATCGTTTTCTATTCACAGGATCAGACCAATATTCATGTCTATCCCGATTGGGCAGCCATGCAGGTTATCTACTTTGTGCATGCACTTAGTTCCCTCTTTCCCACTGCAGTTCTTAAGGCGTTTATTCAACTAAAATTCTATTTTTTTATGAAATTGCTAATGGGTATTTTATGGCTCTTTCTTGCATGGTAGGCATATTATGGTCCTCGAGTCACTATGCCACCATATTATAATTCAGCTGTGGCGTCTGGCCATGCTCCTCCCCCCTATATGTGGGGTCCACCACAGGTATTGCTCTTAGCTTCAGGGCATTTAACTTTATTTTTCACTGAACTACTTTGTAAATAATTTTTGAATATAATGATTTGTTAACTCTTCCAGCCTATGATACCACCTTATGGGGCACCTTATGCAGCAATCTACTCGCATGGGGGAGTTTATGCACATCCTGCTGTTCCTCTGGTAAGTTTATTTTGTAAGCATCTTTTCATTACAGTATCTAAGAGTCTATGCTTTGCAGTTTTAGAGATGAGTACTACCTATTTGTAGTTTATAATGTTTATGTATAGTACACATACTGTTGTACAATCCTCTTGTTTCTTACTGCCCTATGCTTAGGCAGTGGTATTTTTATGATTACCAACTAGATAATACTTGGTGGATTCCTTACCGGTACAACTAGAAACACTTAAAAAGCTTGCATTCCTTTTCCCCATCAGGACATGAATTGAGTGCTAAATAACACCTGGAGCTCTGCTTTTCTTGTATTATATTATACCATAATGCATTTTTTTTATCTGTTTGCTCCTGAAATCCAGAGATTACATGGTTATGGTGTTCCATCATAACCTGAAGTTAGTGAATTTTTTGTTTAATGATTCTTTTCAAACTGTTGCTATTTTATCCATGTTTATTGTTGATGGGCATACACGTACCCTTCTTCAATGAGTTAGCTGGTAAGTTGTCAGTCTTTGCTTTATGCTTTAAGCAGGTGTTGAATGTAACCAGACCATTATAATGCAGGCTACGGCCCCAGTGGAAACACCTACAAAGTCCTCAGGAAATACAGAACGAGGTTTAGTGAAGAAGCTGAAACTTGCAATGTCAATAGTCAATGGTACTGCTGAGAATGCAGAGGGTGGGCCTGAACCCAGACTGTCCCAGAGGTTTGTTAATCTTTTCAGGACAACCTAGTATTATTTAGGAGATGAAAGCTATGCCTTAGCAACCTATTTGTAGGAGATTGTACAACCATGTGATATTTTCCTACTTGATCCCCTTGTGGCTATACTAATTTTGTGACCATATGGACAGTGTGGGGACTGAAGGTTCCACTGATGGTAGTGATAGTAATACAACTGGGGTGAGACCTCCTTCCCATCTGTTTAACCTATTTCCAACATCTTCTTCATTTTTCTTCAAGTTATTTTATTTGAATAATATATTAAACATTGACGAAGGACAAAATGCTAAAGCTTATTTTTGTCACTGCACATCTTTGGTCAGACGGATCAATCTAGATGGAAAAGAAGCAGGGAGGGAACACCAACCATTGGTATGATTCCATTCTTCACCAATTCTTGATGAATAATAGAGTTTAATAGAGTTGACCTGGAAGCACAACAGTCAGGCTTCTGTATGGTAGTCGAATCTGAGACATCTTGCAATTGCGTAGTTTCTCTAATGTGTGAACATGATTAATTCTTATTATTGATTAGAACTTTGGTGATTGAAGAAATCTAATCAACAATAGGCAAGATAGAACCCCCCCCCCTTTTTTTTTCTGGTGTGTATGTGAGCCTGCAAAATCATGATGATTCATTTGACCCGATAATGTTTCAAAGCCCAGATTGATTGAAAAAGATGTGAGCCTGTTTAAATGGAACAAAGATGCTGTTTTTCTAAGTTAGATTTTATTGTATCTTCGTTCTCTTCTTTTTAAAGGAAAATGCTATCTATGGATAGCTAATTCACAGTATCCTCCTTTTGTATGGAAATGGTGGCATCTATTTATTTCAAACTATTTAGGAATACTATCAATTTTCCCTACCATGAGATATCATTAGAGATCTGCAGGCGCACCTCTGGAACTTCTATGTGCATTACGTAGGTTTATGACCTGGATATACAAAAGTTTTTTTGTGATTTATGGAAGAAACTTATTTGTGTTAGAAAATGAAAAGAATGAGAAAGAAATCATTGAATATTGGAATATACTTGGTCCCACATTCAGGCGTGGAGGTTTAGGTTTGTTGATGTATGGTCTCTGTGTTAGCAGGTGGAGATGGGAAAAATGAGGCAAAGTCTAATGCAGTTGTTGTGGGGGAGGTGACTGCAACCGTTTCTCCTAAACCACTTGGAACTGTACTTTCTCCTGGCATGACCACAGCTTTGGAGCTTAGAAACCCTTCCACCATTAATGCCAAGTCCAGTCCTACAAGTTTACCTTGTGGAGTAATGCCTTCTGAAGTCTGGTTGCAGGTATTTGTGTGAATGGAATTCTTGTATGTCTATTATTCTTTCTATCCTGTTTTTCTTAGCTATGCATTTTAGCTTGGCTGTAATTTGAATTTGTCTTGTTGCTTTCTTAAGAAGTTAATGCTTTTGATTACAATGGATGGCTAATGCACATTTTAGTGTTTTCTACTTTTGAGGTGATGGGGTGGGTTGTGCTATATTAAGATGTTGCTAACTTAAGTGAAATTTAACTAGAATGACCGAGAGCTGAAACGGGAGAGGAGGAAACAATCTAATAGAGAGTCCGCTAGAAGGTCAAGGTTGAGGAAGCAGGTACAAGAAATACATCTTGTTTCTTGCATGCTTAAAAACCTACGATTCTTTATTTGAGCCTCTTTAACAGATATGAAATATAACAATGAATGATCCGATGCTAATGCTCTATATTCTTTTGTAGGCTGAGACGGAAGAGCTTGCACGTAAAGTTGAATCCTTGACTGCTGAGAATGCAGCACTCAGATCTGAAATAAATCAACTAAGTGAAAAATCGGAGAAACTAAGACTGGAAAATGCTACATTAGTGGTAGGAACGTTTAACTTTTGTTTTTTTTTTGGTAGTTTGTTTTCCTCTTCAACTTTTGTCTATTTTCATTTGCAGTGATGCCTGATTTTCCCCTTCTTAACTCCATACTTCTTGTAATGACTTGTGAAGTCTTTTGCAATACAGGAGGGTCTGAAAAGTGGTAAGCTAGGACACGCGCAGGAAATTATAATGAACAAGAAAGAAGATCAAGAGGGTGAAATGTACGAGAAAAAGTCAAACTCTGGTGCCAAGCTGCATCAACTCTTGGATGCGAGTCCTAGAGCCGCCGATGCCGTGGCTGCCGGCTGAGCAAGGAACAGAGTTCCACCTGAGTTATTGTTGACATGAAATTGGAGGAAATCACGTAGCTTTAGCATAATTAAAAGCCCAAAACTATTGCTAACAGTTAGCGGAGGAATGAAATAGTTTGTTAGGATTGAACTATGTTTTGGACAGCTCTTCACTTGTAAGTTAGCTTTCTGAAGTGTTTTATTTGAATATCAGAGTGCTGAGAAAGCCCTGAAAAGGTAGTGTACATTAACGAGAATCAAGTGTTTCAGTTTATGACAGGGAAACCTTCCCACATGTAATGCAAATTTTAATCGACTAGCGGTACAAGACTAATGTGATGTGTGAAATGAGAAGTTGTGCTTGACTTTGTAAGTACATATGTTTACCTCTGTGGCCCCAAATGAGTAAACAATGTCGAATAGTTGTTTGTGGGCTGAATGTTTTAGGTGTCGTTAGATCAGGGCAGTGATAAGAAGTGGGCCATGAGGCCCATCTAATGTGGTTCAAGAACCCTTGAGAAGGGGGGAAGAAAAGTTTGGCTTTGAGGCAAAATTGTTCTTCATGGAATTTGGGTATAGAGTAAAGGTATGGGCTTTAAATTTCTTTAACAAGTTTAACGTTAGCCCATGGAGAATATTGAATAGAGCTTTGTTTTATTTTTAAGAAATTGGATGCTTTTTGTAAGAGCGAAGGAAGAAGGGAAAAAAACAAAAAAAAGAAAAGAAAATAGTGAAACGTGCACTCAAGTCTCAATGGGGATGGGGCCATGTAGGGCATCAATACATGGATGTGGGGCCACAAACAAAGTCTAGGGTTGAAGGCTGCCAATGACTCAAACCCTAATCCATAAGTCATTTACGACATTACCCTTTCACACATTGCCACCTTTTGTCCTCGACATGATTCCCACCTCTCTAAATTCCTTGTTTTTTCCCTTAATGTGCTTTCCCTAGTTTCCCGCTCTTTACCAAAAAAAGACAATTCAATTACATTGATATTTTTATTATTTGTTTTTATAAAGAGGTGATATATAGTAAATTTTAAGTTCCAATTATAACATTTACGACCTTTATTTTTATATTAAAACACGATTTTTTATATAAAAATAAAATATAAATTAAAAACCAAAAATTATATATATTAATAGACATTAATTAATGGAGAGTGCAATGAAATAATAATGCAAATAATTATTGTTGTCTGTGAATTGGATTCCTATATCAAATAAGATCTCAGTGAAATGTCGGGTGGCATTTCTTGGACTTGTTATCATCAATCAAATACATGAATTGACACATAAAAGCAAATAAAAAATGCTATGTAAAATTAATTTTTTGATAAATTAATCATATCATTAAAATTTAAAAGATTAATGTTATAAATGATTATTAATTATAATGACATTTCTAATATAATATTTAAATTTTTAAAAATTTTAGTATAACATTTGAAAAATATATATTCATCATTTAAAATTATCACATTAATTATAAATTTATAATTTAAGTGTTTTATTAAAAAATTTTAAATTTTAAATATTATATTAAACATGAAATTATAATTTAAAAAATATTCAGGACATTAATCTAAATTTAAATAGATGGTCGAATAAATTAAAAAAAGCATTTTATTTAATTTAAAAAAATATATTTTCTAAAATTGAAACTTGATTGGCTTTCCACAAGTTTCTGCAAACGTTTAAAGCGTCTTTATCAAAATTCATTCGGATCACAAAATATATGTGCATAGATTTATTTTTGTATATATTTGAAAAAAAAAAAATGATATCATGAATGCATAAAACTTTTTTTAGCAGCCCTCAGATTTTGACTCAAAAAAAGGAAGTCTTTGTTTGTTAAAGTGATGATGTCAAAACTAGAAAAGAATGCCTCTCTTTCTCTTCCCTTTCTTAGGTAAGATACTATTAAAGATAATATAATACTTAAAAGCAATGTTTAAAAAATTGAATTCTCATATAATCTGACGAATTCTCATAATTCAAATCTTGGGTATTGACCGTTTGGTTCAAAGGACATGTAGTTCTCGTATCTCGATGTCCTAGATCCCTGCAACAGCCACCCCCTGGCCCCTTACCTTTCTTTACAATATTTTTTTTCATTACCTTGCCTCTTAATCAATGTTTCAGGTTTTAGCTTTTCGTTCCTTCAAATTTTAGTTTTACTCATATTTAAATCAATCTGGAAATGGGTTATTTTAACATGTCCATTCTTTCCATGCAAATGAACATTGCTTTGATCCTTGGATTTCAACTTTGCAGTTTAAGCTAAACTGTCTTAGCAAAGTACTGAAGATTAGATTCTTCTACTTTTTCAAAAGATTATTTATTCTATAGTTTCTGATTTCCCAAGTCGGTTCTGTTGGAACTTGAAAGTTATACAAAAATATATTTATAGTCAGTAAGAGAATTTCTTCTTACTTGTATAAATTTCATCCTCTGATGATTTCTGGAGACTTAAATCCTTTATTAAAAGGTTGGGTTTTATTGTTTTTGTGAAAAAAAAAAATTGAAACTTGAGGGAAAAGTTTCTAGTAATAAGCTTTTGAGTGTGTACATTTATGTTTTTATCCTTACTGGAACTTACTAAGATTGTCTTCTTCTGCTATGTAAATGACAAGTTTTATGAATATGGGGGTGTTAGGTGTAGGTGTATAAAGTTTCCAGATGTTCCACCTTTTTGTGTTCTTGTCTTTGGTCTTTAGGGTTTCAATAGCATTCTTTTAGTAGCAGTAGTTTGGGCAAATTAAGGCTCCCTAGATCTGAAACATAGTTGTCAACAGAGACGAGGAATTTTGAGTTGGTGGTTGAGTTTTTACTTTTAAGTTCACGAGATTAGAGGTTTGTCACAAGATATAGGTGCTAATGAACTTCTCAGCCTGATTAGTGTCTTTCCATTCATTGTTGTCGGTATTTCGGTGCTTTTAAGAATTCTAGAACTCTACAGTTACAAAAGGGAGTTTTGGCTTCGTTTCCAAAATGGGGCATTCTGCAGCAGCATGCGATTATAGGGCAGCAACTGAGATTACAAAGGATTGGAATGGGATCGATAAGGTTGTGCTTCGGAACCCTCGAGGGGCTTCAGCAAGGGTGAGATTTCTGATCCGTTCTTTCCCTCTTTTTTCTAGTTGCTTTTATTGAAAAGATGAAAATCAATTATAAATTGGACCATGACGGGACATCTTGTAACTATATCAGATAAATGAATGGTGTTCTATTTCCATTAGTGTATTAGAGGGAATTACAGAATAATTGAAGGATTTCAGGTTAGTTTTGTGTTACTTTTGTCTTTTAATGTTATAGGTTAGCTTACATGGAGGACAGGTCACTTCATGGAGGAACGAGCATGGGGAAGAACTTCTGTTCACTAGCAGTAAGGTAGCAAATTCATATTTTTCTTTTTCTTTTCCTTTTAAATATAGACGGCTTGATTTTTTAGCTAAAGTTCAATATAGCGTATGTACAAAGAAAATTGCCATATTTTTAATTCACCAATACAGCTGAAGGTTTATTCAGCATTTCAGGGTTGTGTTAATTCATATGATCCCTTAAAGGACGTTTAATTTCTATATAAGTTATCCAAGAGGTGGCCTGGAGTTATGAGTATAGATTCATAAGTTAAACCAATTTGTTGTGGTAGATTCTGAATACTGATTTATTTTCTTTATCACGAATTTTAGGCCATTTTTAAGCCCCCAAAAGCAGTGCGAGGAGGAATCCCTATTTGTTTCCCTCAGGTAGTCTTTTTCTGTGATTTTGTAAATGTAATTATACAGTCTTGTCTACAGTTGCTTATGGATTTATTCAATGCTTGTTAAGTTTGGTAACTGCGGGTCACTCGAGCAACATGGATTTGCTAGGAACAAGATTTGGACAATTGATGAAAACCCTCCACCTATAAATCCAAATGATTCCCATGGCAAATCATTCATCGACCTGTTGCTTAAACCATCTGAAGAAGATCTCAAGTGCTGGCCTCATAGGTTTGAACTTGGTTGCTTACATCCTTTATTGATTTTAATGAAATACAAGTATGTAATGGTATTAAAAGGATGATACTTAGAAGTTGTAACAACTCTCTTTTCTACCAAGAAGAACTTAATTTTAGATTAGCAATTTGTTCTAACCTAATATCAACTATAAATAATCCTCTCAAGAAAAAAGAAGTATATTTAGTTTTATTAGTGTGCATGAACGAGGTTTTATCAATTGAAGCTAAGAAGCATGCTAAGCTCTTATCAAGTCGTCCACAACTGCATCAATTGCTGTGACTTTTATAATTAAACTTATCGTCTATATGTTGCTAACAGACTTTTCTTTTCCCCTCTCAGTTTTGAGTTTCGCTTGAGAGTGTCGCTTGCAGCAGATGGAAGTCTGACATTACTATCACGAATTAGGAATGTCAATGGGAAGCCATTTAGTTTCTCTTTTGCGTATCATACATATTTGTCAGTTTCTGATGTAAGGTACAGAGTATTATTTACTGAAATTTAAAAGTTTCCCCTTTTGATATTATATTATTTTATATGCGAACCCTGAATGGAGAAGGGGCCAAAAGGAGAGTAGTGAGGTTGAATAGAATTTCTCTTATGAGTTCTGCCTTAATTAGCAAGTTAGAAGCTTTTGCCTCCTCTGTGGAAAACATGCTTTATTTGAAATGTCAAATATTGGATGCCACAGTTTTCATTGATGGCCAACCAAATTTCTGTATGTTTCATTTTAATAGAGAACACCCAACTATGTTCTAGAAACAGTATGAATCAAGCCTTACTGGTTGGGGTAGAAGCAAGAACCAATCTTGGTTGAGAAAAGTAAGGTTTGTTCAAAATGAAAAATTTTCAGAGGATCTATCAAATTATGTCTTTTTGGTTGCAATGAATAACCCTGGATCTCCTTTCTGGATTTGACATGAACATGAACTGTTTCCACAGTGAAGTGAGGATAGAAGGGCTGGAGACGCTTGACTACCTAGACAACCTTTGCCAAAAAGAGCGATTTACAGAGCAAGGAGATGCTATAACTTTTGAATCTGAGGTACATGAGTTTTATTATTACTTTGAAGTCTCACAATATGTAAAACTGTCGAAAAAGAGGCAACTTCATCATTGAGTGAGGGAAATAATAACTTTATGATTTTGAGATAGCAACTCTGGCAGTAGGACTTCGTTCATGTTGGCCTTGAAATAACATCAATCTATTATGCTTCAAGTTATTTTTCTTGCAAGAATGCAGCAACATGAGATTTATTTGTAGCATTTTTATCTTGGCTAAAAGAACAATAATTTAAATGTTCTTCAAATGGTCTGACAGGTGGATCGAGTTTATGTCAGTACTCCAAATGCAATTGCTGTACTTGATCATGAAAAGAAACGGACATATGTTATCAGAAAGGAGGGACTACCTGATGTTGGTAAGCTCAAGTACTTCTGAGGAAATAATCTTGTAAACAGGATGTTTAGGTTTCCAATACATTGAAGGAGAAAGATTGTTCGGGTAGGAGTGTTTGATATGAGAAGTGTCACTTGACTAGATAAGTTTGCTTTGCAGTGATGATTTTACAAACAAGTAAATTTTCATCCCTTTTTTGTTTACAATATTCTCTTGTACACAGTGGTATGGAATCCATGGGAGAAGAAATCGAAATCAATGGTAGATTTTGGAGATGATGAGTATAAACAGATGGTATGCGTTGATGGAGCAGCAATCGAGAAGCCTGTGACCTTGAAACCAGGTGAGGAATGGACAGGGCGGTTGGAACTCTCAGTTGCACTATCAACTTTCTGTAGCGAACATTTTGATCTCCAGAGCAGTGGGTTTTGATGAAATGGTACAAACAAATTTTCAGACGATGTACCAATCCAAGTGTATGAAGTTTTATTATTAGCACTTGTAGGAATAGTTCAATGTTACTTCACAGCATGCTTATTATTAACATTGAATTAACATTGAACTGAGTGTAAGTAAGTAGGACCAATAAATTCTCATGCCAACAAGATGAGAAACCTTGAAACAATAATAGAGACTGAAGGTTACGGTCTTTTTTTTTTTTTTTTTTTTTTTCCAGAATGGCTGCTAAACTTTTTCATTGGAATCAGATATTTATTAAAAAAAGTCAAAATTTTATTATACATGAATGTTGGACAAAACATCTATTCATTAGTGATAGAATTTTTGGCACTGACCACTAATGTATGAATCAACAAAGACCGTCCGGTGTTACCACAACATGATGCTTGGATTATATCTGAAGATGAAGTTCAAGTCGAGCATTGTTCATGTCCTTTGCAGTTTCAAGTAAAAGATAATGGGTGGTTAACGGTGAAGGAAGGCGCTTTATAAAGAGTTATATTTTGCTTAAATTAACCCTTTACAATTCTTTGGAATAACAAGTTACTTTAGTAGTAGCTTTACACAACACTACCAATATCTAATGCAAATTTTTTTTGCTTTTTAATTAAACAACACACCTCCTGATAACAGATATTAAGAAGGGTTGTCTACGAGAGAATTGCTTCCTAATAACAAGATGAGTGGGCAGATGAAAGGGCATTCCTTTCATCCACTGTGGCACAATGGCAGATAAAAGCCTTTTTAAGAAAATAAAATTATAACCAAGTCCAACAAACAAATAAATAATGGTCTATAAAAGATCAAGAGTTGAAATAGAGATTTAGCACAATGCTATGTAAGTATATTTTGTCAATCTTTCATTAGATAAGTAAACAATCAGTGAATTTTTTCTTACACAGCTTATAAACTATAAACCCCGGCGATACTCCAGTTGCTTGGTATTCCCTAGTAATACCTGCCAAGCAAAGCAATAAATTCTTAAAATGATAAAGATATCTGAAACCAGAGAAGGAACTGCATATATGTCGCTACTCACTAGCTAGGCATGGTTATTGTACAAACCATGGGCAAGAAAGTTTCAGGTAATTTCAAAAGAAATGGAGAACTTGGCAGATAAAGAAGGCAAATCAAGTGTCCTTACTTCTTTAATGTAGTTTGATACAGCCTTGCAGCCTTCAATCGCAAGTCCCATGACATTTTCGAAGATATCCACAGGTAACTTAGCATCCATCTGTATTTATGCAATATAAAAATGAATCTCTAAGAGTAAACCTTCTCAACTACTTTTTGAGAATCAAACAACATTATAAGTTTATTACATATCATTTTAGCCAGTAAATAGTCTCACGTAAATCAGAGGATGAGTTACAGTAAAGGAAAAAAGGATAAGATAGGCAAAGAGAGAGCTCTATATATTGTATGTATAGAAAAGCACATGCTGTGGTTGTTAGATCCCATTACCATGTTGACAGAAACACAAACCATATTGCAAGATCAACAACTATTATCGCCAAAGAAGCAGAAAAAAAGTAGCTCAAAATATCTTTAGAATTAAAAGCCTAAAAATGTGAATGAGAAAACTGAGTCATAGAGAACCTGAAGAAGAGTCACTTTGTCCAACTTAGGCAAGATCGCTACAGTGACATCAGGGCCTCCCGCACTATCTTCAATGTAGTTCAAATCTGTATATATATATACAAGAAATATCAATTTAATTGTTCAAAGGAATAAAAAGAGAAAAGTTAAAAGAAGAAGAAGAATTCACCAAGCAGAGGGGCGCTATTTAGATACCCAGCACTGCAGGAAGTGACAATATCACGCATTGGGATCCCAGCATCTGCAAGGGCTAAAGTCGCAGCATTGATACATGCAGATCTAGTTCCTGCACACGAATTTAGTCTGCTTATGCATCTTTTTTTCTTTTATAATACAGTAAACAAGTAACAGAATCTACATCCAAATTGAGGAAAGAGACTAAGAGAGTGAAGAGTAATTCATGTAAAAAAAAAAAATCAAAGACGAACACAATGTAGATTCATGCCATAAAAACAGATGTCAGTGGTCAGAGTGGAGCATAAAGTTGTATTTGCATAAAATGAAAACGTAAAGAAAGCTATTGATCATCTAGAAGTTTGGAGAAGTTTCAAGTTACCTCCATCGGCTTGAAGAACTTGAACAAATATATCTATCTGATTAAAAAATCAATTGAAAAATGCTTCAGAAAAACAGAAAATATATGCCAGTTTGGGTTATATCATTGGAATTTAATTCAAACCTGAGAACGAGGCATTAGATGAGTCAATATGCATGCTTCCATTGTTTGGCGGATGACAAGAGATATCTCTGTTGACCGCCTAAGTTTAGAAAGAAAAGATTCATATCAATAAGCATATAATTGTTCTTCATAAACCTAATATCGGTCAATTTGGTCATGCATAAATCCTTTTGTAATTTTTATTAATTGTGTAATGAGATTATGTTTGAAGTTTGAACTTTGAAGGACAAACTACTAAAAGAGAAGGTCTTTAAAAACACCAAACCATCATATTTACTTAATCCAAAGTATAGCTACATTGGATTCATGTAAGGTTCTTGATGTTCCACAAAGAAATCAGATTCTACATTTCTTCCATTGAATTAGAAAATACTTTGTGTTTTAGTGAAGCAGAGAATCCTCCAAGGGTATTATAATCTATTACCACAAAAAACGCATATCATGGTATAACATCATTCTAAGAATTAATAGAAGGGAAAACAGATCACCTGTCACCCTTAGGTTTTCTCAGGCGATCTCCAGTACTAAAATTGGCCATACTGTACTCACAGCGCACCTGATATCCATCACATACATAAACACCAATAATTTTTAAAGTCACAACTACAACAATTAGATATGCAACTTAAAGAACATTACCAATGCCTGGTCACTAATTTGTTGGCTCCTATTTTGCACCTGGAAAACATAGACTAAATTTATCATCAATGCAACAAACCAACATCTAATAAAAATAGATGATCAAATTCAAAACACAAAAAATCCCAATCAATGTTTTATGGGTGACAAGCTTAATACAAACATATAAAAGAACTAACAACAGCCATATAAATGTGTAATAAAGTGAAGGTGTGCCCAAACGGTTCACTCATTCCAACAAGACTGGGGTTGGATCCCCAGATTCCCTTCCTCAATTCACCCTTAGGTCTTGACCTTCTTTGTACCCAGGGAAAAAAAAAAGGGGTGAAGGCGTGTACGGAGACAATGAAATTAATGGATTACCTCTCTAGGGCCATACACTGCTGCAATGACTTTGGTGTTGCCCATCTCAAAAACAGCAGAACTGAATATTAAAAATTAAAAAAAAAAGCTCACAATTTTAGAAATAATGTTAGTAGTACCAAAAAGAAAAAGATATAGTGTTTGCTAAAGCGAGTAAGGACGGTGGCGCATACCCATCGGCTTTGGCCACGGTACCAATCTCCGCACGAAGTTGTCTCATCTGAGAAGGAGAAAATCAAAGAATAAGATAAAGGAAATTTAGAAGACGAAAAAATGTGGAGAAAAATAAAATAAATAAAAAGGCAATAAATTAGAAGAGAAAGGAAAGGTACATACTTCCATGGGACGGCGACCGTCCAAGCGGAGTCCTTCGGGGCTTACGTATTCCATCTTTGCCAACTAGGTTTGCACCAGACACAGCCTACAAAACACCCAACTGCTGCTGATGATTAAGGCAAGTACTAACTTGTGTTCTGCTTTGTTTCCCACCTTCTCTCGCTTGAGTACACCTCCAGGGTTTTGCCTCCATCTAACTAGTGGCTCTTGGGGTTTGAGGCTTTGAGTCCATGTCCCAAACCAAATTCAAGTCTCTGGTTGGGCTGTTTCGCCCTCTATCCATGCCATTGTTACATGAAAACGGGCTTGCCTTTTAACTTGGGTTGGGTGTTGAATTTAAAAACCTTTAGCCGTTACCCTGGATTTCACATATAAATCTCGTGCCAAATGCACAATGCTTTTTCTTTTTTGTAAATAATTAATATTTAAACATTGCAAAATAATAATCATCAAGTAATCAACCCTTCCCCTTTTTTTTTAAATTATACTCTTTCACTCTATGGCAGTTATACAATCAAATCATCAAACTTTTGATTTTCACACCAAATCATGATCATCAATTCATCATCAAATTACTGGGTATATATGTTCTTCTCCTCTAGATTGAATTTTTAGTTTTGGTTTTGTAATTTTGTTGTTGCTTGTTAGAAGAAACCTTTAATCTTTGTTTTTCCCTCGAATCTCAAGTGTATCCATCAATGGTTGTGGTCTTTATCTATTATTTTTATATATTTATTAATATATTTATATATGTAAAATCCACTTGATGAATTATGAAAATGACACTTATGAATAATGATTAAAGTTACATTAAATTAAAAAATTTAATTTAAAAATAATAAAAGGAATCCGGACCTATCTAATAGAGCTTCAATAGGTTTTCGAACTAATTACTTCTCTAAAGACGTAAATGAAGAAAATAACTTCAAATGAAATAGTTATAGTAGTAATAATTTTAATAAAATATTTTATATTCAATTAACAGTTCGATGGAATATTAAATTATTAATTTTAATAATTAAAATTTAATTTCAAACAATTAAAAAATAAATATTTCGCAACAAAATTAAGGCTAATTTTATGTTCTATTCTGTCCACTCCAAGCGGTCATTTTGAATGGAAAAAAAGGAGAAGATTCTTAATGGGTAGTGGAGATATGGGTAATTGATTAATTTAAAGAAAATTGCAATCTTTCGGTAGAAAGCAGATACAAAATCTCTCTTTCAATGCTTATCCTTACTTTTCAAGGCAGCCACAGTCTAACCCCGTATTCCCCCCACTTTCACCTCAATCTGACACCTTATTTTCCAAAAGGTTTAACCTTAATTTATTCATATTTAATTAATGTTTTTCCCACTAAGGTAAATGCCAATTGGTCAGGTCGACGAGGGATCCTAGACCAAATCCAACCCCACTTTAACCCCCCCCCCCCAAAAAAAAAAGTTTTAATCTAAAAATAAATAAATAGAAGAAGAAAAAAAATCCAAAATACACAAATAATTAAATTCAACCCCATTAATAAAAATGATATATGTACCCCCGTTACATCACAAGAAAGCAGAGTTCAGACATGGACGCACGTTAGGCTGTTTATGATATACTCTTTGGTGTTGCATCTCCCCTTTCATTTTCCACAAATATAATGTATGAATAAATGTAGTAATAAAACAACTATTGTAATTATATAAGGAAAAAAAAAAAAAAAAGATAAAACTAGCTAAAATCCAATGTAGATAAAAATGTTGAAGAATTGCCTCATCGATCAGTCTTTTCTTTTTCTACCTTGAACTTCCATGCATGTGATCTGTATCAATGAATATTGAGCCTGCAATCAAAGCAAAGATCTCCATCAAACAGGAAAGCTCATCAATGAGAAAAGTAAGTAGCATTACTCATATTTCACGATCCAAATGCATTGAGAAAAATGCCATATTATTGACTTGATTCTCACTGCCAGAAAATGGTCCCTTACACCGGTAAATTCTAGCATTCATAATTTTTTTTAATGAAAAAATCATAGATTAAATTTAAAATATTATATTTATTAAATATTAATTATAATTATATAAATAAATTGAATTAAATTTTAAATTTTATCTTTTTTTTAATTTCTCCGTTATTTAGCATGATTAAATTTTTTAATACTATTAAACTAATTAATTGGGATGGATTACTTGAACATTTTTTTTCTTAAACTCATGTCACTCAATGTGTAAAAGTCATATGAAAACAAAATTTCAACATTTTCAGCCACTAAATTTCTCCTAGACCGTTAGGCATAATGCATACTTTAATTTGGTTTATTTAAACTTTAACTAAAAGACAATCATCCACTACAAATTCTAACAAGTATGTCATTTTATCAAACTGTTCAAGTTCTACTGTGCTACGTAAGAAATGAAAAATAAAATATTTGTTTCAATTGAATTAAAACAATGAAAAGTTTAACGTTGTCTTACCATTTTAACATGTTGATGTCGCATTTAGGCATATCATCACCGTCAAGCTGTTTCATGGTGATTCCATCACACTTAACAGTAACCCCCACCATACCAATCTTCAACCCTGCCACGCCCAATCCAACTTTCGTCCGAGCTTCCACATTCACCGGTAAAGTCTTGCTTCGGTACCCAGTCTGAAGCCTATTCCCAATCCCATCAGCCACCAGCTTGTTACTCGCCTTTGTTTCCACTTTCAAACTCGTCGACTTCTGTTTCCCCAGACTGAACTTGGGCACCTGTGTCGTTCCCAATTCAGTCTCATCCTCACCCTCCCCAACGCTGACGTCAACCTCCGTGTTGCCGTAATAATACGTCATCTTTCCGTTTGGGTTCTTCACTTCGATTCTTATCGTCGTTGTGGCGTCGAGGTAGGTTCCATCAGGTTTTTGGGTAACGTTAAAGCGGGAGACCCGGAATGATTGGACATGAAAACCGGGCAATTTCGGGTCGAACCAAAAGTAGAAAACAGTGCCGCAAACGACGATGAGGAGAAGCAGGATCAAAAAGAAGATGCAGAAACAGCAACAACAAACACGACAACAGCTACTCTTTTTTTTCTTGGGATGGAAAGAAGGTGGGAGAACCGGTTTTCGTGGCGGGGGTCTAAACCCAGGCTGGGCTGCCAGGGAGTTTGGGTCTTTGTATCCAGGTGGCTTTTGGAGAACCGGTTTCAATGGAGGCTCAGACATTTCTTGGATATAGAATTATGATAACCTAGATAAAAATGAAAATTGAAATCAGGGAATGAAGAAAGAAAAGAGCTTCCTTTAGCGATTGAGTGAAAGAAATATGTACGTGAATGTATTTTTGGGTTAAATTGGCCGAATTCAAGGAACAAAAATCAATTATGATTGAAGAAGCTTTGATGTTGGAGAATCGGGCATTAAGATATATCTGCCATTTTAAGAGACAATTTAATTGCTATTAAAATTGAAAAGAAGAGCAACCAATAAGAAAGAAGGAAAAAGGTAAAGAGTCTAAAGAACCACGAATGTGAAGTAAATTCAAGGCGTTGGAATTGTAGAGAAACACGAACCTTATCCAACAAGGTTGCAATATCGAAGCGATGGATGAACAATTGATACAGAGATCTGATGAGCTTTGTGATCAAAGGGGAATTCTTGATGATGGTGGTGATGGTAAAGCGGGAACGCAAAGAATCGGATCATGAAGACAAAGTCATTGGAAATGAGGGCAGGGGAGACGAGAGAAGGAGCTAAAATTGCGAGGAGAGAAAGAGAAAAAGTTAAGACTAAAAGAGATGGGTAAGAAGAAGAAGGGAGGTTTGTCTCTTATGGAAAGAAGGGGCTTGGGTCTGGGTGGCGGGGATTCAGCTCGCGAGATTCACGCGCGGCGTCTTACATGCTGACATGGCGGGAACTCTTTCTACTTTTGTCCGCTACTTGTTTCCTTTTTCAGCTATACGCCGCTGTAATTTTGGTCGCAGCAACACAATGAATTGAACAGTATCTCAAAACATGCCGCGAATCAAAGCGTAAGTGAGCAGGAAATTAGATAATTGTTTTGTAAGGAAATCCATGTGAATTTTATGTTTGTCATGTAATAAACTACCAATTATTGTGACTGAAAATTAGTTTCAATAGATATTGAAAGTTCTTTTCAATGATGAGTTGTAAGTTCCATAAATAATTCAGGGCAGGTTCAATTGGTTGCCCTCTATTTGCCATACATTTTATGCAATAGTAATAATGTTAAATTTAACATAATTATTGAACCATGATTGGCAGCACACAGCCAATAATTTGGATTACTATGTATATTCTAGTATTTGATTTAATGAATAATAGTTACCAAAGTTGGATCCAAGAGTTATGGTTAGTAGGGACAAATATTTTAATTTAACTTAATTTTTATTCAAATAAAAATTAATATAAAAAATTATAAATAAAATCAAGGTGTATAACATATTTTTTATATACAAAAAAAAATTTTGTCATAAAAATAATTTTTCTTAGTTAAAATTAATTATATGATTATTAACAAATATAATCGAAACATTATTTAGATAAATTAACTTTCAATATAGAAGCACATATATTAATTTAATAAATTTGTATTTGTAAAATTTTTAAAGATAAATATAATACGTGAAAGAATAATATAAAAGTTAACATATCTAATTTTATTATTCACTTTTAATATGTCTAATTTTATCATTTATTTTAAATAAACAAACATATTGTATTTCTTATTTATTATAATTTGAAGAATAAATGTGCCTATTTTCTTATATACAATGAAAAGAAAAATGAAGATATAAATCTAAATGATTTTTTAAAATTTTTATTACTTCACACTTTATATATTATTTTTTTTTGCACTAAATAAATGGTTAAAATCATTTAAGTTGTACAAACTTTAAGTTTCACTACTCTTATAAGATTACCTCACATCAATTTAAATAAATTATGAAGATAAATTTGAAATTTAATAATTTCAAACTCATTAAAAGTAATTTACTTTTTTTTTTTTACAAACTTATATATATTTTAACAAAATTCTTTGGCAGCCAAAGAATCAATATTCAACTACTAGATAAACAAAAAAATATGTTTTTGTATAACCCTTAATTTAGTAGAGGTAAATTTGATAAAAATATTTTTAGTTGAGGCAAAATTTTAAATTTTTAAAACTTTTGAGATTTTTTTTCAATAAATCTAAAAAATTTTAAGAATTCAGGGGCGCAGCTGCCCCTCTGGCTGCAGTGTACATGCGTCCCTGACAGTTACTATCTATGTTCCCAGAATCCTAGTCCTATAACCCAAAGAAATTACTTCGTTAGAAAATTGATGATTTCCCTCCTTTGGATTGTTTTTATTTTTCTTTTGTCATTGAACTTCAAAGCAGTTGTCAAATACAGAAAGGGGTTGTGGTGGTGTAAAGGGTGTGTGTCCAAGGGTGAGGGGTAGGGTTGGGTGGGAGCGCATGTTCTCCCAGGTGGGGCAGGACCGTCCCTGTCATTATCCACTAACTTGTTTTCAAGAATTCCACCGACGCACAAGGCGGGGACACTCCTAAATTACTCTTTATACCGACGCCACCGATCGAATCTGCCCCCTCCCCCCCTCTTCCCTTTTGCGGTTAGTAGAAGCTGCTTTTCTGTCTATCTGATGAAAAACCAACAAATCTTCAGCTATACAACCATGCATGTCTGGTACAACTGGAATGTTTGGTGTCTGCGCATTGTCCGAAATCTGAATACTACCCTAATATACTTTAAGAATAAATAAAAGGGTCTTTGTAGTTCAATATTTTTATTCAAAATTATACTAATAGTAGAGACTAGCACATTACTACGTTATTAAAATTTCAATTGGAATGGACTCTCCGCTTCTTTACAAAATTTAATTTTAAAAAAAATGTTTCAGAGGAGGGGGGTTGTCGATTTACTGTCGATGTAAGTTAAAGCTTCACTGTCACTTGTAAATCGTAATTTGACGCCCATTTACACACCTTCCCAGCATGTCGGCTTGATTAGAATAGCCACGCAACGTTTAAAAAAAAACAAAAAGGGTGGGAGGGGAAGGGGAGGGAATGGGACTCCGATGCTCGACCGAAAACCCGTGCGTTGATCCAAATAGTTGTAAAGGACCACCACCACAATCGAAAAATGCATACAGATTTGTAATGGGAAACACGTCGATATCAAATAGCCAAATTATAGGCCCAAGACTTATCTTACCTCGACGATTATTGTTAAATAGCGAGGTTGGAGTGCTACCAAACTTGAAATCATGTCTTAATTAGTATTGACTTCTCTGTATTTTCTTATGATCTAAGTAATTAGCAATACGTTTAGACTCTCTTTTTTGGTTCAATGAATGGTAATTAATTGTGGTACTATTTAATTTGGGTTGGTTTCATTGAATAATGAGATTCTAATTCAAGTAGGGGAGAGACTATAGCGATTTGAAAGATCATATTCTTTTTAATTAATTTATAATATTAGAGAAAATCACTTAATATTAGATCATAACTGAATAGGATCTTTCAAATCCGGGAAAATTATGGAATCAGTTGTTAGTATGATTGTCTCAAAATGCAAAGTACTCAATTCAATTGGCACATGCAAAATTACAAAATCCGGGCACCCGAACTCGGACCCATTGCCATCACGGATTAAAGATAACTCTAAACCATTTCAGAACCCGCCTCCGAACCCGGCTCCAAAAATTCCAAGTGGGTTCCACTTAGGGACCAATCAGAAATAGAGCCATCCATATCCAACCACAGCCGTTCGTTCGTTTGTAGTTTTCAAACGGGGACCCACATCTCTCATCCTGATTAAGATTTCCCGGTAATTAAAAAGCAAAAAATTTACCGTAAATTTTTGTCTTAACTCCAAATTAATTATTTATCCTTTTATTTTATTTGTTTAATCTTATTTCTTCACCGTCCAGCCCTCATTTTCTCTCTCTAGAATTCTTCCTTGTTTTTGTTTTCTCTCTCTTCACGTTTGTCTGTAGATCAGGCACGATCCTTTGACTCTGCCGATGGCTTCGAAGCGGATCTTGAAGGAGCTCAAGGATCTCCAGAAAGATCCTCCTACTTCGTGCAGCGCTGGTAACGTCTTCGTTTGTCCTGTATTTTTTTTTTTTTAATTTCTTTTTTGAAAAACGGTTCCGTGTTTTGTTCTAAATCCTGATCTACACCTTTTTGTTCATATGTATGGCTGGTTGTTAAGATATGAAATCCTTTTATTTTTATTCCGTCCATGTATTTGTTTATGGATAATTTTATGGTGAAAGATCAAAACTTGAAACGATTCCTGTTGACTTGTTGTATTTCTTTGTAACCAAAACATCTATCAATTGAGTTACTTTTTACCACGATAATGAAGGATTGGACGGCTTAAGCGAGTTGCAATGGTACATGAAGCATGAAACCTAGGGTTATTCCTCTGCAAAAATACGACCTTCGTTAGTTACAGCAATGAATTCATGACGTTTTATATCATTTGATTGTACGTGGTTATGATATAAACGCGGTGCTTCAATTGTTCTTCCGTTGCTTCTATGTTGGTCATTGACTTAGTGCATTTTTTTTTAGATTTATAGCTTAGATTATGGTATGATTGAAGTTTCTTGTTTTTTGGCATTATGAATGGCATGTCTTTCCACTGCTGATATCTAGGCACTACGCTTGAAGGTTTTGACATATGTTTAATGATGCATTTGGTAGTTCAAGAATTCCAAATTCAGGAAGTATATAATTTCTGCTAGATCTAATTATTTTGTAGGGTATCAAATGATTGATTATCATAATCCTTTTTAGCATAATCAATCTCTGTGTAATAGTTTTCTCATGCATCAATTTCTCTTGTGATAATTTACAAATTCTTTATTTTGTTGCTATCCAGTGTTTGCTTAATCCTTTTTATTCTTTAAATAATCATGGTCATGAAATTTTTGGTCAGTTTTTATTTTTGAAGGGTTAATGTGTAGTATTTTAGCTCAGAATGACCATAAAATTTATGTATGTTGAAGCAAGTAAAATGGCAAGATTTTCATGTTTGTAAGTTATGGGATGTAGCCCTATGGGGTTTGTATGTGGACACACTTTAGGTAGCAAATGGTGATGTCCAGATGGAAGATGTTCGAGGTGTTATTTATGTGGTTGAAGTTCCTTGTGTGTACTATTAACTTAGAATATTGGAAATTTGAATTTTTCTTGATCTTGATGGGATTCTTGGATACAGTAGGAAAGGTTTATTTTCTGTCTGCTATGGGATTATAACATGATATATTACTTTCTATTCCATATGCCGACAGGTCCTGTAGCTGAAGACATGTTCCATTGGCAAGCAACAATCATGGGCCCCGCTGATAGTCCTTATTCTGGAGGTGTCTTTCTAGTAACAATCCATTTTCCTCCTGATTATCCTTTTAAACCACCTAAGGTAAGGGATGTATGTTTTTTATGTTTTGTTGTACTGATTCTGCAGTTATCCTTTACAACTTTTCATGCTAGGCTATCATGAATCATGCTTTATAGATTATGGAGTCCAGACATATATGTGGTTTTATGAGTGTGAATAATACAACAGCTCATACAACAAAATATATATTTTTTCCTTTTCTTTTACTTTGGGGATGGAAAGGTTTGACTGTGGTCCTAGACAACTAAAAGCATTCAGTAGAGCTATGAAAGTGAACTTTGCTCAATCTGCTTTTGTTTCATTGTGCCTTCTCTTCTTCTGTTTCTTGCAGGTTGCATTTAGAACCAAGGTTTTTCACCCAAATATCAACAGCAATGGTAGTATATGCCTTGACATACTAAAGGAGCAGTGGAGCCCAGCCCTGACTATATCAAAGGTTTTCAACTCTAAACAATCTTTTACAATCTAATGCCCAACAGTTTGACTTAGTCTAGTTAAACATGTGTATATGAAGTATGGGTAGATAGAATTTTTAACATGGGACAGGCCTTGAGCTATTCAGCCGCTGTAAAACTTGAAGCCATGGTATTTAGCCAATATAGTTCCTTCTGAATCGAAAATTTCATCTTATGCTTTAAGCTTTGTGGCAGGGGAATATATCAATAGTGACCTCTAATTTTGGCCATCAAAAACTCTTCCCAGCTCCTTGCTTGATGAAGCATTATTTGTAGGTTGAGAATCCTATTGGCAAATGATGAGATGTGTTTTCAGCAGTTGTGCAGGACAAAATATCAAGTGGGATCTTCCCACCAAATTGTGCATTTTCACTGCTGAACCCTGCGATATGGGATGAGACTCATTTGACTTTCTTTCTGAATTCATCTAAGACAACCTGTTAAAATGTTATTGGTTGAAATTACATGGGTACAAAATAGTCTTGAGTATCATTCTAGTTTCCACCTTGTGGCCATCTTTTGGGATTTAACTAAGGAAATTTTCTCTTAAATCAGCTTTACATTTTTGGAACCTCTTTCTTCCTTTCATAGGCTTTATTTTTTGGTTGGGTGGGTTCAAATGCGTACATTCCGTTAAATTAGTTAATCATTTCTGTATTTTAAGAGGATGGGAAAGGTGCTTGTTTCCTCTTTCAGGTGTTGCTTTCTATCTGCTCCCTCTTGACGGACCCAAACCCTGATGATCCCTTGGTGCCAGAAATTGCTCATATGTACAAGACAGACAGGGCTAAGTATGAATCAACTGCTAGAAGCTGGACCCAGAAGTATGCCATGGGCTAGTCTAATAATTGTTAAAAGCTTTTAGGATATTGCTTGTCACTACCCATTGTGTATAATTCAAGTTTGCATTTGTTGTCATTGCTCCTGTAATAGACAAAGTGAAGAATAGATGGATACCTTGCTATTCATAAAGCTGTCTGATGCTGTAGGTGTTGTACTTGATGTCTGAAACTGTTGTAAGGTCAGAAACTAATGTTGTTCAATATATTTGTTTGTTCTGTTTTCTGGGGACTAAAATTAAGTCTTTATCATTGAGGTTAGTTTTTTTCTTCAGCATGGATAATGGAACTAATCTTTCAGTTAGCTTGGTGCTGATCAAATTCTTTTAAATTTTATGCTGCGCCGCTAACTCCTGTAGCGCTGGTAGCCTGGATTGTAAAACGAATTAAAATGCTGCATTACAGGTCTGGTTATCATTTGAATTCGGCCAACGAGCAGCAACTAATTGCATAGCAAAAAAGTTGCTGAACGACAGCCGCTATGAAGGGGGAAAACAGTCGCTGTATTGGTTAATTCCGCTGCTTTCACGCTCAACAGCACTCTTGACTTGACCATCGAACGTGAATGACCGAAAATATCAATGGACAATGCTATGAAAGCCCAATAAAAATAGAAAGCCTAAAGTAGCTATCGAAAATAGTAACATACAATGACATCGAGGCCCAATAAAATGACTCAAAAAAGAAAAGGAGAAAGCCCGCTAACAGCTGAATTGATTGATTTATGAGGAATTTTGTCCACATTTACCATTTAACTTTTATATTTAACAGGACCAAGAAAAACAAATTGAGCAAAATGTTGATTAGATGAGTAACTCATTTACAATGTCATTTCTAAAGTTCTTTCTGAGGCTGTCTGCTGTAGGTGTGGCCTTGAGCATATTTTCTTTTTCTGCCCGTTTGTCGAGGCTGTGTGGAGAGTTTCAGGCTTCAGTTACCAATGTAGTAGGGAAGGATTCACTTGCTTTCACAAAATGGAGGGAGAATATCGTCTCTTTCTTTCATGATTTAGGTTCTTTTAATACGAGAAGCTTGATTAGCTACTTAATACGGAATATTTGGAAAACAAGAAATCTCTTTTCGTTTGGAGGTAAGACGGGATCCTATTCAAGTATGAGTATGGCAATTGGCTCTTCAAGAATTTCTTGATTACACTGGAGTTACTGTTGTGAACTCCCAGACAATTAGAGAAAGAAGGAATGTAATTCCTTGGCAACAACCCCCCGCCCCCCTAAATTTCTGAAGATGAATTTTGATGTTTCCTTTGACAGAGCTTTTGAACGAGCAGGAATTGCAGTTGTTCGTAGAGACTCAAATGGTCACCTGATTGATGGAGTTGATGCCCTTGCTCAAGTTGGGTCAGCGCAAGTTGCTGCAGCTTTGGGTGTCAAACTTGCATGTGAACTTATTAAGAGAAAAGGGTGGAGTAGAATTTTGGTTGAATCAGATAATTCGGAAATTATCAGAAGACTTACAAAACCAGAAATTAATAGAAGTTGGGCAAAATTAACCGACCAGTTTAGAAAGGAGTTTCTGGGAGATCCCTCCTACAAATTCTTATGTTTAAGAATTCCAACCTACATTAATGCTGGAATAATTGGTGCCTAAACTCGCCCTTGTTATTATTAGCACGCCCCCAAAAAAACCTCTTCCCCTTACTTTGTTGGCGTTGAAAATTAAGTAATGGTCACGTGAAGTAAATGGGCAACGGTGACAGAATCAAATGAGTGGGAAATGTCTTATCGTTTTCTACCCACCAACTACCACTTTGTACAACGTATGTCTCATTCCTTGGCCTTCAAACTTCAACTCGCCAGCCCTATCTTTATCTTTCATTTTAATTAATAACAATATCGAAATAATAAAAAAATCAAATATTAATTTTCTGTTAATGGAATAAAACTGTTCTTTAGTCAATGGAAAGTTGAATTATGAGAATCTAAATAAAACTTGCCCAACTTGTTATTTAAAGTAACATAATAAAAAATATACCACCTTCATTATTCTATTAGCTGAATCTTTGTTTTATTCCATTGTCAACTGCCATTTTGACAATAAATGAAAACAATAGTATAAATGCAAAAAAAAATAAAGATTTTTTTTTAAAAAAAAAATTGTTTTAATATAAAAAATCATAATCTAAAAATGCCAAAAAAAACTTGTTGAAAGCAGAAATTTAAATTGAACTAAATTATGAGCTATTTTTAAAAGAGAAATTTCATGCTTGATTGCGAAGCAATTATAATTGGATGGACTGAAAATAAGTAAACAGATTAATTTCATATTCATTTTTAATATCACGTATTATCAACATTTTAAGATCGGTAATTTCATACTAATCAAGTGAATGGTCAAAAGTTCCGGCTGGCGTGGCGGCTATAGAATGATTCCACATACATGTGCAACGGAGATGGCCCTTCTCTCTCTCTCTCTCTCTCTCTCTCTGTGCCGTGATGGATTTCTCTACTGAGCGAGAGACACTAATCTCACTCGCTATGTTCATTAATCAGTAGTCAGCAGCAAATCAAACGTCATTGTTAGGGATAAATATCCAATGCAGTTGAAGCGTGTGGCACAAATGTACCATTTGAGCGTGAGTCAGGTTTTTATTGCTTGGGACCAAGCTGAATCGGAGGGATGACCAAGCTCACTTGGAAGGAAGGTTAAGACACGTGTCACGAACAAGGAGATGCGGCGAGTCGTTTGGGATCTCCGGTTGTCACCGGAATCGCCGGTTTGAAACCATCGCTAATTTACTTTATCCATGGATCTTAATTAATTATATTAATTTTGAACACATTTAACAAGCAATTAAGATTTTTTATTTTTCAGTTAAAAGTGAAAAAGGAAAATAAAACTAATAAAGTAATTTTATTCAGGATCTTATAAAACAGCGATTCTTGGCTTTTTTACTCTTCCTCGCAACTGAAACTCTCCTGTTTCTCCCTACTCTATCGCCATTCCCTCCAACAAGGTTGACAAGATCCTTTCTTTTACAGATTCTTCTCTCTCTCTCAAAAAAAAAAAAATCCCATCTTTGATGTTAAAGTTTTGGAAATGAATCCAGCGAGTTCGTCCCGAGTGAAATACACAGAGCAAAGAACAGTTACTAACAAGCTAGTGAAGCCATCAAGCAATTGGTTTTCCATGGAGTCCAAACCCAAAGCCCCTAGAATTGTCAGGATTTCTGTCACCGATGGCGATGCCACGGATTCTTCTAGCGACGAAACCGAACAAGAGAGACATCGGAGAGTGAAAAGGCATGTGAATGAAATCAGGATCGAAGATTGTTCCAGATTCAATTTCACCAAGGTAGCAAACAAGCAAAACAAGCAAACAAATAGTAAGAGCAATCCTGTAAATATCAGATCAAGGAAGCAACAACAGCAGCGATGTTTGTCTAACGGAGTGAAATACCGTGGGGTTCGACAAAGGCCATGGGGAAGATGGGCGACTGAGATCAGAGACCCTACGAGTCGAACCAGGGTTTGGCTTGGGACTTATGACACTGCTGAAGAAGCTGCTTTGGTTTACGACAGAGCTGCGATAAGAATCAAAGGTCCTGACGCTCTCACAAACTTTGTAAAGCCTCCTGTGAGACGTCCCCCACCAGGGATTGAACTTGAAATGAGTTTCGGGTATGATACTGGCCAAGAATCTCAGTCTCTCTCTTCACCTACTTCTGTACTCAGATTTCGGTCCAATGAAGAAGCTGAACTTCAAACCGAGTCCAAAGATGACTTCTTGGAGCTTATAGAAAGTGGGTGGAAACCTGTTCAGGAACTCCCAGAAGAACTAAGAGACTTGTCAGATGAGTATTTATTAACAGATCCGGGGGCTTTATGTGATTACTGTGATTCTAATAACCCTGTACCAATATTTTTTGATGAAATGAGGCTACCAGAAGACAGCAATTTCGAACAGGATTATGCTGATATTTCTGTTGATTTTGGGTCTTGTACGTGGGATGTCGATAATTACTATTAAGATCAGTGAAATTTTGCTTGAAACAGTTCCCTGGTGTTGCCGCCCTGGAATGTTCAGACGCTAACCCAGTTGCTGGTAAATACTTTGCCGTGCGTGATTTATGTGAATGTAATGGTAAATTCCGAGTGGAATTTTGGATACATATTCACAGTTTTTTAGTACTTTTTTTCTAAGTGTGTTTCTCTACTACAGTGTGTAAAGAAATGCGAAGTAAATATGTAAATTCTTGTTTTTTTCGAAGGGGTTCTTTTTCGTGGATGGCTTCTCTTCTTTTGTGAACTGAATAGGTTCGGTGTGCATTTCAATTGGCGTGGTCATTGTGTGTGTGCTTGGAAGCGTGCTTTGTGTTTATCGCTTTCTTCAGAAAAGAGTATAATCCGATTTATTGCTCGTTCAGTTCTTTGCTTTAGATCTTTTTCTTGTCTGTGTATTTAATGGGGGTCCATGAGATATTTTATTTTATTTTTAATCTTTGATTGGGGCATTGGCGCGGGACTCAAAAGGCTGCCAAATTAAGACAAAGTTGGGTTCCCATGTTCAATGGTTCGCCACCTTAAGACACTTGCTCGCCATAAACTCTATCTGAGAGCCATTCTTTTTAAGCATGGCTTCCTATTCCATGCCACATGTTCTCCGGTTCAAGGTTTTAATGCCTGTCAATCGAACAAGGAAAAAAATATCCTTACCCTATTAGAAAATGAGAAATTATCTATTTCAGTGTAATTTTTTAATTTTATAAATAAAATTAATAAAGTAATGTATATTTTTTATGTTATATTTAAAATATAAAAAATTAAATAAGAAAATTATATCATCATATATCAAATAATTCTTTTTGAAAACTTCACCACTTGATAATTAAAAAAATAGTTATGTTACTTTCACTGTCAGTTGATGGTGCTCTAATTTCACCATCAAGGTTAAAATTATACAACTATGAACGATCTTTCATGTAAATAGTGAAGAGGGCAAGAAACACGTTTTGTTCCATATTAAGATGCATTTCATTGTTTTTGAACCATTTGCGCAATCCTTTTCGCCTTCTCTTCCAACCTTAAATCAGGGACTTCAATTGACAAGGACATTTCATGAGACAGCTGACAGAACTGCGAGATGGCTATGACCAGTGAGACTGTCGTTTAGAGGACACACCTCAAACTTGTCAAGGTTGGTTTTCAATCCTTCGAAAAATACATGTTATGTCGACCCCACAGAGATTGATCTGGTAAGATCTGTACACGATACTCGCCTTCTTTGCCATGGCCAGGGCTCTAGAAAACCATAAAATTCTTACAAAAATAAAACTGAAAATACAACTTGGAAAGGGATATCAATTGTCATAGAGCCATAGGCTACCTACATTATGCTAGTTCCTAGCATTTCTTCTAGACATCCCAATACATGGCAGCTCACTTTTCTGGCAATATCCCGGCGTGCTTGAATCTCCGGCAGCAAGAGGCATCTTTTTCAGGACACCCAGTCAAAAGTTTTACTACAAAAGGAAGTTTGCGATTTATTAAATTGCAGGCTTTCATGTACAAAGATAGCAGCAAACGTGATTTCAAAATCACAGCTGATTTTTGCCTCTGCTGACCAGAGTCCAGACCCACTTGCAAACTGCGACTCTGGGTTCTGGAAGCCAATAGTTGACTCTCTTCCTTCCCCGAATCCTGATTTGCCATTCTTTTTCCTTCTGATTCAAATGTGTGGTAACAACGACAAACCGACAAACCAATGAATCGTTTCTTTGACTTTGATCACGTGGCCTTAGACCCCCGCTATCTCTCAAGCGAAAATTTTCCAGAATTGGTACGTACGGATAACTTAGCTGGCTACACCAAAAATCTAGAGGAGATCAAGAAAAAGGAGTTGTTCAGCACTGTATCGTCCAGTAGTGAACTAGGGGCAAACGAAATTCGGAAGCCATTAACAAAGGCATTTCAAATCATAGGTCCGCTATTTTCTAAAAATATCCCCTCTACACATAAAAGGGTATTCGGGGTTGGTTTAACGCTGCAAACATATCTCCTGACCCACTCGGAAATTAGCTTTCCGTGGCCATCGTTGAATTATGGATCAACAATTTCCAAATCTATATATATATAGTGTTCAATTAAGACATTATCGGCATTTGGTTTTTGTAGGTTACTTATTTGTTCAGTAACTTAAATTTGGAGAGTGTTATTCAGCTCCATCTATTGTAATGAACAGCTTTTGATTCTTATGACTTTGAAAGGTATGTAAAAACCCAAAATCATGCCAGCGAAAGCTGGACAGACTGTGAATGAGGAGGAAACTTAGCCAGATTTATGACGTAACACTTTCATATAAGACACTTAGGATATTACTAAAACAAAAACTTCTATTATGAATTTTCACATCATCACGTTGACATGCAAAGGTTGTTGAATTTATGGAGTGACTCGACAGGATTTTGGATCCTATCAAAATACCTAGTTTGAACAATTTTTTGTTTTCCTTTTGACTATCCCTATTACCATGAAGCTTGACTGCTTTGAGATAAACTGATGGTTAACATTTAAACATTTTTTTTATGTAGAGTTGACGTGTTAATTACATTAGCATGTTTTATGGGAAATGCCTTGCAAGCAAAATGATCCCTCCCTTAAATTGTTTATATAAAATGAAAAAGGAGACGAAAAGAAAAAAAAAAAAAAGGGGGGGGGGGTTTGGTGTTATAGCCTACAACTACAACTTGTAGCCTTTTGTCGGCTTCAGCTGACCTACCTGTGATATTGTCTCCCTATGTTTCATACGGCCCGTAGCACAGCACCCGGCGTCAGAATTCAATTCGGTAATAACTAATAAGAAGAGAAGTGGGAATAGTCTTCTATGGTAATGATGAGGCAAGACAGGTAAATAGCTGCATGCAAATGCAAAAGCAAGTTGTAATTGATTTTGATCCAGCTTGTTCATCTTCTTCGTCACTCGTGTTAAATCAAGAAGAAAAAACAGTACCTAATTAGAACTTTTATTTGTGTTTGATAAAATTCAGATTAAGACACGAAAGAAAAGTATATGAAATTGAATTGAAAATTCCTGATTACGAATGGTCGTCATGCAACGTGCAACACAGTTTTGAGCCACAATCTATGGATTCAGAAACAAAACCACTGCTCCTCGAAAAGCAAAAGGAAACAGATGGGGTGATGGGAGCGAAAAAACAATAATTTTATATATCAAAATTAGTACACTGATCATTGATGTGTGTTTTCACTCTTCTGATCACGTGAATGGCACGTGGTATCAGCCCTTTCAGTCTCAAGCTTACTGGGCTTGAGCCCACCTGAACATTTTCTGTATGAATTGTATATTATTATAGTTCATGTTTTGCAGAAAACAGGTTGGCCCACAAAATCTCTGTTGCATCACATTAAAAAAAAAAAAGAGAAAAAAAGCAGTGAGAATAAAGGTGGGGGTCACATAAAATCTCATCCACCCATCATGTTGAAATTCAGTTTTGTGAAACCAAACAAGTAGGACCCACCATGTTTGGTCCACTTCACTTACCAGCTTCAGTTGCAAAATCAAAGTTCTGTGTGATAATAGGGTGATAGCTAGGTCATCAATCTTGTAGGTCCTAGATTTATTTTCCCATTTAATTAATTATAAAATAATTATTAGGAAATTTTAATACTGTAGTTTTTATTATTACAAAATAATAAAATGGAAAAAATTTATGTTCAAGGGAACTCAAGTATAGTGGTAAACTCTTGATTCTTGAACCCATGGTTGTATTGTGACCAATGGACCCACATTGCATTCAAATTTTCTCTTCTCCTAAGTTTTAATCTCATAAATATAAGAAATAGTTGATGGTTTACTTACTTTGATGGTTGACCAATGAAATCACATAATTTGGTCAAACGTCAAAAATATTAATGCTTAATAATGTAATTAGTAAATGGGAACGGTCAATTAAGCAAAGGAATATGGATTACAAAATCTTAGCTGTGATTATCCGATTTATTCATTGTGGATGTGTTCTTGGTCTAGTTGAACAGTGATCATCATATTCAAGGCAGCTTCTCAGTGAATGCAATTTTGATGTCTTTTTGCTTCTGCAAAGAGCCAAGCCTCAGCACATTGAATCATGACCAAATTAATAATACGATTGATTACGATTTTCATTTCCTTGGCAGAGAACTCGTGGGAAGCTAAAAATAGATGTGATGAGTTGTGTACTTGAAAATAGATATAATAATGTGTATTTGTGTTGTAAAAATATTAAAATTTATATGTATATTATATTTTATATAAAAATTATATTGATATAAAAATATAAAATATATATTTATTTTATTTTATTAAATTTATATATAATAATTATTATAATTTTAAATTATTTTTATATAATATTTATATCGTACCATTATATTATATTTTAAATTATTAAATTTTATAAAGGGGGGGGGGGTTGGGGGCGCTGAGAGCTTATTTCTGTGGTTGACTTTGTTGGCTAGCGGACTTTGTTTGAGTGAAATGGTTTCTGCTAGCCACTTTTTAGGATTACTAGCCCAACTGACCATAGCCCATCATCATTATGTGGTAACTGAAAGAACCACCAAACGGCTTGGCCCTGATTTTATGAAACCCACATAAATTGCTAAATAAAACTGGTTATTTGTGACAATTTCAACATCATACACTCACATGTGGGGTTTGAAAATTTATTGATGAAAATCATAATCATGGATTAACATCTTGTATGCTGAGGGATAATGGCATGCTGCTTTTTTTTTGTTTTCAATTTCCATTGCTTGAATGGAGTGCCGTGATTGAACATACATGGTCCATGGAGCTTCTGACATGCGCGGCATATATAAGTGATTTTTTTTTTTTTTTGGTTACAAAGGGAAAACATATATACATGATTGCATGTATATATGACATGCAAGGCATGTTAATATACATGATTGCATGTGAAGAGAGTGAGACTGGGGTACGAACAGCTAAGCTTCTAGGTTCCAAACAAAACTTCCCTTTAAAGTAAACACACCCACGCAAAGAACAGAAAAGAAGGTAAAAGAAACCGAATGATTTTGTCCAAACACCTGATTGCAAATACCATTAAAAAGAAGAGGTCTACTTCCATACTCCAAATTGTTCCTCAAGCTTTCCAACACAGCCAAGAAAAAGAAAGGCTGGACAATTCTGAAAAGAATTGATAGTAATATATGTAAAAAAGAAACAAAAATAACAGAATAAAGTCATGGACTTTAAAAGTTATAATACAGGAGTGTTTTGATTGGTTGGTGGGCTATGTTTTCCACCGATGGAGTTGAATAAGAAGAAATTGCAGACTCTCATTGAGAGGGCATGGGCTTTGCGTGACAGGTTGAACGATGAAATCGAAAACAGTATCAGCTTCTGCAGGTTTTGTTCAGACCATGGTCGCTATTGTGATATTGGGCATACCCCATTTGAGGAAAGGGAGAGATTGATTGCCATCAGAGATTCATTGAAGGAAGTTGAGAACACCCTTTTGCATTTGCAGGTATCTACTATCTGTCTTCTCTTTTATTAACGAAGATAATAGTCTCAACTCTCAAGTCCTTTAGATCAGAATGTTAACATTGCAAATGCAGAAATATGCTCTTATTGATATAACTTTGTTCATGAGATCTAATAAATAGATTGAAATGAACAGACATTGGAAATTCCCTTAACCATAGTTAACTAATCCTTTAATATTCATGATTACAAATGGTTCTCAATATTCGATTCATTTAATCAAAAGATAATAGTAAACAACTGGTATAACATGTTACAAAAGCTCTTCTTTCTGGGTTCTGTTCTTAATGGAATGATCTAGTCTAGTATAAATTTAAGAATGACAAATGATTCCAAGTTAATTATTCTGTTACCTTTTGATTGATATCTTAACTGGTCTTGAAACCTATTGAGTAGAATTAGAATATTCCACCTGACATTTAGAGGTTTTGGCTTAATTTAGTTAGCATGTGTCGTCTTATCCGTGCTTAGATCATCCTTGGGAAATTAATGTTCAGAATTCTGTTCATTTCTTTCGTGTTGGAAAATCATATCCACTGTCATAGCTATGTACATGCAGAAGTTGCAATTTTGGCAGCTGACAGATAGGCATTCAGCCCTCACTCGAATGGAGCAAAGCAGATTATTTCTCATAAAACAAGTAAAACAATATCAAGGAAGACCCCTGGACGTGGTGAAAGAGTTGAATTCTTGTTTTGGCAATGACAATAAAACTGGGTTTGACAGGAAAGTGGAAGAAATTACTGTGAAGAAAAACGGGGTTGAAAGCAGGAGCAGAAGGCTTTCCAGTTTTCTCATTTGTTGCACTAGAGTTTTATTCAACCCTTGGATGTGGCAGAGTGGTGTTGGATTTGCAGTAAAATTAATTCTGATTTCAGCCAGCCTTTCATCTGTAATTCAATTTTATCATGCCAAGCAACAATCTTGCAGTAATTCACAAAGAAAAATTGTTTCAGTTACGCATTCAAAAGAAGCAGAAAAATTAGATACTTTATTAACTATATCAAAGATGCCTCTGGACGTGTTTTGTGGCAGGGGATGATTCTTGATTAGTTTCTTACATGTTTAATAATCGATGGAAGTACAACTCAATTTCTTCAGAAATGTTTCTCTTTTCATCATTCTTTTTAATTTCCGGTGGATATAATAGTATCTTTATGCCATGTAACAACTTATGCATGCCATCCACTTCAAAGCATCGTGGAAATATTTAAATGATGGGTTTGGATTAATTTATTTTTAATATGTGGTCCACCTTAATTTAGCGGTTGGATTTTATATTGCAGATTCAGGTAGCTGGAATCCCTTTCCAAAATATAAACAAATCATATTTAAAGTAAATATATATGACCATAATAAACTTTCCATGGTTATTTGTTTCTATAGTAGGACCAATCCTATTAATAACGGCTCTTGGATTCTTTTTCAACTTTCGCACTACTGTTTTCAATTTCAGGCTTTCTGGAAATGGTGACTCCTTGTCCTTGACACCTAGTTGGGCGCCAAGAGCCTTGAAAGAGTCTAATGTGGGCTCGATTGAGATTTAGCCTAATCCCAAAAGTTATTGACAAAGGAAATCTGAACAGTTTACTAGGAATCAGTCAGGTCTGTATTGGGATGATATGATGTGGTCCAAAAGAGTTCTGGGTTTTCCCTTTTGGCTACTCAAACGGAAAATTTTGAGAATAAAGAAGGAAGAAAAGGCCAGGATTAAATAAAGAGTTTCGGCTCTGCCTTTGCCTTCGAAATGCTCGGCAGGAACCAGTTGGATGGCGCCCTTAATTCCACGCCACGAATCACATTGTTTCTTCTACTCTTCCCCATGCAAAAATCTCATTTATTTATTTATTTATTGTTGGAACTTAGAAGTAATAAAAAGAAGGAAAGCCCTGGCAGACAACTTATAAAACTAACTAATCTTCCCATAAATTGTTCAATTCCCCCATATATTTTTTTTCATTGAAATTTAATTTACGGTGAGAGAGAGATGGTAGGCTGGAGTCGGGATTTACTTAATGGATAGGCGCGGCGTCGGCGACCATAGTTGATTTTGAAGGAAACGTTGAGAATATGTCAAAAGACGGTCACGACGATTCTACAATCCAAAAGTCAAATGTTGTAACCGACATGAATTTGAGCTTCGGAGTGAGGGCTTTCTCTGCTGCAACTGCCGCTTTTCTTTCCGCCATCATCGTCAATGCTCTCGATGTCACCAAGGTATCTAATTTTTCTTTTCTAAACGTTGGCCTTTTTCATTTAGATTCTTTAATTCTTTTAAAAGCTTCTTTTTTTTTTTTCAACAAAAAAAGGAAACCCAAGAATTAATCAAAAAATTCTTTCAGAAGACTAAGAATAATTGTTTTTCGGTGACATCCAGACAAGGTTACAAGCAAAGGCTGCTGGAGTTCCTTACGAGAAATGCTTTGAAACTAACAGGTTATGCTCCAATTTCATTAGTTTCTCTGTTCTTTAATTCATCCTTTGCTAAATGCTTCTTAATTTTTGCCTTGGTGAAATTTTCCTTTTCCTCCATTGCTCTTCTGTTTTAGATGTTTCTAGAATCGATACAAAGGAACACTCGATGTTTTCTACAAAGTCATTCGTCAGGTTGGTGTTTTTTCTGCAATTGCTAATTACTATATTAGACTTATTCTTCGAGTGTTTGATGTTGTAATAACACTTCTTTTTAGTAAATAAGTTCTTTTCTTTTCTTCTAATAGATGTTATATTTGTAGTTTCTTCAGTATACATAGGTAAAAGTAGCTCTATTAAACCCAGCTATGGCTTGCTAAATGATACATTTTATGCTTTTATTGTTTATTTATAAGTTTATGGGAGCAATTATATCTATCCAAGCATAATCTTTCAAACCTGCATTATATATTTATTACTTTCTGTAAATACATAACACGTATATTATCACCTTTTTATTTCTATCTACAAATCACTTATTGTTGGAGGTTCACAGGAATGAATTTGTGCAGGAAGGGTTTGCCAGACTGTGGAGAGGAATAAATGCAAGTTTAGCATTAGCTGTGCCTGCTGTAAGTCTATCTCTTATAAAAATTGCTCTGTCTTTTTTATGTCTGCATTACATGTTTTTATTCCTTGCATCACTAATGAAGCATTTTATGTACTCTTTTGTGTTTTGCTAATGGGCCTTTTTCTTTTCTTGTCAATCAGGTTGGCATCTACATGCCTTGTTATAACATTTTCCGCAATTCAATGGAAGCATTCACTACTAATAATGCTCCAACGTTGACCCCATATGTCCCATTAGTTGCCGGCATAGTTGCTTGTTCTTTAGCTTGTGTAACTTGTTATCCTGTTGAACTGGCAAGAACCCGTGTTCAGGTATAAACTCTAGTGTTCCTCTTCTATAACCAGGAATTACTATAATACTCCTCAATTGTTCTACTCTGCAGGAAGTGAGTAGTTAAATTGTTGAAGTTCAACTTTATGAATCTTTCTTTCTAATACCAGGCATTTAAAGAAACTCAAAAGTGGTGTGAAGCCTCTAGGAGTATGGAAGACATTAATTGGAGTCATCAACCCAGTGACTAGCACAAATTACATTCAAAATTGTAAGCTAACTATTGAATTGATTGTTGTCAGATTGATTATTCTCCCTTTCTACTTTCTATTTGAAACAGCATCTTTTTGACATTGAACTAGAAATTTTATTACTAGTGAGAAAGTTTAATTAAACTAACCGAGTGGTCATTCTTCATAACAGCACATAACTTCTGCATCTTATGGACTGGTCTTAGTGCACAACTTGCTCATGATGTTCCTTTCTCTGCAATCTGTTGGTCAACACTTGTGCCACTGAGACTTTAGTTCTTTAATCCTTAAGAACAATAAGTTTTGTTTTTTTTTTTTTTTTCAGATATGTTTGATGGTAGCTAATACATTCAACTTAATGCTGGTTTCTCTTGCCCTTTTCAGATCAGGAGAAAAATGCTTCTTTCTATGGGTGATGAAGCTGGTGCATGTAGTGTCCATGGGGTGAATTTTGTTGCTGGTTTTCTGGCAGGAAGCATTGCAGCAGCTGTTACCTGTACCCCAGATGTTGTGAAGACCCAGCGGCTGATGGAGATCTCCACTTTCTAGTGAAGCTTCGCTAGATATGCTGTATTTAAATTCATTTAGGATAGGATAAGCCACTCCAACAATACGCACAAAAAGGCTAAAGTTATCTAACTAGTTGCTGAAAAGGAAAATAATTAGAGCATCATTAGCTAGATAAATATGTGACTATAAGAGCGCAAGTATTTTGGAGAACGTGATCTAACTAGTTTTGATTTCAAATATCTGCTTTGGATGAATGCATTGTGGTACTAAATCTTTCTTTCTTGATTTTGGGAAATATCCTGCCAAGGCATTAAAGATGAAGTTTGTGGGAAATTTGGAGGTACGTATTCCTTAGTGCTATTCCTTTTCCTTGAAGGTATATTACTGCTTTGCGTACAAGCAGATCTTCTAGTAAATGACTAAACTAAGAGAAGAATGTCTCTTTGGTCCTAGTTAAAACAACCTAGTTTTAAAGACTCCATGGGGTCAATCCAAAGGGACTGTCACCAGCATCCGAAGACGAATACTGATTTCATAGGGATTATTTTATAGCAGTAGCGTGTTTGTGTTCCTGGCCAATTTTTAGGTAATACCCACTGCTCATGAGTGGACCTGCAGTAGTAGTCACACTGTGTGGATTCTGTCAATTATGAGCTGCTTGAGATTATACAGAATATTCACTTTCATTAACTCAATGTCCCAAACTTTGATTTGGAACAGCGATGGAGGGATAAAGGGATTCTTTACTGGACTTGGTCGTCGTGTTGGTCGTGCTGGTCCTTCTGTGGCGATTGTTGTTTCCTTTTATGAAGTTGTCAAGTACGCTTTACGGTCCAGACACGAAGATCATGCGTGAAAGACTTGGATTCATGCCAGCTATTGTTGATTTGATGTTCCAAGTATACTCACCTGACTCCATGATGTAAAGAAAGAATAACATACACGTGTGGTCCTCCAACCAAAAATCTATCACGTTGCTTTAAAGAACTTTGGCAAAGCTTTTCAGTGGACACCCATTGCTCAAGACTCAAGAGTCAAGAGGCAACATTTGGACAATAATTCAAGGACCTGGAAATGCCAGCCTCTATCTTTCCTATTCTTTTGCTCATAATGCAATCCTGATTCAATGTTGCAAGTTGCAACAGAATTACAGAAAGTTTTTTTTTTGGTCAAGGAATCCTTACATTCTTTTTCAATAAAGTTTGTTTTGATAGTTTTAAACTTTAATTATTTTAACCACTTCGATATTTAGAAAGCACAAAATGTGCCTAAAACTGCCCATTTTTTGTATTTGAGTGAAAAAATTATTCTTCATTTGGTAATTCACTGTTGTCTGTAGTCATTTTCACACAAACAGAAGAAAAAGCAGGACTGGAAGCAGATGAATCAATTAAGGAGCAGAAGAAAAAAAATAATTAGTAGTAATAAATAAGGTAGGCCACCAGGAAACAATAGTAACCAATCAATCTCTCGAAACAAATGCAAACCGTTAACCACCACCATTCATCACCCCCACTCCCCAAAAAAAAAAAAAGAAACAAGTTCATAGATTTATCCACATAGCAATTTGTATTGCAACCCTGACCTAAATGATCCTCCCAGTCCTAAGAATAACTTAAAAGAAGCTGTAGGAAGATGCGTCTAGTGGGTGGATGAGGTATGTGAGCACCAGGGCTACAAGCATCAGCACGTATGCAATCCCTTGGTCAATTGAAGTTCCTGCCCAAAATTAATGGAAATGTAATTCTTTAGGAGCTTCATCAACATTTTATAAAAGGTTACGTGCAATTCGCCTATAATTTTTACAGAAGGTAAACATTAAATTTACTCCTCTTAAAAAAGGAAAAACATTTTTATCCTAGCAAAGACAGATGCCTGAACATTATTGAGATACTGTTTTAAGGATGTCTAATGCATTGCATTTGCAACTGTTTTTCAGCTATCCTTCCCCATCCCACAAAACAAAACCGGTGATGAAAACAATGGTTTCAAGTTCAAGGTAAGTTACCATGAAAATTGGAGGAGACAACAAAAAAATTGAAAACAAATATTCTAAGTGAACAAAAAAAAAGACAAAATGTTGGCAATGCCTCATTGGCAATAGAACTGTGAGGAAGGCAGTTTCTAACTATTACCATAAAGAAGAGAAATTTTTCTTAGGAAAATACAGAAAAGAAGCAAAGAGAACAGATCTAAGAGTAAAGACCAGAAAAAAGCATGTAAAAGAGAGAGAAGTTACCATCACTAGTAGGAGAAGGGGCTGGAGCCGCAGATTGAGCTTCAACATAGGGTGACCCAATTGCAAAAGCAAGTGCAAAGATAGCCACAACACCCATCCAAGCCCTGGAAGAAATCGCTTCCATTTTCCCTTTTCCTAACACTAACAAATTCTGAACAAAACGCTCTGTAAATTATTACCCAGTGGGTAATGAGAGAGCTCTAAAGAGAAATATGAAGTTGAAGAAAAACCCAGAAACTGAAAAAGAAAGTAAAGCAGAACAACACTGAAGACAACGTTGGGGTTGAAATATGGAGGCTGAGGCTTATAGGTGTCATAACTCGTATTACAAGCAGTAAAACGGGGCAGATTTGGGTTGGGAGAGTGGGGTCAGTCTGATTATAACAGACCATGTGATAAGAGGGGTTTTCTGTAATCTAGTTGAGACAAACTGTCCAATGGGGTTTGTAGTTTGTTGCTTACTCATTTTTTCTCTTCACCTTACCAAACTTTTTTTGATTATTTTTAATATCCAATTTTTATATACTTAATTTAAGAAAATATTAACCGTTATTTTTTTTAATTAGTAACTTTTGAAAATTTTAATCAATATGCATGTCATCAAGGTAATATTATCAAACTCTTTTTCTAAACTGTGATGTATTTGATATCATTCATTTTTGCATTATAATTAACAAATAAGTGCTTTTCAAATGTTTTTGAGTAGAGGTTAACAATTGCTTGTTATGGAATTACTATCAAATACTACTCTCAACTAAGTTCACTATTTGAATCATTAAAATATTTTCTATCCAAATCTAATTTGAATTCAAATGGGAATATATTATTCCAATTTTGAATTAGAATGAGATTTTCATGTCCAATTCAAATTCATTTATTCAGTAAATATATTCCATATGAATTTGAACATTAATTCTAGTTTTGAGTTGGAATGAGAGACACCCACCATATGGGTTTGACTATGAAACAATGAATATAACCATGGTGGGGGGCCATGTTAAAAGTGTAGTGTGTTTTGGAACCACTAATATAGCAGAAAGTTTGATTTGCGATTGTTAGAACTGTTTTTTTTTTTATTTTTTATTTTCACTTTGCAAGTTTTCAAATGAAATCTAGTTGTTGAATCTCCTTGGGAACTTAGGTTAACAGACTATGCTTTGCTGATGGCAACGGCTGGAGAGGGGATGATGCACCATTCTCATTTGCCAGTTGTGTTTCTCTCCTGTTCTTGGCCGTTGTTGCCAAACATCATTATCAACTTTGCTGCCAATTGTTGATTGGGTGGAGACAAAATTTAAACATTCAAAATCAGAAAACGAATTTTCTTTTAATTTACAAATAATTGGACATATTGAGTCAAATTCTTTGATTGATCCACGACTACATGTGAGCTCAGCTTCTGATGTCTTGCATTAACCAGCCTGTTAAAAGGTTGTACATGTTAATCTGATCAATTTATATTTTATATAAACAATAATATATATTTAGGTATACAATGTGTTGCTTTGAGAGATTATTTGCGCTTCTCCTTATTAATGTAGTATATTTTGACCAACTGGGATTTGAGAACTATTTTTTTTAAACCAAATATTGGAACTTTCCCCTTTGTTTTTGAATTCCTTTCCTTGCAACATGTGGAAGACAATCAGTGATGCATGGTGATGGACCAAAAGCCAGCATTCTTCGAGAGCGACCTTCATTTACTGCTTAATTCGCGTCTAGTAAATCATGCAAAATATCAGTGGAAAAAGGAAGAAAAAGATCATGCAAAATATGGGATGGAACCATAAAGGCATATTGACAGCACATGCTATGTCGATCCCATGCATGCACATGGATTGGATGATAACATTAGAATGAAATGACGTATTCCTAGTAAACGATTTTAACATGCCTGCAAAATCTTTAACTCCATAAACTGATACGCAAGGATAAAACTCGAATTACCACACAAATCTTAAGAAATCTAGGCCCAAGGATATGGCAACCTGGCTACGTTGCGTTTTCCCATTTCTGGAGATGCTGGGCACGGCTAAACATAAACTAGTATGAAAAATATTAGCATACAGGATAAAAAGAACGGGGAAAATGGAATAAAAACATCAGGAGAAAAATTTTAAAAAAATGCAAAAAGATCTTAAGTGATTGGTAAATTGGGTAAAAACTAAACAGCTTGGCTCGTTCTCCCTATTATTTGGTTTATTCTCATTTTTTTAAATGATTTTAAATATTGTAGAATTTATATATTTTTCACAAAAATAAAGGTTACGATACTAAGAAAAACATTTATAATTTCTCAAATTTCTCACATAAACCCTTTCTTTCTATTTTACTCAATTAAACTTTTAAAGTATTGTTTTTACTTAATAAAATTTTATTTTGCGTCTAAAACATTAAAATTTAAGCCAAAATAAAAAAAAATCCACGAATTTTATCAGTTTATTTAAATAAACCTCTATATTTTTATGATGCTCAAATAAATCTTGATTTTTAATTTGCATGTATATAAGCTCTTTAACTTTTAATTTGTATCAAAATAAAACCTTAATCTTTAATTTTACCTAAATAAAATCTTAATATAAATTAATATTTTATTTATAATAATAGTTATTTTGATATAAATCAAAAAATAAAAATTTATTTAAGTACAATAAAATATAAATTTTTTTAAAAAAAGTAAAATAATTTAAGTGCTTCTTTAATATTTTAACCTAAAATCTATTTGTCAAATATAGATTTAATCAAACAAAAATAATATTTTAAAGCATATTTAGACAAAAAACACTTTGGAATTTAATTAAATATAATAAAAGAATAGACTTATTTAAAAAATTTTAAATATATAAGGGTTTTTTAATATTTTACTATTTTAGCTATTTAAAATAATTTTCAATATTTAAATGCAATATGCAAGCTTTTGGCACTAATAAAATTTCGTTGCATACACGTTAATGCATGTTCCAAAATGAAAAACCCACGTCCAATTCCAACTACACAGGTCTAGTTCTAGGTAGTATAAATAAAATCCCAAAGTTGATAGATCAAAACCCTCAACAATTGCCAAATTACAAGCCACGATTCAATAATCCACAAATCAAAAACAACTCATTTTGTATTTTTTAATGTCAAATACAAAAAAAAAAAAAAAAGAAATTCAAATACAGAGATACATATGGATTTTCCTTTTATTATTTACAATCCACTCTCCAGAATGCTCCTAAGATTAGTGTGGTATCCTGCATGGAATAAATTCCAAGCAAGTGACCTTTATTATTTTAATTTTTAGGAATATTATAAGTAATAGAAACGCAATAATGCATGGACGGTTGCACGCACATAAATTGCACTAACAGACAGATGAAGGAACCAATGGAGTACAAGGACAATGAAGGCATCTCAAAAAAACAATGTATATGCCAATTGGCAAGGGAAAATGAAATTATTAATTAAAAAAAAAGATATTCTTCTTCCATCTTCAATCGAGAACCACATCAAAACAGGCAATGACTATGAAAATGACAGCAGATTCTATATATCAACTTGAGCACGTATTGACGTGTCACTAACTCCGGCACAAGTAACACCGAAGAGTTGAAAAACATGAAAGACACAGACTATAGTACCATTTTGGGAAACAAAGATAGAGTAGCTTTAACAAAATGAAAGCCAAAGGATCTTGACTGGAGCTATATCCGTTAATAATTAGCAAGCCAAAAGAACCAAAATGTTCTTTCAAAGAAAAATTAACAGTGAATCAACCTAACAGTCCCTTACCTGAGAGAAAACACAATTGCAGCATACTTATTTATTTCACACGGCCAATTTGGGATCCAGTGCTCCTGAGGCATTTCCTTCTCCAGTTAAACTGTGGTCAGGGTCCTGTGCATCACATAGTCATAAGCGACAGCCTATAGATGCTCAAAATTGGAGAAGTTAAGGCAGGAAGGTATATACCTCCATTCCCCATTTGATATAATCTGGTGACTCACAAGCCTTGTATTCATCAACCAAACTTTCTATAATGTCCCTTGATTCATCAAACTCTGAAAGATCATTGTCCTGTTCACATTGAACAATAGATTAGGATAAACTATCAATTTAACGCGATTTCTTTTGTATACAATTGCAAAATATTATTTGATTTTGGAAGCAAAAGACATGTAGAAAAAGTAACAAACAAATTATGCTAATTGCTAAAATTTTGTTCACGGAATTCACATTTTTTAACCAATCTATAGAAGTAACATGTGTCCTGTATGCAGGCTTTACAAATATGCATGGGTGCACGTAAATAGACATGTTAAATGTACATGCACAAAACTCATGCATGCCAGTGTGTGCATACATGCTCTTATGAACACACAAGCAGAAGCCATAAATTAGAAACTGAAGCAGAAACAAAACCACAAGAGTGAACAAGCTGGTAACTCACAGCAAACATTGGGAACTTCCGATAATTGTCAAGAAATGCTTGCTTCTTTCTCAACTTCTCGTACTGGCTCAAACATTTGCTGAAGAGGTGTCGGATGCTGGTATGACTTGCTAGCATAAGACCGCTCACCTGATCAATGAAACATGCACTTCTTTATTCCTTCACAATTTTTTTTTTTCAATTGTTTCTCCAACAAATGGGACCATATTTTAAGGAGAAAGCAAAGTCACGCCCAAAGTTGTCATTAAATTCAGACCAAAATATATTGAATTGTTCTGTAATGCATGAAAATAAGCAATCTAAACTCTAATGACAAGAACTAGAGTTGTACCCTATGAGCAGTCTGGACATAGGGGGACTTTCTAGAAAGCGCAACCTACAAAAACAACAAAAGAACAAACAGATGATGTAAGTCCAGATATCATAAGAAAAAAGAATTAACAAAAATGATTTAACTGTTTCTGCCATCAAGAGACCTGAATACTTGCAGGGCCCCACTCAATAAAGTTTACAAGCTTTCTTTCACGAATCCTCTGTAGGCTTTCATGGACCTGATAAAACAAGGAAATTATTTAACAAACATCAGCAGCTTAACCCAGTAAGAGCAGATAATAAAAAACCATTTTCCAGGGAAAAAAAATGGTTTTCACATCTTAATGTTGATTTTTATACACATTAAAACCATTAACAAAAAATCAATTTAAAGTTATACTACACTTTTCTTTAAATAAAACTAACAAAGAATGACCCCATATAGTTGGATTAGATTTTATTAAACTTCCAAATCATTTGAATTACCAAGTACTTTTCTTTACATTTCGAGGGAGAAAATAAATAGTAAAATAGTCCAAGAAAGCAGGGTTGGATTTCTCTAAAATGTTGCCTCTTGCACACAGCCTATACTAGAAGAAT